CATTAAAACAACTGTGCAACTAAACTGCAAGTCATATGTTAACTCAACGCATGGGTTTTGGTTGTAGGTCTAAGTTTAGGTGATGTCGAAACTGATTGTGCTTCAGCTCTATACTCAGGCAGCCGGCCCGGCAAGCATGTTGGAAGACACAGGAGGCGCGATTATGATTGGCACACGAATGCAAACCAGGTTGTTGTTGTTGTCATCCACGATCCTAAACTCGATTGGTAGACTAGTTCCCTGTAATAGAAATTATGATTGTAGCGATTTACTAGGAACATCACAAGAAACATTAGGCGCTTTCGACTGCCGATACACGAACACCTGCCCCTGGCCTGCTACTACTCGTCGCTCCACTGACTCAGCAGAATTCTATGATGACGAGACCTCGCGCACCTCAGACGTAGACAAACATCACAACTAGTAGAACACCAGTGACAATAACTCACCGCAGGGAAAGCAGGCTCGATGAACATATTGAGGGAGTACTGCACCTCCTCGCCTTCTTTCAGAGGGCAGCTGTTGTTAGTGAGGTAATTACAGGTCTGAGCTGCCTCTCCGAGAGGGTAAAAGATTGGTAATATTGACAGAAATGCTGTGGCATGAGTGGTCATGCTCTGCACGGCGCGGGCTGGAACAAATATGTATTTATATAAATAGTGTCATACATCAGCACGAGGTAGTCCTGTGAGGTGAGCCCATTGCCCTACATCAGGCACAGTTCTAGACTGCACCAGCGAGGCAGTAATATAATGTTACTAAATAAGGTACTGACGTGCTCGGAACTTGATGTTGACGACCGCATCTTGTCCTTGTGGGAAGACACATGGCGGAGTAACACAGCCCTCTATGTACGTGTGTATCGGCAGAGGTCCACTGTGGAAAGTACCTGTAAAAAGTAAGTACACCATTACTACTGCACCATAAAGCAGCTACATCGGTCTCCAATATTGACGAACTGAAGATACTGAAGGACAGAACGGAACTGCTGTCCGTCTATGAGTAAAACAGATGTGGTCCACTATGCATGTACTCACACTGGTTTACATTGGTGGTCTGTCCGTGAGCTAGTGCCAGGAGAGCGCAGACGTAAGCCACAACCCGCAACATGTTGACTTGTTCTGACGTGCACACACTGAATGATATCTTTCCCACGTAAATTGGTGTATTTATTCAAATGTGTAATCAGTATTTAGTTGATTGATAAACATTGTGTAGGTCAAAGATTTGTAGTGATTGATAAAACAAAGATTTAATTCACAGGTGTGAGCTTAGTCATGAATGAAATGTTTTCAAGTTGGAAGGTAGGTGCCATTTAATACAAAGTACCTATATGTAGCCAGTGACAAGTGTACCTAATGCTTAGTACAGGCGCAGGTTACTTGGATTGTTGATCTATTTAGGGGACCAGCGCGGCGCGTGTTACCAAGTCCTAAGACTTGGTATTGGTCGGAGTCGGTTTTTGTCTTAGTTGGGTTTTAGTTTTTATACTTTTTATTATTTGTACTATTTTGGTGTTAAAGTATATTTGAGGCATATAATATCAACATTTATTATGTTATGTTGATATTATGCGCATCATTGATGAACTAATATTAAGTAGTAGAAGCTATGAACGAAAAGATGTGAATTATATGCAATCAGCACATGAGTACAGGCAGAGAGTGATATATATATATATATATATATATATATATATATATATATTCAAAATATACAAGTAAAGCCCTTTAAAATGATACCAAACACGGTATAAGTATCTTACATTTATTTTGGTACTCTGATTGTTCTGTCCGCTAGAAGACGCCACATTACATTTTGTGATAACTATGGGTTATCACAAAGTCGTCTATAAGCCTATAACCAGCGGACAATTAAGACGTTTCTAATGATATGTCATATGTCGAATTCTAATATTTATTTTTGAATTAGCGAAGGAACAGATGAACATACATACATACATACATAGCCTGTCAAAATCATAACCCTCCTTTTGCTCTGCCGTAGTCGGGTAATTAAAGGGTATCCCAGTCAGAAAAATAATAAGTTAATGGGGAAACCCGGCAGGTGTCAGATGTTCTGTGTAGGCAAAACATATTTGTGAATCAACGATTATTCAGATTTAACAATATATTATCGCATCATGCTAGCAGCTGACGGAACTTACTGGGCACTGATTTATCAAAGCATCGTAATTTTATATTACCTATTGTTACAACATAAACGCATAAGTCTCCGCTAAATAAACTTGACCGACTTCTTAATAACTGCTCTCAATACGTTTTCAACCTGTGTAAATATGATCATGTTTCTACACATCGGTTGCAATTAAAGTGGTTGCCCATACGTCAGCGCAGGGAGCAAATGGTGCTTACCAGTCTGTGCGCTTTCCTTCAGCCTTTTCGCCTAGCTATATATCCTCTTACTTTCAATACATGTGCGCAAACCACAGTAAAAACCTTCGTTCTTTCCATAACCGTCTTCTCCAATGTTCCAATTACCACACTGATTTACTTCACTCCTCCCTTTCCTCCCTTTTTGTCCAGTCTGTTATGCTGTGGAATGCGTTTCCCCTCGGATTTCAGAAATGTGGTCGTTTGAGTTTTAAGCAAAAGGGTTGTGAGTTTTTGTTGAAGGGTTTGGCGGAATCATGACCACCATGTAATATAATAACATATTTTATAATTTGAATATGTTGGTATATATATTGTATTATAATTAGTATGCAAATAAAACGCACATATCGGTATTTACCTCATATCTTATAAAAACTTAAGTTTGCTTGCCTCTTGCACCAATCACAATGCTGTGCATAAAGTTTCAATAAATTGGTATCTTGTTTATTGGATTTATTAAATACCGTTCAAACCCCAGTAGCCCTAGTCAGGATGCTGTCTGTATTTGTATGTAAGTGATATTAGTCATTTATATTGACATCTTTTGGTCTGTTTAACAACCTTTCTACAAGTATCCAATAAAAGTTATGTGGCGAAAAGTTTATGAAAATTGTGTTCCAAATTTTCAAATTTATCAGTGCCATTTCGGTTATGTAGACATTGCTAAACATGTCGTTAGTTTGAGAAGGAGGTGAGAGAGAGAGTGCCAGACTCTTACTAAATTATCTCAATAATCATCACGGCTGTGGTATATCGTTGAGCTTACACATGCAACTCTGGCTGGACAACGGCCATAGCGTGACATCTATAATGGTCTGATGGGAATTTGTGGAGCGCGGAACGCGATTCTCAGATATGGTTCTACTGCAAGCAAGCTGCCATTGCTCCTCGTCCTCATACCTGCGCTTACAGTGGTTAAAGATCGTCACGCGAAAAACGTTCTCAACATCGGCTCCATGAAAAGTATCACTTCCCCACGCGTTTTTTTTTTTTTGTTTTTGTCAGGGTAAAATCATCAAAAGACTACTCCTGTCAGTGGGTGAGGCGGGAGGGATTGTCAGTCTCTTTCTTACTATAACAGACCGCAGTGCCCTATTGGACCTTCTTCCGAATCTGACGTTTTCTGTAAGCACTTATAGTATCTTAGGCGGAGGGTGAGGACGTCGTACGTACGTACTTACGTTACTAAATAAGTAAAATTTTAAATTACTAAACCATTGTATTTCATCTTTTTATTTTAGTATTAGGTTATATTATCCTAAAGTGAATAAAACTGGACCAACGTGTGAGCCCTGAGCAGCCATTGACATGTAGCAGAAGCCTGGCTGAGAGCACCAAAAATTGTACGACAAATCAATGAATATTTTCCTGTTACCTACTCTAACAAGAGGTTTGTACCAAAACAAAGCATCGTTTAGGCAGTAGCTTTAGTTCAAGGTCGTTCATTAGGTTATGATATTTTTAACAATATTGGAGTTTCTTGCTCATTCATCGCCATAGGAATCTACACTTTGGAACGAGCAAATAGTTTCATTAGAGGATTCTACTTTTTGTGTGTAAATCTGTCGGTTTGACTTCCAGTGAAACTATTTGCTTGTTTTCTTGGATGATTGTTGACGGGAATGATCATTGAACGTAAGTAACGAACTAAGCGAACCAGCAGCAAATTGTGGTTTGGGATGGAGCTTCATGACCAAATGCAGAAATCGTCCCATTAACACTGTTACACTGTTTTATGTAAGTTTTATGAAAACTTCATAACCCATATTTTGTTATCAATATAGGATATATTTTGTTATAATTCGATCTTAGTGTATCTAAGTACATCCAGAAATAAAGAATTTGAATTAAGTTTGTGTGTAAAATCAAACAGTTACTTTTGGCGGGTAACGAATGACTAAAAATAATTCCCCACCACCGTGCCTTTTTTTATGTGATAGGACGGCAAACGAGCAGACGGATTACCTGATGGTAAGCAATCGGTGTCGCCCATGGACACCCGCAACAAAGAAGGAGTTACGAGTGCATTGCCAACCTTTTTAGGGATTGGGATTTTAGGGATTTAGGGATTGGGAAGGCATTGGGGCAGGGGAAAAATTGGGCCTCCGGTAACCTCACTCACACGGCGAAACACAACGTTGTGGTTGTTTCACGCCGGCTTTCTGTGAGGCCGTGGCATGACTCCGGTCGAGCCGACCCATTCGTGCCGAAGCATGGCTCTCCCACACTAAAACCGTCAGCTCCACATTGGTACTTCCCACTAAAGCCACCGTCGGGCTTGGAGTGACAGACGCACCAGGAGTCCAGGACTCGCCCTGATCACCGCAAAATGTTATAAACCGAGCATGCTCAAGCAGAGCTCAAGGATGATTGAGACAAAAGTTATTGTATCAAAGGGAGAAAAGAAGATCTTAGTATGTGTGGCAACTGGAGGTGTATCATATTGTTCTCGATTCCTGTTAAAATGTCAGACAAATACGAGTTACACCGATGAAGTCCACTATTACGGCCATAGTATAGATCCGGTTTGGTACTGAACATATGAACAATTTGAATTCATTTTTCATGCAAACATTGATGCTTAGGAAGAATAAAAAACAATAATTGAATGCTGATTTTTTTTATTTCATTAAAACAACTGTGCAACTAAACTTCAAGTCATATGTTAACTCAACGCATGGGTTTTGGTTGTAGGTCTAAGTTTAGGTGATGTCGGAACTGATTGTGCTTCAGCTCTATACTCCGGCAGCCGGCCCGGCAAGCATGTTGGAAGACACAGGAGGCGTGATTATGATTGGCACACGGAGACACACCAGGTTGTTGTTGTTGTCATCCACGATCCTAAACTCGATTGGTAGACTAGTTCCCTGTAATAGAAATTATGATTGTGAGCGATTTACTAGGAACATCACAAGAAACATTAGGCGCTCTCGACTGCCGATACACGAACACCTGCCCCTGGCTTGCTACTACTTGTCGCTCGACTGACTCAGCAGGATTCTATGATGACGAGACCTCGCGCACCTTAGACGTAGACAAACATCACAACACCAGTGACAATAACTCACCGCAGGGAAAGCAGGCTCGATGAACATATTGAGGGAGTACTGCACCTCCTCGCCTTCTTTCAGAGGGCAGCTGCTGTTAGTGAGGTAATTACAGGTCTGAGCTGCCTCGCCGAGAGGGTAAAAGATTGGTAATATTGACAGAAATGCTGTGGCATGAGTGGTCATGCTCTGCACGGCGCGGGCTGGAACAAATATGTATTTATATAAATAGTGTCACACATCAGCACGAGGTAGTTCTGTGAGGTGAGCCCATTGCCCTACATCAGGCACAGTTCTAGACTACACCAGCGAGGCAGTAATATAATGTTACTAAACAAGGTACTGACGTGCTCGGAACTTGATGTTGACGACCGCATCTTGTACTTGTGGGAAGACACATGGCGGAGTAACACAGCCCTCTATGTACGTGTGTATCGGCAGAGGTCCACTGTGGAAAGTACCTGTAAAAAGTAAGTACACCATTACTACTGCACCAGAAAGCAGCTACATCGGTCTCCAATATTGACGAACTGAAGATACTGAAGGACAGAACGGAACTGCTGTCCGTCTATGAGTAAAACACATGTGGTACACTATGCATATACTCACACTGGTTTACATTGGTGGTCTGTCCGTGAGCTAGTGCCAGGAGAGCGCAGACGTAAGCCACAACCCGCAACATGTTGACTTGTTCTGACGTGCACACACTGAATGATACCTTTCCCGCGTAAATTGGTGTATTTATTCAAATGTGTAATCAGTATTTAGTTGATTGATAAACATTGTGTAGGTCAAAGATTTGTAGTGATTGATAAAACAAAGATTTAATTCACAGGTGTGGGCTTAGTCATGAATGAAATGTTTTCAAGTTGGAAGGTAGGTGCTATGTAAATACAAAGTACCTATATGTAGCCAGTGACAAGTGTGCCTAATGCTTAGTACAGGCGCAGGTTACTTGGATTGTTGATCTATTCAGGGGACCAGCGCGGCGCGTGTTACCAAGTCCTAAGACTTGGTATTGGTCGGAGTCGGTTTTTGTCGTAGTTTGGTTTTAGTTTTTGTACTTTTTATTATTTGGTGTTAAAGTGGTGGTGGTGTTAAAGTGTATTTGAGGCACATAATATCAACATTTAACTTATGTTGATATTATGCGCATCATTGATGAACTAATATTAAGTAGTAGAAGCTATGAACGAAAAGATGTGAATTATATGCAATCAGCACATGAGTACAGGCAGAGAGTGATATATATATATTCAAAATATACAAGTAAAGCGCTTTAAAATGACAACACACGGTACACATACCATTAAAACACCACTTAAACGTACCATTTAAACACGGTATAAGTATCTTAAATTTATTTTGGTACTCTGATTGTTTTGTCCGCTAGAAGACGCCACATTAGATTTTGTGATAACCCATATAGCCTATAACCATCGGACAATTAAGACGTTTCTAATGATATGTCATATGTCGAATTCATTTATTTATTTTTGAATTAGCGAAGGAACAGATGAACATACATACATACATAGCCTGTCAAAATCATAACCCTCCTTTTGCTCTGCCGTAGTCGGGTAATTAAAGGGTATCCCAGTCAGAAAAATAATAAGTTAATGGGGAAACCCGGCAGGTGTCAGATGTTCTGTTTAGGCAAAACATATTTGTGAATCAACGATTATTCAGAATTAACAATATATTATCGCCTCATGCTAGCAGCTGACGGAACTTACTGGGCACTGATTTATCAAAGCATCGTAATTTTATATTACCTATTTTTACAACATAAACGCATAAGTCTCCGCTAAATAAACTAGACCGACTTCTTAATAACTGCTCTCAAAATACGTTTTCAACCTAAGTAAATATGATCATGTTTCTGCACATCGGTTGGAATTAAAGTGGTTGCCCAAACGCCGGAGCAGCACGTCGATTCTATAAAATTTGTTTGATTTTGAATCGTGTTTGAGTGCGAAGTGAGCGTCGAAGTGACGGATAAATTAAATTTTAGAATGCCATTTTAACGTCATCTCATACTATATCTATCAAAATGTTGGTGTCAATTTAGTTCAACTCGCAAGTGTAGCGCTAGTGTACTACTACTCATAGCGGATTCAGATTCGAAAATTAGAATTAAGTATTACAGAACCACGCTGCTGGGAGCAAATGGCGCTTATCAGTCTGTGCGCTTTCCTTCAGCCTTTTCGCCTAGCTATATATCCTCTTACTTTCAATACATGTGCGCAAACCACAGTAAAAACCTTCTTTCTTTCCATAACCGTCTTCTCCAATGTCCCAATTACCACACTGATTTACTTCACTCCTCCCTTTCCTCCCTTTTTGTCCAGTCTGTTATGCTGTGGAATGCGTTTCCCCTCGGATTTCAGCAATGTGGTCGTTTGACTTTTAAGCAAAAGGGTCGTGAGTTTTTGTTGAAGGGTTTGGCGGAATAATGACCACCATCTATTATAATAACATATTTTATAATTTGAATATGTTGGTATATATATTATATTATAATTAGTATGCAAATAATACGCACATATGGGTATTAACTTCATATCTTATATAAACTTAAGTTTGCTTGCTTCTTGCACCAATCACAATGCTGTGCATAAAGTTTTAATAATTTGGTATCTTGTTAATTGGATTTATTAATTACCATTCTAACCCCAGTAGCCCTAGTCAGGATGCTGTCTGTATTTGTATGTAAGTGATATTAGTCATTTATATTGACATCTTTTGGTCTGTTTAACAACCTTTCTACAAGTATCCAATAAAAGTTATGTGGCGAAAAGTTTATGAAAATTGTGTTCCAAATTTTCAAATTTATCAGTGCCATTTCGGCTATTAAGACATTGCTTAACATGTCGTTAGTTTGAGAAGGAGGTGAGAGAGAGAGTGCCATACTCTTACTGACTTATCTCAATAATCATCACGGCTGCGGTATATCGTTGAGCTTACACATGCAACTCTGTCTGGACAACGGCCATAGCGTAACATATGGTCTGATGGGAATTTGTGGAGCGCGGAACGCGATGCTCAGATATGGTTCTACTGCAAGCAAGCTGCCATTGCTCCTCGTCCTCATACCTGCGCTTACAGTCGTTAGAGATCGTCGAGCAAAAACTGTATTCTGCATCGCCTCCACGAGAAGTGTTAGTTCCTCACGCGCTCTTTTATGTATTTGTAAGTACATGTTCTTAAATCTTCCAACTGGGCATCTATCTGATCAAGCAACATTATGATAACACATTACAATGAGTCAGCTCATAACTATGAATTAAATCTTTATTTTTTATCAATCAATTGATAATTGATTACACATTTAAATAAATACACCGGCTTACGCCTAAAAGGTATCATTCAGTCTGTGCACGTCAGAACAAGTCAACATGTTGCGGGTTGTGGCTTACGTCTGCGCTCTCCTGGCACTAGCTCACGGACAGACCACCAATGTAAACCAGTGTGAGTACATGCAGAGTGTACCACATCTGTTTTACTCATAGACGGACAGCAGTTCCGTTCTGTCCTTCAGTATCTTCAGTTCGTCAATATTGGAGACCGATGTAGCTGCTTTCTGGTGCAGTAGTAATGGTGTACTTACTTTTTACAGGTACTTTCCACAGTGGACCTCTGCCGATACACACGTACATAGAGGGCTGTGTTACTCCGCCATGTGTCTTCCCACAAGGACAAGATGCGGTCGTCAACATCAAGTTCCGAGCACGTCAGTACCTTATTTAGTAACATTATATTACTGCCTCGCTGGTGTAGTCTAGAACTGTGCCTGATGTAGGGCAATGGGCTCACCTCACAGAACTACCTCGTGCTGATGTGTGACACTATTTATATAAATACATATTTGTTCCAGCCCGCGCCGTGCAGAGTATGACCACTCATGCCACAGCATTTCTGTCAATATTACCAATCTTTTACCCTCTCGGAGAGGCAGCTCACACCTGTAATTACCTCACTAACAACAGTTGCCCTCTGAAAGAAGGCGAAGAGGTGCAGTACTCCCTCAATATGTTCATCGAGCCTGCTTTCCCTGCGGTGAGTTATTGTCACTGGTGTTCTACTAGTTGTGATGTTTGTCTACGTCTGAGGTGCGCGAGGTCTCGTCATCATAGAATCCTGCCGAGTCATTCGAGCGACGAATAGTAGCAATGATCATAGTGATGTTCCTAGTAGTTCACTAACAATCGTAATTTCTATTACAGGGAACTAGTCTACCAATCGAGTTTAGGATCGTGGATGACAACAACAACAACCTGGTTTGCATTCGCGTGCCAATCATAATCGCGCCTCCTTTGCCTCCACCTCCTTCCACTGATGTAAGCCAGTGTAAGTAGTAGTGTGGTATAGTTATACCGTCTCGTTACAAAAACGACTACAACTGGAACTTTGTCGTCTTCACGAAGCGCCTCTTCCCTCTGTTGGTTCAGTCGCAATGCCTGTTAGGGATGTAACAGATATTCGTATTCGAATCCACATTCGCGTATATTAGAACATTTATTAACATTTACGTTTAGACACGCATGTTAAATTGTGTGCGAATGCATTGAGAATATAAAGCAATAAAACCGCACCACAGCGTTTTGTTTAGCCATGTGAGTGAGGTTACCGGAGGTCCAATCCTTCCCCTCTCCTGATCCCTCCCCAATCTCTAAATCTCCAATTCACTAGTCCCCAAAGATTTGGCAACGCACTCGTAACTTCTCTGCGGATGTCCATGGGCGGCGCTGATTGCTTACCATCAAGTTATCCGTATTCTCACACACTGTCACATTAAAAAAAAAATACTTTTCATTTGTATTTACTACAACATCTTCTAATTACTTACTGTTAACGATGACAACAACACCACCACCTTCGCTAGGCGGATCTCCGTCGACCAACAGAATATACATATATGTTAAGGTTGTATTTCCTTGCGTTTGGAGTTCAGTTAGTAACGGCTAAGTGCGAAACATGCGAAACTATTTTTAGTGTCAGTTCCAAGTGTGGGAAACCGCCGATACACATGGAGTGTTCCATTAAACTCCAAAGTAAATCCGGTAAAAAAAACTGCAAATGTAACTTTGTGATCCAATAAATTCAGGTAGATGGGAGTCTGAGCGTCTTTATGACAAAAACATTACATTTTACAGGTACTTTCCACAGTGGACCTCGGACGGACAGCAGTTCTGTTCTGTCCTTCAGTATCTTCAGTTCGTGAATATTGGAGACCGATGTAGCTGCTTTCTGGTGCAGTAGTAATGGTGTACTTACTTTTTACAGGTACTTTCCACAGTGGACCTCTGCCGATACACACGTACATAGAGGGCTGTGTTACTCCGCCATGTGTCTTCCCACAAGTACAAGATGCGGTCGTCAACATCAAGTTCCGAGCACGTCAGTACCTTGTTTAGTAACATTATATTTCTGCCTCGCTGGTGGCTCACCTCACAGAACTATCTCGTGCTGATGTGTGACACTATTTATATAAATACATATTTGTTCCAGCCCGCGCCGTGCAGAGCATGACCACTCATGCCACAGCATTTCTGTCAATATTTCCAGTCTCTTACCCTCTCGGAGAGGCAGCTCAGACATGCAACTACCTCACTAACAGCAGCTGCCCTCTGAAAGAAGGCGAGGAGGTGCAGTACTCCCTCAATATGTTCATCGAGCCTTCTATTCCTGTGGTGAGTTATTGTCACTGGTATTCTACTAGTTGTGATGTTTGAGGTGCACGCGGTCGCGTCAACATGGAATCCTGCTGAGTCAGTCGAGCGACAAGTAGTAGCAGGCCAGGGGCAGGTGTTCGTGTATCAGCAGTCGAGAGAGCCCAATGATCCTAGTGATGTTCCTAGTAGTTCACTCACAATCATAATTTCTATTACAGGGAACTAGTCTACCAATCGAGCTTAGGATCGTGGATGACAACAACAACAACCTGGTCTGTCTCCGTTTGCCAATCATAATCGCGCCTCCTGTGTCTTCCAACATGCTTGCCGGGCCGGCTGCCGGAGTATAGAGCTGAAAGACATACAGTTCTGACATCATCTAAACTTCGACCAACAACCTCAACCTGCATATGCATTGATGTAACACATATGACTTAAAATTTAGTTGCACAGTTGTTTTAATGAAATAAAAATTCAGCATTCAATTCGTGTTTTTTATTATTCCTAAACATCAATCTTTACATGGAAAACAACTGTTAAGTCATCTAGTCAGCACCAAACCGGATCTATTCTATGACCGTAGTTGAAAACACCTTAACAGGATACGAGAACAATGTGACGATGTGTCAAAGCAAAAAATCATGTATTCCAATTAGACCCTGACAGGCACTTTGGAACGTCAAACAAAATGTTGAAGATATAGTGTCAGTCTGTCGGTCAGTCCTCTTAGTAAGCTATTTTCTCGTTCAAAAGTGTAGATTCCGATGGAGAAGAACGAGCAAGAGGGAATTAACATGTAGCTCATTTTGTTATACTCAATTTCTTTTAAGTTAATGCCTAGTGCAGCATTTCAGACAGTACTGATAAATTTGATATGTTCCGGCGCAATTTTGGATTTTTGACTTATCGCCTTTTCGAAGGTGTGTTCTACGGTTGAATCAAATGTGAACACTTGCCTGTACTCCACCGTGTCCTCTATGGCACAGCAGCCATTTGCTCAGCCACAGCGTCAGTTTTTTTTTAGCGGTAGCGTGCATTCTTTGTTAAGTTTTTCGAATAGGTGAATTAGATATTCAGATGTGTTTCATAATGATACCATGCCCGCGTCAGCGGGTTTATTTATTCAAATGTATAATCAGTTATCAGTTGCTTGGGCCAAAGATTTGAAGCTATTGATAAAATATACATTTAATTGTCAGGTGTAAGCCGAGTTATTCATTAAATGTGGCTTTATCAGATTGAGTTGATTTGTCAAACAAACTCGTCCTAACAAGCGTACATTCCGCAAAAACATCATAATAAAAGGCAAATTTCTCACCAGAATGGCGTAAGGACCCAGCAGGTAAGCAAGCTAGTCCACAAGGCGTGCACCAGTGTTTCTTCTTCCTGGTTTCAACTGTTGTGTTTCTATACGCCTCCCTGAGGTCCCTCTTGGGACAGTTGGAGCAAGTGATCCAGTTGGCTCTGCCTGAATATTTTTATCTTTATTAGGCGGTGTCAATCTTGGTTGATCTTCATGTGTTCTTGGTTAGGTTTCGTACCATATTGCACATATCTGCAATGTGTCCTAGCTTCCTACAGTTGAAATATTTGGTCCCAGCTTTCGGGAACTTTGGAGGGTTCCTCTTCTCATATTTATTAAATTCAATCCCTGTCTCGTGTTCTGAACAAATTAAATTGAGGAACTGTAAAACAAAGAAATATCCACCAATGACTCGCTCCGCATCCACACGTGGGGACAGATCCCCGGTTCAATACGACTAGGCCTGTCTACATCGCTATCTCCGTATTGTTCATAACAATATAATCCGTATTATTACTGAGGTAATTTTAGAAACTCTTTAAAAGACCTTTATTACCATCAGATGCGGAGTCCAGCCAGCCCGTTTTTGTATCGTGCGTTGTCTAGGAGCATTGGTACGTCATAGAGGAGGTGAAGACGTATTCTGATCCACCGAGTAGAACCCGCTGGTCAGACAGACCCCGTGCGGCACGCGGTAATTGGAATGAATTGAAATGAACCATCGTGCATTAGTCCTAAGAAATTCTAAGCACATTAAATTGAAATCTTCAAATTATTTTAACGTAATTTTGGCTGCTGCTCCTTGCAATTTATTGTTAGACCAATATGGTCTTGTACAAACTTGTAGACGAATTATTTGTTGTTAGTAAAGACTTGCGACTTTCAGTTTATGATCCAGAACGTGGTTCAAAGTTCGAAATATTCCCAAATACTTGGCGTGATAACAGGGGGACATAATATACTAAACTAAAGTAATTAATATAAAAAAACCGACTTCAAAAACAAAAAAGTGTCAAATAAGTAATTAAAATTGATATTTTAATACCACTCTTACGTACGCGAAGCTAATACTTTTAATATTAATAATAAAACACTATCAATTCTATGTGCTACCTATTCATAGGTTTGAAGTCGGTGCCAAGCCTAATACATAATATAATAAGCATGATACATGAGTACCTACACTCGCCGGGCGCGTGTGAATTTATTTGTTAGGATTTAAGAAATGTAGTACCGATTTTCTAACTTGATGGCGTTAGCGTAGAATCAGAAGTCTATATGGTTGCGTTACCGGCGAAACTGTATATAACTTAGAAAGATACATATTTGGATGAATTATGAAAGTTTTCTCGTACTTGGTTGTTAAAAGTAGTAGTAGATAGCTGCGTTGTTAATTGTGGAAATTTCGTCTTTCAGCAATTAAACAGTCTTAATTCTCATTTTGTTTTATTCTGTTTAGGGCTTAGCACCGACTTCAAATCTATGAATAGGTAGCACATAGAATTGATAGTGTTTTATTATTAATATTAAAAGTATTAGCTTCGCGTACGTAAGAGTGGTATTAAAATATCAATTTTAATTACTTATTTGACACTTTTTTGTTTTTGAAGTCGGTTTTTTTAAACGTAGTTTTTTTATTTTTTACTTTTTAGTATCTGTTACAAGTTTTTCTGTAAACTACAGTAACATTTTAAATATAAATTAACATATTGAATAGTATATACTTTTTAAGTAGCTTTGTGTACCTAGGCCAACGAAAGGAGTCGCTAGATAAAAAAATATAGATCTCAAGAAACGGGAAAGTTCTCATCATCATCATCATCATCATCAGCCATTTTAATGTTCCCACTACTGGAACACAGGCCATCTCTCTAGGAAAGTTCTTAACAATATAAATTAAGTCCAAACACGAGGTAGCTACTGCAAACCGTTGAGGAGTTCCCTAGACTGTCCTTCGTCTTTATCATCTGATCCCTGATGACAGTCACAATCCATCTAGATGTAAAGTTCTTATCAAAACGAATTAATTAAGCTCAAACACAAGGAAGCTGCTATGAATCGTTGAGGAGTTCTCTCGACTGTCTCTCGGTTCCATCCGGAATTCCCTCGACGGTCAATGGTCTCCATCATCAGGTAAACTGCAGACCTTCAGTTGTTATAATACATACAGGTACAAAGTTTTCATCAATATAAATGAATTAAGTTCAAACACAAAGTAGTTACTGTAAACCGTTCAGGAGTTCCTTGAGCTGTCCTTCGTTCTCATCATCAGACCCTTAATGACAGTTACAACCAAGCCTGCTGCAAAGTGCTCGTCAATACGAATCATTCAAGCCCAAACACAAGGCAACTACTTCAAATAGTCAAGGAGATCCCTCGACTGTCTTCCAGCTCCAACATCTGGTCGACTTCGATCTTCGTCAAGTTGTAGTGTTGATAAAGGCCTACTTAAACATCATACAAAAACACTACTCGCCGCTACAATTTTCGAAAGTTCCCCTCGGTTTCTCCAGGATTTCATCATCAGATCCTGACCTCATGACAATGGGACCAAATGGCAAGTATACCCTATCGAATAAAAAAAGAATTTTGCAAATCGGTCCAGGCGTCTTCGAGTAATCGGTGTACATACATAAAAAAAAAAAAAAAAAAAAAAAATACTCGTCGAATTGAGAACCTCCTCCTTTTTTGAAGTCGGTTAATAAAATCATCTGCTCTGATATGCCAGTATTGGTGATGGTTATGGCAATGGTTCAACCATTGCGATATATGGTCAAGATTGATTTGTAACTTTTAACAGCAATTTCTGGTGAATCTGATAAGAACATCAGTCTAAACAACTTCGACTAAAGGGACATCAGTGGTAAAAAGCAGGTATATTGCTTTTTTGGACCCAGTACACTACCCTGTGGATCACCCCTGTTCGGATGCCCTTAAAAAATGTTATTGCTTCCGTTTATTTGACAAAAAATATCTATCACTGAAATATTACTTTCTAATACTATAGAAGACAAGGTAAGTCTTTTTTACAAAAGACCATCATGCCAAACAATTTCAAAGCTCAAAATACATCCAAGAACGCTACAGCACAATACTGTTTTAGCTCGAAACCTCGTTAATGCGGGCTACTTATCTATTTATTAGTTTCACAGTTCCTCAATTTAATTTGTTCAGAGAGAGACAGAGATTGAATTTTATAAATAATCTTATCTTAATCTCTTTCCCTCTCCCTGTGTGTGAGAGAGATATATACATATAGTGTCTGAATGTCTGCATAATACGCTAGTGTGATGCAGTGCTTACTTCATTACTGATTTGACAGATTCAGTATAATGTAACTTTGGCTTAACAGATAATTCTTTATCAACCTTTTACATATTTTTATACTTGTAAGGTATACATTTATATAAAGAGAAAAACAAGATCTTTTAAGGAAGACTGTGAGAAGAACCTATTGGATACCTATGAAATTACGACAAACAAGTTATTTTTATAGGATCTTTATTCTTATAGTTTTGTCTTGGTTAAAGAAACCATTGTTAGGTAGTTAAAATGAAACAACATCCCATTAAAAACACGTTTTTGGCTTTTACAATAATCGTTTATTTATATCTTAAAGGTACACAATGGAGTAAACATCTAATAAAAGTTAGGGCTGGAGCAGACCGGAGGAGTAGCGAAGTTATGCACCATTAATGTGAAATGCCTACTTGAAATCGATGCAACCCCGTAAGCGGTTCATCTTGACTCCTGACTCATTGTGTTTCTTGCAACACGTACCTACATTGACTACGTGCACGTCTACGCAAACGCATCAAGTCTGCCCGAGTCTTAATCGTGTACCCTGCACGTACATAATACATATAACGTAATTTGAAATATACATAAAACGCCTACCACAACCCCTCGCGCCTCATCGGGCAGCCACGTTAAAAACACCCTGTCATACTAAAAATCAAAGGGCGTTTACAAACTATTTGAAAGTGTTTCTCTTAAATATTGACAACTAATTGCGTCACCTGATATGGCTTTACCAAATTCATATTTTCGGATAAGTAAGATGGTTGCCAAAAAAAAAGTTACTGGCTACTGTTGGCAATGTTAATGGCTAATGTTAGGAATGTTGACTGCTAATGTTGGCTGTGTTGATGGCTAATGTTAGGAATGTTGACTGCTAATGTTGGCAGTGTTGATGGCTAATGTTAGGAATGTTGACTGCTAATGTTGGCAGTGTTGATGGCTAATGTTAGGAATGTTGACTGCTAATGTTGGCAATGTTGATGGCTATAATGTTGGCAATGTTGATGGCTAATGTTAGGAATGTTGACTGTTAAGTAAGTAAGTAAGTATATAATTTATTTGCATAAAACACGGTATAGAAGTGGTGTTATACATAATGATGAAAAGTACAATCGTGTTTCACTAAAAAAGCATGCAAAATTTAAAAATTAAGTAAATTTATATAACATAATAATAACCATAACATATTAAAACTTATGCTCCATGACTACTTGTTTTAAACTATAGAAGTTATACATTCGGCCTTAAATAAATTTTTATTTATTTCTTTTAATTGACATGATTGACATGTCGACTGCTAATGTTGGCAGTGTTGATGGCTAATGTTAGGAATGTTGGCAAAGGTACCAGATGATGTGTACTTGCAACGTTGACGACCACTGTAGCAAAACGCATACCCTATTTAGAAGCATCTTATGAGTAAATAGCCCTTTAATATATGTGTTCAACACAGGCAAAGCGTCATCTACATACAACCTACTTACATAGAGAGTATTACACAATTATATACTAAAATGCCTCTTACTTAAGACACATTATGTACACAAACCTTTTAGGAAACAGCATTCGTTTTTGAGCGTAAAGAGTAAACCTACTAAATATATGTTTCACATTGATTTAATTATAAAGAATTGTAGAAGTGGTACTTTGTTCTCAGTGGCATAAAACACTTATTCTATTTTGCTACAGTATTTACTTATAAACATCAATTAACTACTTGAAGACAATTAAATTTTATTAAAATAGTAATCTATTTTTGACGAATTTAAAGTTCAACTACATTAGAACACTGTTTTAAATACGTGTATAAGAAATTAAATAATAATAATAATAAGCCCGTAGGGCACCTTGAAGCGAAGTGACGGGAATTAGCGATGCCGAGGGCTACCATCATCCCGATTGCTCCAGGGAGAAGTCACCGTTTCTTACCTCCGGCTTGCCTTTATTGTCTGGCCAGAGTGAACGATGACGAGGATCAGGTCTTCCACCTCTGGCTTGCCTTCATTGGCCGTCCAGAGTGAAGTCGCGAGAATAGTAATCCTGCTCGGAGGGTGGAAGCTGTTCGTAAGTGGCGAGTGGGCCAATGATGCTGGATGCTTAGGCAGATGCAGATGGTCTGAGTAGAAAGCTGGTGGCAGTTTCTTCACCCTTCAGCCACTCACATTTCCGTTGTCCCGGTCGGTGAGTTGGCGAGTCTCCACCTGCCATTTTACGTGTATTTATTACATTGTTTCGGCAGGTACCATAGACCTTCCATAGTTATCATGTACCAATCCATGGTCACCCACACTCATAACCATCTTTTACCATTTTGCTCAATAGTCCTACATCAACCGGGGATTGTCCTTGGGTGCATTTTTATAGTGCATAGAGGAATAATTGCCGACTGATGTCCCATTTCACTGAAGTTAAAGTTGTTCAACGGGCCTCTGCGAGTTGGCTTGGGCCCCTCGTACGCCTTCCAAAGGTCCGGGATCCTGTGATCCCGTGAACGGAAATGAACTTACAAATCAATAATAATAGATAAACTAGTGTTTAGCGCAAGACTTTGTCCGCGCGGGATTTAACCCTGTTCCGGACGATGAAATAAATGACGCTGAATGTTGAAGTCCGTTCCAATCCACGTGGTTTTAATAGTAAGAGATCCAACTGTACGAAGACTTTTTATAACGTGAACCGGCAAACGAGCAGATAGATTACCTGATGGTAAGCAATCAGCGCTGTCCTTGAATGGACAACCATGGTACATACCATACTTGTTTGTAACACCAGAGTAGTTGCAAGTACAGTGCAGTTTGGGGATCCCTCATCCCTTCTCGGGGAAAGGGAAAAGGATTGGACCTCCGGTAACCTCACATAAAAGAAAAACACTACATTGTGGTAGTATACGTTTCACAGCGGTTTCACAGAAACAGAGACCAAAATCTATAAGTACATCGTACATAATACAAAATTGACAGCTACATAAGTAAGCCTATTAAAGCGTGCCTAGGAACACAATACAAAATCGGATGGACTGTCACCCTTCTTAACTGTCTTCTCTGCTGGTCGGAAGATTAGACTAGACTACTCAGACTATTAAAAACATTTCAAATACAGAATAGCTCTACTAGTTTCAGGTCACATCGGGAATCTTATTCATGAGCAGAATGCGCGTCGCGGCGACCTAGCATTGTCATTGTCACTCCGAAAATTCCAGTCACTGATTTTGAATGTCTAATTCAATCGATTGAGGAAGAATTTACAAATAAAATACTGGACGAAAATTTCCACAAAAATGTTGCCAAAGCACAAAAACGCAAAATGTATTTTATTGAAAATAACGACTTACTCACGTGAATGAACTGAGATAAGCTCAACTAGTTTCAAGTCACAGCGGGACTCTTATTCATGAGCAGCGTGCGCGTCGCGGCGACAATGCGCAGCCAATTCTTCTGTTTTATCAGTTTATTCGCGTAAGTTGTTATTTAAATTATTTAAGTATGATTGTCTCACGACAGTTACTATTAAAAAAGAAGCCAATTGTAATACTAATTCTATATTTTTTAAACTAAATACCTTATTTTAATATCGACAGAACAAAATGTCCCTTAATAGTCACTTTATTAGGCCGAAATTGAGGTTTTTTGAAAACCAGTGTTAAAACTTTTTTTCGTTTTGTAAAAGCACAACGTTATATGTATGTTTTTTATATAATTAAAAAGAACCGTGCCTACCTACAAAATCATATTTAGTTTCCACTGTCGAAATATATTTTTTTATTTACACAGATACTCTAACAACAACACCATGTACTTAAGAAATACATAGAAGTAATATTAAATAAGTAATATTAATTAAGTAGTAATATCTAAATCAATCTGTTCGTAAATATGATAATAAAGTAACGAAGTAAAGTACACAGTTGACCATATTTATTAAAGATACCTTTCATAATTCGGATAAGAAATGTATGTAGGAGAGTCAAAAATGATTTATTTCAATTAGAACCTAACAGGCACTATCGAATGTCAAACAAAATTTTAAAGGTATAAAGTGTCAGTCTGTCGGTCAGTCCTCTTACGCCCGGTTCCTATAATTGAGAAACGATCCGTTTTAATTACGAATAGTAGTTTTATATACGACTCGTAAGCTAAAACCGTTCCTATAATAAAAGTCTCGTCGTGCAACTTACTGACGGTTTGCAACTAACGGATATCGGTAAGCGAATTGTATGGAGATCTATGGTGTCTGTGGTTTTGCTATAAATATATTAACCGTCAGTAGACGGTCAAGATAACTATTCGTACTGTCATTTGGTCGTAATGCGTATACAACGACGATTCGTTAAATATAGGAACCGGGCATTAGTGAAGCTCTTTTGGCTTGAAGCAGGAGAAGGACGAGGGTAGTTGTTATTCGGTATGAGTTTGACATTCCCTCTCGCCCCACTAAGGGCGGGAGAAGCCAGTTAATGGTTTTAGGCATTGACGTGAGTATGAACTCACACCCCCTTTTGAAGATTTTAAACAAAACGTTTTCTTTAGAAAAAGGATGGGAATTGAAGATGGCGGAATATTCCAAGTCACAATTCATGACGTAGGAAAAATGACCAAAAATACTTACTTGCTTTGCTTCACACTTGATTATTTTTAAAGTAAATGGATTATAGTAAATTCTTTAATAATTTCTTAGAAAATATTCATAATCTACGGGGGTTTTAACGGCCAATCCTGTACAGAAGACCAAAAATTTTTTTCTCTCAAGCAAAAAAGTATTACCTGTGTTTCCTTAGCTATTAATTTATAGATGAGTTTTGAAAACATTTTAATATTAGAGACATAAATATCAAATCTTCATGCAAACTTTGTTCAAACACACTTCGTGACGCTTCTTTACACTTTTTCTTTCAGACTAAAATTGCATTTCAAAATTCCTATCTACATCTTACAAAGATTGCAGTCTCATTTCTTCATCCTTCTCTTAAGCTATACTTCGATCCGTAAGTCAGTCAGGACCAAGCCTCCATGTATAGATTTATCCAAAATAAATATTCTTATAAACAATAAATCCCTCATTACTCCAATGATTATCAAGCACGAGGGCCTCTTGAACACGAGGGTAGTTTGATTCGTAAAACGTATACAATTTGGTATAAAGAAGTGAGTATAGAGCTTACTAACTAATATTTGACACAAAATATATATATATTTTTTGACTAGTTGCCTAGATGAGAACACATTTATTTATGCCACTGTTTCCGGGTCACCAGTTCCGTTTGGATCTCGCGTGTGGAAGGGATGGAAGCAAGTGAACACGCATAAAGGCACCTTACATCCGAAACAGGAGGAGGTGCAACGCTTGGAGCAGTGTGCGCAGTGACGACGCATGCGTTGCTTTGCACTCGGTAGGAAACGATTCTCCACTGCGTAATGTATAAATTCGTCTGACGGAAACACTACCGGGGTTGGAATCACAGCATTCCACTGCTGATGTTGCTTTAGCAACGAATTGATGAGGTTCATACGAAACCCCCTTTGAGTCTCCTTTTCATGACCATGTTTGTACATTATAAATGCATTCAACACACTAAGGTTGAGTAACCTTTTAAAAATCTTCTTGTACCATATTTGCGACCGCTTTTCTTCGGGACACGTGGCATCTATCTGATCTTTCTTGTTAATACCACCCATACAGATGTTATAATCATAAATTATGGATGATTTGACTTTATCGTTGTTCCTGTTTATCACCGTCCCAGTTCCATGGTATGTTGACACCATCGCTATTCGTTTCTGATCTCCTATTACTATGAGATCCACGTCTCCAGATGTATAGCCAGAAATCTGACCAAACGCTACACCACCCTTTTGCAGTGCTGCTATTTCCCCGGGTACATATTGATCACCAGTCTTCAATTTACCTACGCAGTCAAACCCTTTAGATTTAAGTATCCTTGCAAGAGATGGAGAGTTTTTATCCATCCAGACTGTATAACCCTTATATTCAAGGCCATCGAGCAATTTTAATACGACTGTCGGTATCAATCCACATGAAGAACTTTGTGCCTCTGGGGAGGACGTGTCGTATTCTGTACGTACGTCAAATCTCCATAAGTATCCCGTCTGGCACTCACAGACCTCATAGGTTTCGCCACTTACTATGTGGTCTTTTTCCTTCAAGTATGGGTGACGTTTACTCTGAGTCATGAAGTTATCAATAACTATATTCTGTTGGAGTGTGTACAGTTCTGAGAACCGCTTGTTCAGATGATCAACAAGAATTTGGACTTTTAGTAGTTTAGCTTGAGGAGGAGTCATGTTGATTGGATCACATGTTTCATTGTCCATGAAATGAATACAACGATTGAGGAGAAGGAACCGGCTGTAAGCCATCGTTGTAGAGAAAGATGGGGTTGAAAATATATCTTTGGCGGTACTCCAGTATTCTTCCACGTGCGCTTTTACCACGATTCCCATAGCAAGTATTATTGCGAAAAACACATACAGTTCATCAGGATTGGTTTCTTTCCAAAACAAAATCCGGCTTCGTAAGCTGAGAGTGCCTTCATCTGCCATTCTCCGCATCATCTGCTCAGCATATCTATTGGTCTCTGCTGCAATACTTTCCATAAATTCTCTATCCCAGATGGCTACAAACGCATCATATGTGCTATCGTATGTAGTTGTGGGACCGACGTTGACCTGAGAGAACGATTCTCTTCGTGTATTAGAAGACGAGGACTGCGATAATGGTTTCCAACTAAACTGAAACAGGTCTTTCGGCAGAAATTGTTTCACATGCCGCGCAGTTTCTCTTTTCCTTTTTGTTGATCCTCCCCTGGATACTGGAGCAGGTGTTGGCTCTGGGGTTGGTTGTTGGGCTACGGGGCTTGGTGGTACCCAGTCGTACACAATAGAGAATTCCTCCATTGTGGTCGAATCTTCACTAATGCCATACAGATGTTTTGGCGTTTGGTCGCCTGTGGCAGGTGGAGCCTCGTCCGATTCTTCTTCACTACCTGTAATTGTATATGTTCACTTACTTTTAACATCAGTCTTTTAGGAGCCCACATCATTGATGATTGTTACAAAATAAGTTACAACTCTTTATCAATTCCAACTTTCATCATTTTTGACTGCCATCACGCTAAGCTTTGCATCATCACGATGCACGTCTGTTTTTAAGCTAACTATTAAATTTACTACAAAAGGAACTATATAAAATTTAAATGATATACGTGAATTACGTGATCTGGATATATAAGCCTTACCGTAATTTTGTCTGCACGGTCTCTCATCTTTGAGCTGATGATCTGAAGGTCTGCATGTTGATGGACTGGCACAGTTGCTAGTACTGCCGTTGCTGTTAATATCCAGGAAACTGTAACATTTACATCATGATCTTCAAACATCTTGTTATCTTCTATATTCAAATTTAATTCGGATAATAAAGAACATTATGTAATTTAATTCGCCCATATTTTTCCTCACTCGTAACTGATCGTGGCCCTGATTTTTTAAGTGTCAAAAATCAATAACCTTTTACTAAATATTTGCCCAGTTTCCCAAATTCTGAAAAGTACTACATCTCTAAGAGTGTGATTGAAAATAAAATCAGTGTTGGCATCATTTCTTGCATTGGGAATGTCCAAGGGCGGCGCTAATTAGCCAATAGACCACCATCATAGTTGAGGCCCGCATGGTCAATACTAAGCCTGCGTCGTGGGTCAAGCGCAATAAGATGCCGTGGCCTTGGCCTAGAGTTCGAGAAGGAACGAGGGGGTTTTATTCAGTAAGAGTCCGACACCCCCTCTCGCCATACGCAAAGTAAGACAAGTCATTTGATGATTTTCCCTCCACAAATAAGGGCGGCGCAAATTGCTTACCAGGTGATTTGTCTTATACTATAAAAAAAGACCGAATACAGAAAGCAGGTGCAATACGATAACTGAGTTTTTGCGAAAATAAATTGTAAGCGTTATCTTAGTGATGATAATGCCAAAAAAAAAACAAATTTTTTACTCAAAATTACAAAAAGGTGATGTCATGTGAATCGGTTCTTTTTTAATCAAGACAATTATCGAAAATGTTTTCATAAATCGAAATATGTTACATTATAAATGTGTGATTTAATAATTTTTAATTATTATTATCTCGTATCGGCGAGAATAATGATGAAATTTTGGAAACTTGTTAATACATGAAAATACATGATAACCTGTATGGACAGGCTTGGACATTTAAAACATTAAACCTCAACCTTCCATTTTCAAATCAAGATTGAATATTATCTGCCATCTTTAATAATCTATAAATTAGGTATACCTGTGGTTTTGCTTAATTTTTTTTTAATAAATCGACAAACGAACTACGTTGCCGGCCTTGTACGGGTTGTTAGGGATTTGACGATTTGGGATTTGGATATTGGTGCCCATCACCAAACCACAAGACAAAGATTGGCTCCGGTAGCCATGTAGCCTCAACAATATGCATACGTGTCTGTAGTTCACTTGTATTCTGTGAAGCCGTGATATATTCTCCGAACCCTGCCGAGCCGTGAACATTTTGCCATGATCTCCTTATATTGTGATTCATGCAAGTTCTTATTAATACGTTATTCAAAATGGGAGTTTATTCCACTAAACTCATTGGGTTTATTTGATTATTTAGTTTGATACTTACGCTACTGTTGAAGGTTTGATTTGTGTGAAGGACGGCGCTGGAAGCTGGGTGACTGAAAGTGCAGAAACCTGAGGCACTCTGAAGTATGGCTCCACTGGAGGGGAATGCCTCGGTTCCAAAGCAGGGTCAACGTCGATTCTACAAAAACAACATAAAATAGGTATTGTTAGACACCTCTTCGGTCGCGTTTACGTTTTGTTTGGTGTACATTGCTGCAGTAGACCGCGTCATCTTCTGGGACAAACACAGACCTAGGAACATTATGAGCAATGTATGATGGAGCGCACGGTGCGTCGCTCACCGCGCAACCGGCGCCTTGGACTAGATGGATGCACCCACTTTTTCCCAAGTACACATTCTATAAAGGGACTTATCAACCAAACACATATTCTAGACAAGGCCAGACGCTATGACTGAGATCCTTTGAAAACTGAACATCCTACTATCGTATTACCTATACCTACTAATATTATAAAAAGGTAAAATTTGTAAGTTTGTAAGTAGGGGGTAATTTTTGGAACCGTTGTTTCTATAGAATTATTCCACTTTTAAATAGCTATAATGTTCCTGAGTGTTATAGGCTATAAAACATCACGCTACGATCAAATGGAGCCGAGCAGCGAGAGAGAGAGAGCTCTCGAGAGAAGCTAGTAATATTTAAATGTGAAAATTTGCGATAAAGTATGAACGAGATCATGATGGAACAATCAGATGCCATTCTTTGAAGGTCGCAAGCGTAAATGCCAGGCATTGGATTTCGCAACTGCAATAATAAAACAAGATTGAAAAACTACATACTGATTATGGGTTATGGTGGCCCGAAGGTTTTTTTTGTGAGGGGAAAATCATCAAATGACTTCTCCCGCCCAGGGCCGAGCGAGAGGGAGTGTCAGACTCTTACTGACTAAAAACCCCCCTGTTCATTCTCCTGCTCTGGGCCGAAGTCGCGGTGCATCATTGCGCTTACCCCGCAACCCCGGCTGAACATCAGCCCTTTAGAGCCCCGTCTGTGGTGGTCTATTGGCTCTTTGAGGCGCGCGCGGAACGCTACGCGCCGTACGCTGTGGCCCGAAGGTTAAGGCGTCCACTTCTCATGCATGATGGTGTGACCTGGTAAGTACCAATGCGACTTTTTCGCGTTATATGAACTTTCTATATGAATTTAGACACCACTGACAGGCGGTGTAGAAAAACATCGTGAGGAAACCTGGACTTATAATTTGAACAAGCGTGGTGACAAATGCTCTAACCTTCTCCGTGTAAGAAGAGGCCTTTGCTCAGCAGTGGGCTCTTATAGGCTAATGTAGGTGATTACGGGTATTCAAATAACCCTTAAAGAGCATTTACGTAGCGGGGACCCCACAAACTCAAGTGGAAAATAAATAAAAATACTACTTAAATAAATTAATTATTACTTTGTACTCATACGCAATGTGTTATTCAGGTTGAAAATCACGAAGTTAAGTGTGGGAGAGCCATGCAGCGATTACGCAAACATATGTTTCAAAAAGCTATCACGACACAATTAAAAACAAAAGTCTTAAAAGGGGAGGAAAGATTTCCGGTCCTGTCCGGTCGGCAAACGAGCGGAGGGATTATCTGATGGTAAGCAATCAACGCCGCCCATGAACACCCGCAACAACAGAGGAGTTACGAGTGCGTTGTCAGTCTTCAAGGAATAAGGTTTTACGAGTAAATACAACGAAATACAACGCTGTGGTTGTTTCACGCCGGATTTTTGTGAAGACGTGGTATATATGTATAGCTAGGCTATTGCATTAGGTACAAAATCTGTAAAAATAGTCTAAGTTTTGGAAAATAAATAAACAAATAAATATATTACTCCAGTCAAGCAGACCCATTCGTGCCGAAGCATGGCTCTCCCACACAGAAACTGTATATGTGAAAATGTCGCAAATAAGAGGTGATACGAACGGATCTTTTACATCGGGGTGGTGGACCACAGATACACTGTGCACAGGCTGCATCGCGTTGTTCATGATCGGTCTGTCGGTCTCCATTTCTGCCGATCTCACAACATCCATCATGTCGCGCAAATACCGATTGCGCGTCGGACGAATTTCACTGTAACACATTTGAATCATAAATCAAAAATGGTGAATATTTTAGATCACCGTCACATGACTATCACTATTCCCTATCAACTTCATAATATGATTAAAGCAGTCCCTGTCCCTGTCCCTGTCCCTGTCCCTGTCCCTGTCCCTGTCCCTGTCCCTGTCCCTGTCCCTGTCCCTGTCCCTGTCCCTGTCCCTGTCCCTGTCCCTGTCCCTGTCCCTGTCCCTGTCCCTGTCCCTGTCCCTGTCCCTGTCCCTGTCCCTGTCCCTGTCCCTGTCCCTGTCCCTGTCCCTGTCCCTGTCCCTGTCCCTGTCCCTGTCCCTGTCCCTGTCCCTGTCCCTGTCCCTGTCCCTGTCCCTGTCCCTGTCCCTGTCCCTGTCCCTGTCCCTGTCCCTGTCCCTGTCCCTGTCCCTGTCCCTGTCCCTGTCCCTGTCCCTGTCCCTGTCCCTGTCCCTGTCCCTGTCCCTGTCCCTGTCCCTGTCCCTGTCCCTGTCCCTGTCCCTGTCCCTGTCCCTGTCCCTGTCCCTGTCCCTGTCCCTGTCCCTGTCCCTGTCCCTGTCCCTGTCCCTGTCCCTGTCCCTGTCCCTGTCCCTGTCCCTGTCCCTGTCCCTGTCCCTGTCCCTGTCCCTGTCCCTGTCCCTGTCCCTGTCCCTGTCCCTGTCCCTGTCCCTGTCCCTGTCCCTGTCCCTGTCCCTGTCCCTGTCCCTGTCCCTGTCCCTGTCCCTGTCCCTGTCCCTGTCCCTGTCCCTGTCCCTGTCCCTGTCCCTGTCCCTGTCCCTGTCCCTGTCCCTGTCCCTGTCCCTGTCCCTGTCCCTGTCCCTGTCCCTGTCCCTGTCCCTGTCCCTGTCCCTGTCCCTGTCCCTGTCCCTGTCCCTGTCCCTGTCCCTGTCCCTGTCCCTGTCCCTGTCCCTGTCCCTGTCCCTGTCCCTGTCCCTGTCCCTGTCCCTGTCCCTGTCCCTGTCCCTGTCCCTGTCCCTGTCCCTGTCCCTGTCCCTGTCCCTGTCCCTGTCCCTGTCCCTGTCCCTGTCCCTGTCCCTGTCCCTGTCCCTGTCCCTGTCCCTGTCCCTGTCCCTGTCCCTGTCCCTGTCCCTGTCCCTGTCCCTGTCCCTGTCCCTGTCCCTGTCCCTGTCCCTGTCCCTGTCCCTGTCCCTGTCCCTGTCCCTGTCCCTGTCCCTGTCCCTGTCCCTGTCCCTGTCCCTGTCCCTGTCCCTGTCCCTGTCCCTGTCCCTGTCCCTGTCCCTGTCCCTGTCCCTGTCCCTGTCCCTGTCCCTGTCCCTGTCCCTGTCCCTGTCCCTGTCCCTGTCCCTGTCCCTGTCCCTGTCCCTGTCCCTGTCCCTGTCCCTGTCCCTGTCCCTGTCCCTGTCCCTGTCCCTGTCCCTGTCCCTGTCCCTGTCCCTGTCCCTGTCCCTGTCCCTGTCCCTGTCCCTGTCCCTGTCCCTGTCCCTGTCCCTGTCCCTGTCCCTGTCCCTGTCCCTGTCCCTGTCCCTGTCCCTGTCCCTGTCCCTGTCCCTGTCCCTGTCCCTGTCCCTGTCCCTGTCCCTGTCCCTGTCCCTGTCCCTGTCCCTGTCCCTGTCCCTGTCCCTGTCCCTGTCCCTGTCCCTGTCCCTGTCCCTGTCCCTGTCCCTGTCCCTGTCCCTGTCCCTGTCCCTGTCCCTGTCCCTGTCCCTGTCCCTGTCCCTGTCCCTGTCCCTGTCCCTGTCCCTGTCCCTGTCCCTGTCCCTGTCCCTGTCCCTGTCCCTGTCCCTGTCCCTGTCCCTGTCCCTGTCCCTGTCCCTGTCCCTGTCCCTGTCCCTGTCCCTGTCCCTGTCCCTGTCCCTGTCCCTGTCCCTGTCCCTGTCCCTGTCCCTGTCCCTGTCCCTGTCCCTGTCCCTGTCCCTGTCCCTGTCCCTGTCCCTGTCCCTGTCCCTGTCCCTGTCCCTGTCCCTGTCCCTGTCCCTGTCCCTGTCCCTGTCCCTGTCCCTGTCCCTGTCCCTGTCCCTGTCCCTGTCCCTGTCCCTGTCCCTGTCCCTGTCCCTGTCCCTGTCCCTGTCCCTGTCCCTGTCCCTGTCCCTGTCCCTGTCCCTGTCCCTGTCCCTGTCCCTGTCCCTGTCCCTGTCCCTGTCCCTGTCCCTGTCCCTGTCCCTGTCCCTGTCCCTGTCCCTGTCCCTGTCCCTGTCCCTGTCCCTGTCCCTGTCCCTGTCCCTGTCCCTGTCCCTGTCCCTGTCCCTGTCCCTGTCCCTGTCCCTGTCCCTGTCCCTGTCCCTGTCCCTGTCCCTGTCCCTGTCCCTGTCCCTGTCCCTGTCCCTGTCCCTGTCCCTGTCCCTGTCCCTGTCCCTGTCCCTGTCCCTGTCCCTGTCCCTGTCCCTGTCCCTGTCCCTGTCCCTGTCCCTGTCCCTGTCCCTGTCCCTGTCCCTGTCCCTGTCCCTGTCCCTGTCCCTGTCCCTGTCCCTGTCCCTGTCCCTGTCCCTGTCCCTGTCCCTGTCCCTGTCCCTGTCCCTGTCCCTGTCCCTGTCCCTGTCCCTGTCCCTGTCCCTGTCCCTGTCCCTGTCCCTGTCCCTGTCCCTGTCCCTGTCCCTGTCCCTGTCCCTGTCCCTGTCCCTGTCCCTGTCCCTGTCCCTGTCCCTGTCCCTGTCCCTGTCCCTGTCCCTGTCCCTGTCCCTGTCCCTGTCCCTGTCCCTGTCCCTGTCCCTGTCCCTGTCCCTGTCCCTGTCCCTGTCCCTGTCCCTGTCCCTGTCCCTGTCCCTGTCCCTGTCCCTGTCCCTGTCCCTGTCCCTGTCCCTGTCCCTGTCCCTGTCCCTGTCCCTGTCCCTGTCCCTGTCCCTGTCCCTGTCCCTGTCCCTGTCCCTGTCCCTGTCCCTGTCCCTGTCCCTGTCCCTGTCCCTGTCCCTGTCCCTGTCCCTGTCCCTGTCCCTGTCCCTGTCCCTGTCCCTGTCCCTGTCCCTGTCCCTGTCCCTGTCCCTGTCCCTGTCCCTGTCCCTGTCCCTGTCCCTGTCCCTGTCCCTGTCCCTGTCCCTGTCCCTGTCCCTGTCCCTGTCCCTGTCCCTGTCCCTGTCCCTGTCCCTGTCCCTGTCCCTGTCCCTGTCCCTGTCCCTGTCCCTGTCCCTGTCCCTGTCCCTGTCCCTGTCCCTGTCCCTGTCCCTGTCCCTGTCCCTGTCCCTGTCCCTGTCCCTGTCCCTGTCCCTGTCCCTGTCCCTGTCCCTGTCCCTGTCCCTGTCCCTGTCCCTGTCCCTGTCCCTGTCCCTGTCCCTGTCCCTGTCCCTGTCCCTGTCCCTGTCCCTGTCCCTGTCCCTGTCCCTGTCCCTGTCCCTGTCCCTGTCCCTGTCCCTGTCCCTGTCCCTGTCCCTGTCCCTGTCCCTGTCCCTGTCCCTGTCCCTGTCCCTGTCCCTGTCCCTGTCCCTGTCCCTGTCCCTGTCCCTGTCCCTGTCCCTGTCCCTGTCCCTGTCCCTGTCCCTGTCCCTGTCCCTGTCCCTGTCCCTGTCCCTGTCCCTGTCCCTGTCCCTGTCCCTGTCCCTGTCCCTGTCCCTGTCCCTGTCCCTGTCCCTGTCCCTGTCCTGGAAATAAAGAAATACTTACTAATTAGATATAGATGAAACTGCCTCAGATTTGATTGGTGGAAAATATGACGGATGCGGAACCGGAGGTTCGTAGCAAGCTGGGCGTACAGAGTATGGATCCCTGAAACATTAAAACGTATATAGTAGTATATATGTATGGTCCAGTCCTTTACCTCCGCTTCCCCAATCTCCAAAACCTTAATTCCCTAAAACCCGCAAAAAAAGTCCCGTCCTTCTACACTCGTAGCTTGTTTGGTCCTCCGTGCAAACGCATGTGAGGGTGCGTTTCCGCTTTCTACACTAAAACAGATTGATTATCTAATCTTATCTTAGAACAGCATCATGCATTTTGCTATAAATTTTACATCATGATATAAGTCTTATGTCACACATTGATAAAAACTAACTTATGTCCTATTCCGGAGTGTATCCAATGCCTGTGCCAAATTTCATCTAGAACCTTGCAGCCATTTTGGTGTGATCGCGTAACAAACATCCAAACATCGAAACTCGCATTTATATTATTAGTAAGAAGTAAGATACGATTTGAGGTAAATACTTACGAATAGACAGGAGGACTTATCCGTGGTCTCAGCGGCATCGGATGGTAGGACGACTCTGGTATTCCAAAGTGTTCTCTAGCATGTGGTCTGTAGTACCTTTAAATTGAAATATTTATTAAATGTACCTAGTCGAAGAGTCAGCATCTGAATGAAACACTTTTCTCATTATTTTACCGTCATCAGATTCATCAGTCAGATAGGAAATTTCGGCATCGTCAAGATTTTTTTGTATAAGACTGTACCCACCCCGTGGTTTCACTCGCGTAGCTTATCTATACTAATATTATAAAGAAGTAAATAAGTTTGTACAATACCGCCAACGTATCCTGGCGAGTCTGAAGTTAGCCGATTAGCTGGACAGTACACAATTTTGTTCCTAAAAGATCCATTGCGCAGACAAATGGCTAACTTCAGACTCGCCAAGATATGTCGGCCGTACTGTATGTTTGTAAGTTTGTATGTAGGGGGTAATCTTTGGAACCGCTGGTCGGATTGCCAAAATTCTTTCACCGATAGATTGCCGCAATTTTCCGTAAAACATCACGCTACAATCAAATGGAGCCGAGCAGCGGGTGAAACCGCGTGAAAGTAGCTAGTAGCCTATATTCACCGGGGTTGGTGAAGGTCAAGTTGTTACAGACAACACTGTAGTTTCCAACTAGTCAAATTCAATACTTTTATCCAAATGTCAAAAATGATACTTTTCTATGAGATTTGTATGAAATACTGAGTTATAACGTCATAGTATTTTGACGTCAAATAGCTTACTTATTTCTTAAAATTAGCTAAAACACATCTAAAATTTAGTGTATCGATCGATCGATGAATGAAAGTATAGTAATTTTTCAATATTTCATTGTATTGAAGCGTCGAATTAATTTATTTATTGTTGACCTAGGAAACTACCAAATTGTAACAAACGAACAATCAAATATTGCGCTTATATTATTAAACGAATATAGATTGACTATGAAACAATGATTTTTGTTTTGAATTCATTGTTTTGTAGTAAAAAGTATGGCAATTACCTGTAATAATGTACTATTAAGATTTAAATAAAGGAAAAAGGTGTGAGTAAAATACTCAAAACGTCAATTTCTTTTCTCATACAAACACGAACTCTGCGAACGACGAGGGATGTAGATACCTATTTATTGACTTGTTCCTTAAAAAGCTGTCATAATAGTTGAACAGGAAAAAACAATTGAAAATATTTACCCGTCCATGGCCCGGGATACGCTTGGTGCCTCCCTGTACGGGCTCCTAGGATGGTATTGATGATGTGTGTTCGAAGACGGTGGGTTGACCACCACTACTCCATCGATACGCATCCGGACGCCCGACCGTCGCATCGGCGGGACATCCTGCGGCTTGCTATTAATGAACCATTCAAATTAAATGTATTAGTCCCCTGATAATCTTATCAATATTATAAATATGAAAATTTGTGAAGAGTTGAGTGCGTTATAGCCAAGCATCGGCACGAATGGGTCATCTCCACCGGAGTGATACCGCGACCTCACAGAAATCTGGCTTGAAAAAACCACAACGTTGCGTTTCGCCGTGTGAGTAAGGTTACCGGAGATTCAATCACTCCCTCTCTCCCCATCTCTTCCCAATCCTTAAATATACAAAACCCTTATCCCTAAAAGGCCGTTAACGTACTCGTAAGGCCTTTGGTGTTGTGTGTGTCCATGGGCGGCGCTGATTCCTTACCATCAGGTAATCCGTCTGCTCGTTTGCCAACCTATTCCGGCCTCACAGAAATCTGGCGTGAAGCTACCGTTTCACCGTGCAAGTGTAGTTATCGTACCGAAAACCCAATTCTCCCTATCCCCAGATCCTGATCCTCAAATTCTTAACCTTCAAAACCATATAGCAACGCACTCGTAAGTCTTCTGAAGTTTCGAGTTTCCATCATATATGGTCGAGCTGCAGCTAATGAGCATTATTTGACACGGATTACCTGATGGTAAGTAATTGGGCCGCCCATGGATACTCGTAACCCCAGAAGAGTTTATTGTAATAAGAGTTATAAGTATAAGTCAAGTTATAAGTATAAGTATAAGGCAGTGGATGGATTGGGCCTCCGGCAACCTCAGTCAAATAGCGAAACAACGCTGTGGTTGTATGGAGCCGGTTTTCTGTGATGCAAAGGTATTACTCCGGTCGAGTTAGCCCATTCGGACCAACGCATGGCTCTCCCACACTAAAACTTTGATATTTATCCACTTATCTTTATATATATGGTATACTTACAGGAATGGTGATGGGTCCGCTCTATACGTGGTAGTCGGCATATGGTGCGAAGGTTCCCAAACTGGCTCCTGTCGCAGATCCAGTGGTGAGGCTGGGTAGCTCGAGGGCGGAAATGGAGTGTCTGGACGCTCATTACTGTAAATTAATTAATATATTTTTTTATTTAAAAACTTCATGCACAGCCAAAAATTGTGCATAAGACGGTCTTAATGCAGTGAGCATTCTCTTCCAGTCAACCTTAGGGTAATGCAAAGATATAATTGATTCATAGTTTCAATTAAACCTAAAATAATACTTTTTTATACGTCTTCTTTGTCAGGATAAATGGTCATATCTAATGAGACCCACTTTGATGTGTTTACCAGCAGAAAGCCGAAGATACGATAATATTATATGGTAAAATAATCTACATAAATAATCGCCAACTTTCGTTGTGATAAATAAAATTAATTGTGTTTATTTCAGATTCTTAGATTTTATTACGTGTAAATTTTTTATATTATTATCTACTATCGTAGTCGTTACAGGTCGACCTACTAAAAGCGTTTATAGAAAATAATGACTTAGAAAATCACGTGAATTACCTAATTGAGAAAAACTTTTCGTCGTAACTGGAATCATATTGATGTGCAACGGCCTTATCCGAACGGCTTTCATTGGCGTATTTACAATAAAAAGACTGAAATGAAGCCACAAATATGGCGCCAAAAAGTGTTTCGAATAAGTTTCAACTGTCTTTTTAAACTCCAAAAAGAGTATTGTTTTCGAAATTTGAATGGTGATTTGTTTTTTTTATGTATTCATGTACATTGGAACACTGCCTATTGTTTATCAACCAAAACATTTTTTAAATTTTTGGTACGCTAAAGAAAGAGTATTTTTCTCACACAGCAGGTAATTATTTTAAATTCTGAGAGATTCATATTAAATACAGTTCTTTTGATGAAAACTATTATCTATAGAGTGAGATTTAAAAACATTCCTTTATACAAATACATACCTATTAAATACCTTGAATAAGGTCTTTGTATGATCCACAAATTGTTCTTCCATTTCTGGGATTGATAGGTTTACAAACTACTTTATATAAAAACAATATAAAAAAACATTAAAAAACGGACCTGTACCACTGAGTTCAACGCTAACGCTACCAGTCGCTTAACAGACAATCATTGCTATTATAATTATGACAGGCACTAGTGTATCTCTAACAATAATAATAAAACAATAAAACCAAGTAACTCTACAATAAAACATCATTATAATTATATTAACTAATATTAAACGCTTAGAAATAATTAATTTCCTTTCCGAACATACTTAATACGAAAGATTATATTTCTATCACTTCTTAGCATATGATTGCTACTACTTATTAATAAGGCACCATTGCAAACTATACAATATTATGAACAGGTAAAATTTGTAAGTTTGTATGTAGGGGGTAATCTTTGGGACACTTCACTTTCGCTTATAAATAGCTCCATTGTTCCTGAATGCTGTAAAACATTGCTCTACATCCAATAGAAGCCGATCAAGGGGTAAAACCGCGCGTCAATTAGCCAGTGAAACAAAAACGCGCGAAAAGTATGTTAGGTACTAACTTCTGTTGTTTTTTCCACGTTTATATTTATATTTAATTTTTTGATATTTATTTATATACCTAAGTATATATTTAATTAATTAATTTATACATGTTTTCCTCCCATTGGGCTTCCACAAATTTATCCACATAGTAAATAGTAAACCTTAGCTTCTAATACCAAAAATAAATAAAAAAAAAGCTTGCTAATATAAATGTTACTTGCTCCCAACACCAACAATTTCATATTTCAAATTGTATATGTTTCATAATGCCAGAATAACATTTTTAATGCCCCCACTCTGAAGACATTATACAGCTTGTGACTGTCCCCTAGTCCTCCGCTGGACTAGTAAATGCCGGCCCCCATCTGTGACTCCTCAGGTGTTGTGGGTGTCAATGGGCGTTGATGACTTACCATCCATTGATCCGCCTGCCCATTGGCCTCCTTTGTTTGTTTTATGGAAACAACGGTACGTGATCGACCTGCGGCACCAAAGGAGTCAAAGGTTCGTTGAAGTTGAGTCGAGTTTTAAGAAGGAGTATGCTCTTTTTTTGAAGGTTTGAAGGTCGTATCGGTTCGAAAATACTGACGCCCGGAAGATCATCCCAAAGTTTTGCTGTGTGGGGCAACACAGCAAAACTTTGAACGACTGGAATGATCTTCAAAAAAGAAAGTTAAAAGTTTAGTCTATTGCCAAATAACATACAAGGAGTTACCAAATTCCCTACGCTATGTAAGAAATCACAGTTTTTAAGGATCACGTTACCAGAGAGCGGTGCTTCCTGGTTTCTTTCTTCACTCCTGCAGGCTAAAGAGCCATCCATAAAGTGCGTCACATGAATTTCATGACTTCTTCAGCCCTCCCCTCTCTCCCCCCCTTCCTTGTCCCAGATGGCCCTCGTTACGTTCACGTGTGACGTACTTTATGGATGATCCCTAATGTTCTTATTTAATACTGCCATCACCGCACAATTAAATAAAATCGAACGCTCAGCAGTTGACAATAAAGATTAAAATTGATCAATGTTCAATCACTACATACTTAGAATAAAAAAGTCGCTTTCTCGATCTGTGCCTATATCCCTACGTATGCTTAAATCTTTAAAACTACGCGGCATATTTTGATGCGTGTTTCTTTAACAAATAATGTGATCGAAGAGGAAGGTTTACCTTTTAAATATAATAACATCCATTAAATATTGGATGATATCGGAATTGGATCTGCGCAAAGCCGGGGCCAAAAAGTAATAAATAAAAATACTTACGCACTTTGAGTACCGACTAGCCCACTTCTCAACCTCTTTGGAGAACCGGGCGATGGCGGCGGCTTGCTTATACGAACTTGTGAAAGCAGTGAAGCCTTTTTCTTAGCGGCCCTGCAAGATTTAGAGATCAGCTCTAGAGACGATACATTTATTGGCCACGAGAAAAATAAAAAGTATCATCAGTCGTCATTTCTACAATATATAACTGAACATAAGCTTTACAATTGGCCGTCCATTCATTATGAAGACTAATTAATTATTAAAATTACGTGAATATTGTAGGTCTCGAAGTGTAAGAAAGCCATGTTTCGATACGAAAGGGGTCGACTCGACCGGCGTGATACCACGGCCTCACAGGAAACCGGCGTAAAGCAACACTTACGAGTTACTGGAGGCTCAATTCTTCCCGCCTCCCCCCATCAACATTACTAAATCCCCTATCCTTAAACTTTCAACCATGGTAATTCCAGACATAATTTAAGAACAATAGGTCTTTTAAAAAGAAGAAAAAGAAAAAATTGGTGGGGTTTGAAGAAATTACTCCCTAATAATAACCCACATGAATGAAAGTATTATCGTGGTGGCCCGGAGGTTAGGCCGCCCGTTTCTCATGCATGAGGATGCAGATTCGAAACCTAGCAAGTACCAATGTTACTTATTCTAAGTTATATGTAGGTACTTTCTATGATTATTTAGACACCACTGGCACAAAGGAAAACACCGAGAGGAAACCTGGAATTGGAATTTCTAATTATAAGTTTGAAATCGCCAATCCGAGCGGTAGCGGTGACTAGATAATGCTCATACCTTCTCCGTGTGAGAGTCTAGGGATTGAGAAGGGATTGGGGGAGGGGAAGGATTGGGCCTCCGGTAACCTCACTCACACGGCGAAACACAACGCTGTGGTTGTTTCATGCCGGTTTTCTGTGAGGCTGTGGTATCACTCCGGTCGAGCCGACCCATTCGTGCCGAAGCATGGCTCTCCCACACATAAAAAATGCTTAGCATAGGCTAATGATGATAAACCCACAAGAGGCAGGTAACGGACTTGTAGTAAGTAATTTGGCACTACGAGTGTAGATACTCGTAGTGCCAAAGGACGGAAGGCGGCGCTGATTGCTTACCATCAGATAATCCGTAAGCTCGTTTGCCGACCTAAAACGTATTAAAAAATAGAGAATTACAATCATCTACTTACGACTTGAGCGAGCTCCGCTTTGCCCTCTTCTTGCCCTTCCGTTTTTTCGACTTAGCCAGTGGTCTCTTCTTCATTCCAATCACTTCCACTTGCATGGAATTTACAGCCTCGCCAAGACGCCTCGGGTATTTATTCTTACTGTAAATTAATATTAAATTAAAATTTTATTGAGTGAGCATTTATCAAGAAAGTACAGTTTTGTTTATAGTTACAATTGGCTCAGAATTTTAGGTGTCTAAACTAGGAAATCCTTTATTTCAGGCGAGATTTAGTATAAAATAATTTTGTTAAATAATCATAATGAGTTAGGTACGTGATTATTTTTAAAAGAATAGGAAATAATGTTTTGATTTACACTAAAAATAATAAACAATGATATTTTAACAATTCATTCGTTGTATTTTGCTCTCCCTGCATGAAAATACTTTTTCATATTAAACAAATAATTGTTAAATTAATATTACGCTTTCTTAACCCAGTTTGGCCGCTTTGGAGTACCTAATAAGTATTTTTTTCTATTAGAAGTTCTAGTCACTCGGTCGGAAGGATTGTCAGACTCATACTGACTAAAAAGCACCCCGTTCCTTTTCCTGATGAAAAGTGCGGTTTTATCCGCAACCCCGACTAAAACTACAAAGCATTTCAATTGATCTACAATTACAATTAAAAAACTATGCCAGAAGCACAAAATTAATAAAATGTAATCAAAATCATTACAAAAAGCATAATTCACGTGGAGCTGCTGCCATCTACGCTTCATCGTCCCCAGTTTGACATAACAATTTTATTTAAACCTATCGTCAATTCGTCATACTCTCGGAGTTTTCATTAAATATCAGAAACGTGTGAACTATAACAAAGAGCAACAGTTTATGAGCATAATAAGTTTAATACATTGACGTAAAGCGGCGAAACTGGTCACCCATCCTAGGAACGACCTCGGTGGGTGTAGCTTAACCAGCGACGTAACATTTGTTGCGCACGGCCGTCACAGCCACACAGAAAATGGCATAGGCAAAAATCGATACAAAGACATCGTTGATTGAGGCGGTTGAAAATAGAGCTCAAATGTAGAAGGCCTAAATCTCCTTCGTAATTTTAGGCAGCGAATATTTGCCTCCTCCGTCTCACCCCCACCCTTCCCCCCCCCCCTGATCCGTCAGTGTCAAGCTACGCCATGACAATAGCGAGACTATAAAGACATAAAAATGAGGCACAGAGCGCACTAAACGTAATAAAAATGTAATTACCTTCGCATCTTAGCCCAAAGTGTAAGTTGAGCACTAATTAAAGAATTAGCAATGCAAAAACACGATCAATAATCAAGTAAAACTGTTCGCCGGAGCTGCGTGACGTCAACTTCGCGTTACAACACTAAATAACTAGGACGTTTAGCATTTTGTGTGAACAGATCAATTTTTCACCTGTCCTGCTCGTTTGTTAGTGTATTGAAGGGGTCAACAATAACATGTACACGAATCAATTTGATGAACTTCCAATATGAATAGGTATGGAATGTTGTCCCTGCCAGCCAAATCTAAAAATAAAACATAAGTTGAACCCTTGAAAGGATTAGCTTCAGATAAATAATTGAATTGGGGGTGCCTTTATTTCTTTTTTATGCTTTAGCGAAGGGATGGGTAGGTACTTATTGTAGCTTTTGAGTCAGTATCACTGCCTTTATCAGCGTTGCAACAGTTAGAGCAGTGAAAATATTTTGTTTCCACACCACGTGTTGAGTCCATACTATTGAATATAAGTACATGTATATGGGTAGGTATATTTGCGCTGCGCCGAGAACGGTGCATGAAGAGACGACATAGCTAATCGATAAATTAACGAAAGAGGTTATAGATTGCTCGTCTGTGCCTAAATACCCTTCTAAATACTGGCGAAACTTGATTTTTAGTTTCGTTGTTAACAACTTTTCTATTTTTGAATGTTGCCAATATTATTCCTTGCTACAAACTCGCGTAAATTGGAACTCTATAATATCATTTTTCCGTACTTCGGAGATCGATACAAAGACATCTTGCTATCTTGAGCACTAACCTATTGGAATGTTGTTTAGGTATATCAGAAAATTTTTGATGACATTTTGGTTTAAATAGCATTAGGTACCTACCTATTTATAATGTGTTGTGGTTGATATCAATATAACAAACGAGTTACCTACATTGTAAGACTTGTACCTACAACTAGAAACAGACTGTTATCTTAGCACAAATCTAAACTTTAGTGGTTTTCGGTTCAGGGTCTGTGGACAGCGAATAAGGGTAGCTCGCCACCCGATCACAACCAGACCCGAGAGTGCGGCGCGTCGCAACCACAGACAGAAGTAGTTTTGGAAGTGTGGGAGAGCCATGCTTCGGCTCGACCGGAGTGATACCACGGCCTCACAGAAAACCGGCGTGAAACAACCACAGCGTTGTGTTTCGCCGTGTGAGTGAGATTACCGGAGGCCCAATCCTTCTCCTCCCCCAATCCCTCCTCAATCCCATGGGCGGCGCTGGTTGCTTACCATCAGGTAAGCCGCCTGCTCGTTTGCCGATCTATTACATAAAAAAACAGACGGAGCCCTATAGGGCCGATGTGCAGTCAGGCTTGGGGGGCAAGCCCGGTAAGTCAATTCAAAAAGTGGTCTTCGGTTGCTATTTCTCTATTGTACCCGATTGTTTAAATTGTGAATAAATATACTTATAACATAAAAACCCACACTTACATACATGTATTCAACGCAACGAGCAGGAAGTTACTCTTATATAATTTGCTAAGACAAAATACTCAGGCGCTTTTTCGAATAACTTGCAAAAAAGACTAAAGTCTACAAAAGTAGAGTCTACAGTTTATTTGTTTTAATAACCACGCATCCTGTACATATATTTTTTTACGGAAATATAATAATGAGCACAATTTATCGCACAAACTAAATTATAAGGTACCCTTTTCGTCTGAGTCAGCTAAAACTGCGCTGACCCTTTTCTAGGAGTGGATGATGTTCTATAGTTTACAGCTCTGCTGGAGTTTCCTTCGCATTAGTTGTTTCACTATTTCAACACATAGATATTAGGTAAAAAACTACGAAAAAGAACGTGCGAAGCGCTAACGCCATCTGGTTTCATTGGATTGCACGTTTGGTGCGGGCTGCCGTGAAAAGTGTCGCGGGTTCGATTCCCACACGGAACAACTCTTTTTGTGATCCACAAATTGTTGTTCCGGGTCTGGGTGCCATGGTGCCATGTGTATGTGAAATTTTATGTTTTTAACCGCACCCACGACACAGGAGAAAATCCTAATGTGCGGCAACGTTTTTATTTAAAAACTTTCATTTCTCATTTCTTTCATTTTTGAATGACAAAAATCATATATCCCTTAAAACGGGGTGCATTTGAGGGGTGAATGAACCGATAATTTAGTTTTGACAATTAATTACGATCTGATACTTTTCTTTTATAATTGTGTGTAAAATTAATAAAAAAATGATCTATTATGGTAATAATTAGTTTTATTAATTGTCGCCGTCATCATTATCGCTATTACTTTCTGTAACATTTATTATGAATTGTTTCTGTGATATTTATTGCATTTTTTCTTCTATGATAACATGGGTATGCATTTAGACCATTCGGTAGCCGTAATTTGAAACAAAATGACAGGGGCTAATGTCAAATTTGGAATCGAATTAAAATTCTGACTATACTCGGAATTTTAATTCCATTCCAGATTTGACAATTTCAGTGATGTTGCGAAATTATTCGATATGGAAATCGAATATTTCTGAATCGATTTCTCTGGTTTATAAATTTACTATCGTAAACTAAGTTTATCAGGAAATAAAATATTTCTGAACCGATAATTTAGTTTTGACTATTAATTAACGATCTGAGACTTTTCTTTTGTAATTGTTTGTGAAATTAATAAAAAATGTGATCATGATGGAACATAACAAATAAAATAGAAATTTCATAAATGTCGCCGTTATCGCTATCGCTGTTACTTTCTGTAACATTTATTATGAATTGTGTCTGTAATATCTATTATCAATTAACATATCTAGCTTACTCATTTTTTTCTCTTCTATGACAACATGGGATACGCATTTAGACCATTCGGTAGCCGTAATTTTTTGAATGCCTTTCTGAAACTGATTCACTGATTGTTTATCGATTTTGTGTTCATCACTACACTGTTTTGTGTGGTATCATTATTTCACAAAATGACAGCAGATCATGTCAAATCAGGAATCGAATTAAAATTCGGACTATAGTATCTATTCATCAATCGAATTCTATGAAAACCGTCTCAGTTTATTTGGGAAAACTCACATTTGTACCAAATTACATTGTTCCTAAACTTGAATACTCAGACGAAATAAAACAAGTATATTTATGAGAAAATCGTTTTATTTCTTTGAATGAGAATATTTGGCAAATAAACTATTCGCTTAGAAATTAACAAAAAAATCACATTCGTACCGACGTTGTACAACAACCAATATTGATTCAATAATAAAAAAAAAAACTAAGAAAACAAAACGCAGAAGTTATTGCAATACCTACATATTTAGAACAAGAACTAATCATTAAATTGAATATTGATTATAATGTCAACTGATCAGTTGTTTACTTTTATTTAGGGCTGGTATTTCAATCGTTAGTTAAATGTAATCTGAGGAATAATTATGATGCTGTCGCGTCAGAATGTTTGTTTAACACCCGGTTTCCGAAAGGCCGATCAATGTTAAAATCAATTTAATCTCTTGTCATCTGATTGGTTGACTGAATTATCAACAACCAATCAGATGACTTGACAAGAGATTAAACACGAGATTAGTTAATTTTAGCGTTGACAAGCCTTTCAGAAACCGGGTATATGACAGTGACAGCAACAATTTTATTTCTCAGATAACATTTATCTGACTATTGAAAAATCAACCCTTAGACAATAATTATTTTCAAAACTTGTAGGTATATTTTTGCTTCTTTGCGACACAATTACAAATAATTTCTACACTTCAAAAACAATCTTCCGAATGAGAACGTCGAGAAAGATTAATTTAATATCGATACAGGCCGCGAATTTGAAAAACAAGTCTACGGGTCTACCAATAATTCCTATATGTTACACAAACTACAAATTTAAAAACATCTAAAAATATTACAGTATACTTATGTTGACATACGTTTTTACTTTTATTAACTTTGCTTCTACAGTTTTCTTGGATGGGCTTATAATACAAACATTCAAATTCACGGCTTATCATGAACGACGGAAAGGAACTAAACAGCCCAACGTATTACATATATAAATGCTCAAAATTATAAACTATACAACCTACCTAACACTACACCTAAAGTAAATCTTAAAAGAATGTATCGTAAATCACAGATTTCCATATTCATTAATTATTACGAAATTAGTTGTGGCTATTATTTGCCAATTTTAATTTATAGCCATAATTTGGTATGCAGCTAAGAAAATTAAGATTGATCAGTACCTATGGAGATGGTTACTATTTGGTTATCTGCATATCAAACACTGACTGTCTATACATATTATTATATTTAAAGATTATGTGCGATTGCTAAATTGCTATAGGGCAAAGGATAGTAATAGAGACCTTAGATAAATGGTGTCCTTCTTGAGGTTTTTTACTACAAGTATAAAAAGTTTACATTGACCTCTAAGTTTACCTGTTTACGAAAGATATTTACAAGTGTCAGACTAGCAAGGATAATCCTATTTATTACGACATTAAACTGACATAGAAAGCTTTGAAGACAGACAACATATGACAATATTGGCAATTATTATTTGGCTTTTACATTTTACCCTCAAGCAAACAGTACATGGCCATACACACCTTGTTTAGTGCAAGTGATTAGCAATGTTCGCAGTTATTTGCATAATTTTAGAGTTTAATTTTACGCGCATATCTAATGACTTACACTAATTAAAATGTATATCAGTCTTGAGTATAAAGTACGGGCTTAATGCTATCGCTTAGCGAAGTTAGCAACTAACACATAAATGGAGTCACGACTCCCTACTATATAGCCTACCATACAAATCTAACTATAAGTTGATCGTCCAGCACTTTTGGCGCTAAACACTTAATCGTCACTTTCCGGAGGTCGTTTATAAATTCCATGTTTGACAACGTCAACTAAAGGAACCTGTGGATAAAGTCTCATTATATCTGAAAGCTTTTTCGCTGTAAGCGTCATTGTCCTGTTACATAAACTTATTGAAGTAGTGCAATAATCATAATCGAACACTGTTTTCGTATCCTTCAAATAATGGGAAACCTCTTCGACACTACCAGGCAGTTTCGTGGTAGACTTCATCGCCACACGCCTGCTGTATGGCTTACTGGTAGACTTTCTAGCACTTGTTTTCGGCAAGTTTTTTACTGATTTCGACGTTATATCAGCTGTTGTCGGTGCTGTTTCGATTGGTGTCAGCAGAGGGTCCAACGGTAAAGGGGTCAATGGTTGTGGAAAAATGTTTATGGCCATAGGTTCTGGCATTGATTTAGGCAAAATTTTCACAAAATTCTCTCCAGGTGTAGACTTTCTAGCACTTGTTTTCTGCAAATTTTTTATTGGATTCGACGTAGTATCTGCCAGAGGGTCCAACGTTAAAGGGGTCATAGGTTTAGGCAAAATTTTCACAAATTGCACTCCAGTTTCAGTTTTGTTTTTATTAATAAGCGGTGCAATGAGTTCTTCCTCTATTTTCTTCATTTCCTCAGAGTTGTGCACGTACGGCACTGTGGAGTATTTCAACTGAAGCGTCGGATGGGCCGCGTTGTGATGGCTCTTTAAGTCTCTTATGTATTTAAAGCCTATATTCTCACAATGTCCACAGTAATGTGTCTCTCTGGTATCGTGCTGCAGTTTAAACAGCGCGTAGTTTATGGGTACGTTGGGATGAGCTTGCTGGTGATGGTCCTGCAAGGACTTCACGTCCACTCGCAGCACTAGGCATATGCAACACTTAAACACCACATCACCCTTTTTGGCAAAGTCTGGCTTGACGTTATCGTGTAAATGTGTGACTATTTCTGCATCAGGTATGGTTCGCTCACAGAACAAACATATGATGGGTGCGTGGTCATCTTCAGACATTCTATTCGTTGTCGCGGGCACAATATATGGAGCTTCTGGCGGTATGGGAGTTTTCTTTATCTGCAGAGGTTGGTTAGGGTGTATTTTCGTAGTGTGCAGTACGACGCCCTGCTTGGACGTGCAGCTGTAGTCGCAGTAGCAGCAGGCGTAGGCCTTGAGGTTGTAATGTTTGAGCATGTGGTCCTTCCAACACTTGGAGGACCTGGTGGAGTACGGGCACAGTCTGCATCGCCTGCTGCCCCCTCGCTTGTCTCCTTCGTCAATGACGAGTCGTTCGTCGTCACTCTCTGGCGCCGGCCTCTTGCGCCGGACCGCGACTTGCTCGGGTGTGCTTACTTTCTCTTCGTAGCGGACTACGAGGAGAGAATTGTCGCTCTCTGGCACGATCTTATCGGGAGTGGGAGGTCCTGTGACAACTGTAGTAACTGGGAGTGAGACAGTCTGCAGCATCTTTTTCTGTGTTTGTATAATGTTAGCGACCCATGCAGCTCGCATTGAAGGATCTCGTATTGCCTCCTTGGGCCTGGATGGCCCGTCGTGTCCCTTGCAATGAAACTGGGCCTCGTGGTATGTCTGATATTTCACAGAACAAGAGGTGCAGCCCCATCTGAAAGTTTCGTAATAAATACTGTGGTCAATGTGTATTTTTAGCATAGACATCAATTTTGTCTACAACCCATACCATTTAAAAACCAATATTAAGAAAAAGTATATTCTTACCGAATCTTATTGAGTTCAGTCTCCAAATGGTCTCGGAAGGCAACTTCATCTCTGTGTGAAGCGTTACATTTAGGGCAACAGAACATCATAGCCTTAGGAGCTCCGAGCTCGCCGAAGGCCTCAACTAGTTGCGCCGTGGTATATTTCTCAACCGGTTCTATTTGTGGTGGGGCCGCAGTAGAGGGTCCTGGTTTATTCATTCTTTCTGTTTGAATCTTCTGTTTAGCCAAGTTGGCTTTAAGAGCTTGTATGATGGCCGTCTGATGGTCCAGCTGTGCAGCCACCCATTTCTCCTTATTAATGTCCTTAGGTAGCTCGATATGATCATACTGCCTGCGGTGTTCTGCCGTCATGTGCTCGACAAGCCCGGTTTTGTGGAACGCTTTGTAATTGCAGAGCCCGCATCCCCATCTGGAAGTTGTAACGTAATGCTTTAGTCGTTTACATTTTTAACTTCGTTTGTCCTGTAATTGATTAATATTAAATACACAACTATTTATTGAGTTTATGTTTAGAAAATATTTGCCATTTTACTTTATAAGTAGGTACTTTGCAAATAGAGCTACAAATAATAGAACGTGATATATGTAGTATGACATTTACCTCCTGTACTGCAGCTCCTCGTACAGATGTGACTGCATAGCTTCCCTGGTCTCCTCCACCATAACCTTGCACAGCGGACACCTGTAGTTGATTCCGTTCGGCTCACACAACTTCCCGAACTTTTCACATAGTTCTTCCATAGTTCCCAATATTTCATCTTCTTCCACTTCCTTTTTAACGAGGTTTAAGTCTACGGATACAGGGGCGACTGGAGGGGTTGGGGTAGCGGAGGTCGGAGGGGTCACTGTTATCGCAGAGGTCGCAGACATGGGTGACGGTTCTGGAACCTCTTGCTCCTCGGTCTTGACTTCAGGATTGCTAGCCGCCATCTTCTGGCACTGCTTCACCCACCGCGGGGTGCCGTCCTCGTCGGGCACGGAGCCGACTCTGTAGTAGTAGTAGATGACGTCCACCGGCTCGCTCGCGTGCGAGTGGGACAAGTGGTTGTGCACGTTCTCCAACACCGACGCTCGGTACGGACAGTACGCACATCGGAATTGCATTTTGGACTGATGGAACTTGGCGCAGTGGTCCACCACCTCCGGCCGTAACATGCTCTTGAACTGACAGAAGCCACACTGCCACGGCTTCAGGTCCATGGTGCCGACGGCGGCGGCGGCGGGCGGGGGCGCGGGCCCGGCCGGCGGCACCGCGCTCGCGTTCTCGCGCACTATGATGAGCTGGTTGTAGGGGTGCACCTCGGTCATGTGCTTCTCCATGACCTCGCGCTTGAAGTGGTAGATGTGGCACTTGGAGCAGGCGTAGAGGTTCTCGTCGTGCATCTTGAGATGCTGCATGACGCGCGCGGCGGTGACGGGGCGCGAGGTGTCGAGGGCCTGGCTGGCGGGGCAGTGCACGCAGCGGAAGGCGGGCGCGGCGCCGGCGTGCAGCGCGGCCCAGTGGCGGCGCAGCGTGGCCTCGTCCGGCGCCGTGTAGCTGCAGCCCGGCGCGCCGCACGAGTGCCGCGTGCGCGCCGCCACGTAGCACGGGAACTGCGCCGCCGCCAGCCCCGCCGGGCCCGGCCCGCTCGCCGCCAGCGCCGCCACGCCGAAGGGTCGCTCGGACGGCGCGGCGCGCGCGCCCAGCGAGGACGACGCCAGGTTCACCATCTTGTCGAAGTGCTTCTCGTTGGTCTCGAGATGCGGCACGGGGTTGACGGGCGCGACCTGCGCGACGGGCTGCTGGGCGGCGTGCAGCTGCAGGTGCCGGACCATGTTGAGGCGTACCTTGGTGCTGAACTCGCACAGGTCGCAGTACACGAGGTGCTCCAGGATGGGATTTATTGGCAGCTCGTCGATCTCTTGCGGCTTGAAGCGTCGCTTGCTGGGAGTTTCGTTGACGCTGGATTTCCTCTTCGGTGCTTCTTTATTTTTAGCTCCGGTAACAGTGTAAAGAGAGTTTCCGTTTTCTCTGACCGATGTCACAGTCACGTCTTTTTCCTTGTGTACACATCTGACATGTTTCTTAGCGACAGAGAGAGAGATGAGGTTGGCCCGACAGATGCCGCACTGGTATTTGTTTTGGTCGCAGTGGTCGTTCAGGTAGTGCTTCATCATGTTGTCCCGGGTGGACGCCATGTACGGACAGTGCGCACAGCGACACGCCTCATCCTTGTTGGGATAGCAATAGTACAAATGCTTTTTCAGTCCGTTAATGTTCTTGCAACAATGTAGACATTTGGGACAGATGCTTTGTATCTCGAGCGGCACCTTCTGCTTGCTATAACTTTGCGGAGCGGGGGAATCCGTGTTGGAGAGGGAGTCCTCGTCGGACAGGTCAATGACGGACTGCCTAGACTCATCATCATCGCTGTCTAGGACGACAACGTCGTTAATCTGGGGTGTAGATATCTCTTCAGCTTCCATTTTAACAATAGTTGTAGGATTACTGGTTTGTGTGTCACCTGAGGCGAGAATAGGAGCAGGAGCAACTGGGGAGAGTGTTGGTGGTGGAACATTAACTTGAGAAATTGTAGCACTGGGTGGGTGAAGGGGCGCTTGTGGGACAGTTGGAGGGAAAATTGCAGTAGGATTGACTGGTTTTGCAGGTTGAAGTATTTCTTTAGGCGGTTTGGTATCTGGGGGGCTTGAGACTTGGGTGTCAGTAGGCTCGGCTGGTTCCGACTGCGCTTCCACTAGTACATTCAAACCAATTAATTTCTCTAGATTCAAAGAACGCTCTGCTTCCCGCACTGGATCCTCTTTTGCAGTGCTTGGTGCTACATCTTCTATGGGCACTTTCATTTTGTTCAAGAAGGCAAGCGGGAGCACCCTTAGCTCATTGGAACCCTCCTGGAAACAAAGTTTTTAGTTAGAATATTTTCAGCTGTAATATAATATAAATGAAGATAAAGAAATGAGAGGCAAGTTAGGCTGTTGAAACATATAACAACTTAAATGAGTTTTGTCTTAATAATAATTGACCGTTTTGTAGATATAAACCTGTTTTGCACAAGTGCAGGTACGGCAAGGCGATCAATGGCCAAATCTTTCTTTGATGTATGAAGTATTTATATAATAGGTACTAGTCTTCAATATATTTTTATGTTTGCTTACCCATATGCGGGGCCTTGTTATTAGCAACTTGTTAAAACTACAGTTAGTTACTACCTATAAGATGTTATTAGTCTGTAAGCCTTCCTTGAAATAAATAAATAAATAAAAATTACTACTCAGATCTACTGAGTAGAACTGAGTAGGTCTTCGCTCAACAGTGAGCATTTATAGGCTAATGAAACCTATGTTTTTAAAATAAATGGCCTCAAGTAACAAAATTTTCTACTTACTTTGTTGGTGATGATACGTAGATAAGCCTGGGGTTGTTTGGATGGGTGTGTCGTGGAGACATGGGATAGGAGCTCCGTCTCATTGTCAGCTCCGAGAACACACCAGGTGCACTGGTACAGCTTCAAGCCGTGACCCTTCATATGCTGCACCAGCTCCGACGGAGACGGGGCTTGTAATTGGCATATCTGGAAGACCAATATTGTCATCATTATCATGATAAGCCATAAGATACAATACAATTAAAAGTTTACTATACAATACAATTAAAAGTTTACTATTTACTCTTTATTTTTTGTGCTTTTTGTTAATAATTTTATTTTAGTTAACAATTAAATTATTGTATCATTTAGTTTATATAATTGGTATAGTTTTTTTCTTCTTTTTTTGTATTTTTGATTTCTATGTGTGTGCGCTTGCGCAGAAATAAATGTTTTCTTTCTTTTCTAATTAATAAAATTTAATATTCCTTTCGATTAGGGTATGATGATATATAATGACTAATTAACCATAAGTTTTATAACTATTTAAGTATACAATATTAATAAATAAATTAATAATGTAGTTATTAACGTCTCAACATGCTAATTCACACAAAGTTATTTTTTACAAGCTGAAATAATTTCTCATTTGCGCAAGTTTGATATTAAAAAAACAAACATAAAAAAAAAAACATACGGTCGAATTGAGAACCTCCTCCTTTTTGGAAGTCGGTTAAAAAAACTTAAACATACAGATTATTTACTTATTTAGTAAAAAGGTAGTATTTGGTAGCCTGAATTTAAAGTTTTTTTCTTTAATGTTGATCAATTTATTTAGCAGTTTCAAGGGAATATTAATTCTAGTGCAGCCTCATATCTATTTAAATAATACAAATTAGGCTTTTAATTATTTCACCAATACTTACATAGCAAGAATGTGATGATGCACTTGCATGTTTCTGTTGAAGATGTTCACAGAACTTATCCGGGGTGTAGGTGCGGAATTTGCAGTGACTGCCGTTACCATCCACTGAAAGTAAATATAAATGTACATATTAGTTTACAGTATCTTGATACATGTGCTGCTTTTATCAATTTAAAATGAATGTTTCATAAAAAAATCATAATGTGTTTTGTTTATAGGCCTTGTCTGGTCTACGCACTATACAAGCATTTTATATCATCAGCCTATAAGTGCCCACTGCTGAGCAAAGGCCTCATCTCACACGGAGAAGGTTAGAGCATTAATCACCACACTTGCTCAATGCGGGTTGGTGATTTCAGACTTATAATTAGAAATTATAAGTCCAGGTTTCCTCACAATGTTTACCTTCTCCGTATGTCAGTGGTGTCTAGATAATCATAGAAAGTACATATAACTCGGCAAAAGTCACATTGGTACTTGCCAGGTTTCGAACCCACACCCTCATGCATGAGAAGCGAGCGCCTTAACCTCCGGGCCACCACGACACTATTTAGCATTTTATAAGTTCCACTAAATTCATATTACAGTTTTCATTTTTCTTAATTGTTAATTAATTTAATTTTTTGAAATTCCTCATTCCTGTTATGCTAGTAAAAGTATGGTAAATACGCACCGTGTTTGCAAAAGTAATAGGGCACAGCCTCTTCCCGACTGAGCATGTTGGCTTCGGCAGGAGGGTTGGCAGGTACGGTGGTCGTCCGCAGTACTACAGCCCCCGCGGGGGCCAGCCCGTGCACCTTACTAGCGTGCACGCCCACTGACTGACTGGCCGCGGCACGGTAGAAGCACTGCCCGCATGAGTACTGGCAGTGACCATGCTCCTTGAAAACGTGCATCACCAGGTCGATGGCGTTCCCCATTGAATCGAAGTCGCAATACGAACAGTTCAGAGTATCCACTCCTCCCATACGCTGGTGAGTGGAGGCATGCAGAAGTGAGTCCTCAGGGGAGTCCGACGTGAACGAACAGAATCTCCCCGCACATTTAAACACCTTCACTAGTTTATTCCGTACCATCATACTTTCCAGAACGACGCGGTGTTTACTCGACATAACTCTAGCCTGCACTTCTTCGTACTTAAAGATGACTTCGCATTGCTTAGTCTCTGTGTTCACAGTCGGATAACTAGGTTGCGGCAATGGAGTGTCCACCGTGCCCAAACTTACTACACTCTGAATCACCGGGAAACCTGAGGTTTCCTTTGCGGGAGATTCTGCTGTAGATATCAATTCGCGAATAGGTCGAACGTTAATATATGGCTTAGTAGGAGTAGCATTATCCGATGTAACTTCTTGAGGAGGTCTTCCTTCAGGCGTAGTCTCAGGTACAACTTCCTTTTGGTAAACAGGAAAGTCGTCTAAATGTTTATCAAGATAATGTTGCAAGCAATCTCTAAAGTTGTGCGCCCCCTGTGGTGTAACGATAACTTTGCACACGAAACAATATCCCTCCCATTTCTCAGAGTGCTTTAATTGAACGTGTTTCTTCATTGAGATCAAAAGAGTTGTCTTAAAGTGATTATCTTTGCCATTAATACAGCAAATATATTCCTTAGCACCGGATTCTGTAAAGTTGATTTTGAAATGAGGATAGTCAACTATATCGTCAGAGGATTGGCTGGCAGAGTCATCTACATTGCTTTGAGGTTGAGGAGTTTGTGCATCTTTCGGAGGTTCAACAGGACGGTCTGTTACGCTAGGCGGTCGCTCTGTTTCATTCGGTCCTTTGGACCCTTGTACATGTTGCATTGCTTCATCTACATTCTCCGATTTTTCATCCGTATCCTCCTGTTCTATTTTTATTTTTGCTATACTGGGTGCTTCGCTACCATTGTCATCTGCTTCAAATGTTATCTTAGACTTGATACTCGGTGGTGGGCTCTGTGGTTTGGAACGCCTACGTTGCACCAGCTCAGTTTCACAAACAGAAGAACTGTGTTTTGTATCGTGGGAGGTGCCCTCATCCGATTTAATCTCTTTCTTCAGTGCGACATTCTTTATCACTGCTGGTTCGGGAGCATCGCGCTTTCGTAACAATTCTTTCAATGCCATTTTAGACATCGCTGATAAGTTAATAGTATAAACAAATGTCTGTTCATCGTTATGTCGAACGATAACATGTGTTTTTAGATTTTCAATAGAAAGTTGAGTAAAATTACATTTTTTGCAGATATATCCTATGAGTTGACCCCCTGTATCTTTAGGAGGTGGCGGAATATCCAAAGAAAATTGACATCGTTTCTCATCTGTGCACTTGGTACAGTTGTGCTTATATTCACCAGTGTGCATGCTAACAACATGCCAGAAGAATGTTTCTAGAACAGTTTTATTGTTCGCAAACTCTTGGAAACAAAAAATGCAAACGTATTTATCTGAAGATATTTTGCTAATAGCTTGGAAGTTTATTTCTTTACATTGATCAATGGCTTCTTTAGCTACCGCAGGAGCCATGCGAGACAACGGGATTTCAACATGGGGATGCTCATTTTTATAGTGATACACAATGTCTGTACCAGTAAAAGAACACAGACGGCAAGGATAGACAAGCTCTTTTTCACGGAAACAGTAATTTTTGTCAGTAAAACAATCCATATCTATAGGTTTCATTTCCTTTTCTGTCACTGACTTAACTTGAGGTGGCTCTAAAACCTGTTTAGTGTCAATTTTCTTCTTTTTATATTTAGGTTTAATAACTCCGTCTTGCCAAGCAGGCCGCTTACGCTTTACCTTTTTCTTCATGTCAGACAATATTTCAGTACTTCCACAACTTTTAGAAGATGCTAGCGAAGCAAGTGAACCTTCATCGGAATCAGAGCTATTATCAGAATCCTCATCGCTCATTCTCTCTGTAGTTGTGTCCCCACAGGACTCAATTTCGAATGCGTAGGGATCCACATCCTTCGTATTTTTCGTCTTGGATTTAGGCCCTGGTTTGTATTTTGGTTTTTCTGGGTCTGCGGCTTCAATAGACATTTTAGGTTTAGGTTTTGGGCCAGGCTTCTTTCTCACTTTTTCGGAATTAGACTGGTCACGACTTCTATCGACAGAGTTTTTTACCTTCTCTGATATTATGGGCTCGGATTCTGATGTAGCTGTTTCTTCTTTTGTTTTATCTTCCATCATTTTAGCTAAACGACACATCCTAATACCGGAAGTACTTAAAATATCGTCTCTTATGAACTCTTTAATATCAGCCTGAAGCTTTTGTAACTCGCGTGTAGGTTTTTTAGGCTTTTGTACGACCCTGACTGCAGCTGTAGCGCGAGTGACGCGCTTCTCTGCAATTGAAGCAGCTTTCTTTGCGTATCGACCTTTTCCTTTCTTGGTAACTTTAGATTTTTTGTTGGGCATTTTCTTTTTCAATTTCGTTTTTGGTACTTGTAGACTAGTTTCTTCAGGTTTGGCAGTTTCTTCTTCTTCTTCTTCTACCAAATCATCAAAGGTAGATTCATTGTCTGGGTCTACTACTTCTTTGACACTTTCATCTTCAACTAATTTTGAATCATCTTTTACGGCTTCAGCTTTATCTTCGCTTACCAGACCGGTATCAGAATCTTTAACGTCATCATTCGAAAAAGAATCTTTGTCCTTACATTCTTCTGGTTGTTCCGAATTTTCATCCTTTTCATCATCAGATACAATTTCTTTTAATTTTTCTAGCTTTTTTCTTATTTTCTCGTTATCTGACTGGTCACCTAACATAGACAACAATTTTTCGATCTTAGATTTATCTTGCAGCACAGTTAGCAGATTTCCTAGATCTGCATCAGACGCTTTGTCTGTGCCCGAGGAAGTAGGTTTAGGTTCAACAGTTTCTGTAGAAGTTACGTTAGTTTCACTTTGCACTTCTTCATTAGTACTGTCCGCTACACAGGTATCACTATTGTTTTTCTCCAAAACATCATCGGTATTAATTGTACTGTCCGGAGTGGAGCAACCATCCATACTTTGCTCATCTGATTTAAATTTATCTTCAGCTATTACCGTTTCCACCCTGGGTTCAGTAGTAGAAACTAAATTATCATTTGTAGTCCTAGGCAAAGTATCTGAAGTGTTTTCATCTGTTTTATCTACGACTCTATCACTTTTGTCAGACAGATTTGAATGATTTACTGTTTTTGGACTTTGTTGATTGCCATCCTTATTTTTATTGGAACATTTGGAAGTTTCTAATTGTCGTGTAGTTTCTGTATCGACTGTTTCTTTACTATTATTCTCGTTACCTTTAACGAGAGCAGGTATTGAAATATCAAGCATTTCATTATCAGAGGTTTTAGACAATTCATCGACTGCTTTAAGCACTTGAGTAAATTCTTCTCCATTGTCACAAGTATCATGTGGAGTAGTGATATTTTGCATCATATTTTCTAGAGTTATTTCATTCGTAAAATTATCGCTTGGTTCGTTTTTAGATGACGAATCAAGATCGTTATCAAGATCTGCAATTAGAGCATTGATATTATCGAGAACAGGGTCCGACGCAACATTTTCAGAAAACATTTCGAGCTCCAATCCAAAGTTAGTATGAATATCTACCAGATTTGTTTGTTTGGTTTTGGTATTTTCTTTGATAGGACTACTCAATTGTGACGGAGTGGCAATCTTATCAACTAAGTCAACATTACCTTTCTTATCTTTTGTTTTGATTGTGTTTGAAACTGGAATGTTCTTGCTCTCGGTTTCTGCGTCAGATTCCGAATCACTTATTACTGCTTTCTTGGGTTTTCTAGGTTTCGTAACTATTTCAGTTTCGGAATTTGATGCAGACAGTCTTTTACTCCGCCTAGTTATTCTTTTTTCAATTTGTTCACTGGGTTTACTAGTCACATCAATTTGTAATGATTCCGTATCAGAGTCAGATGCTACTGAGCCTTTTTTAGTTATTCGATTAGGTATTTCTTTACCTTTGTCTTTAGAACCATCATTTCCTTTTTCTTTCGATTTATCTTTATTATTTAACGTTAATGTTGTATCTTTAACTTTATCCTTTAGTTTTAAGGGTTCTCCAAATTGTATAGTTTTGCTCGTTTCTTTCTCACTCTCTTTAACAGTCTCACATTTGTTAACAATAGGTTCATCAGCGACTTTTTCCTCGATTGCACGTTTAATTTTAGGAATCTTATAGTTTTTGACTCCGTAGCCAGAAGCTAAAATAGCACCTTTAACAATATTATCATTAGAGTATATTATTCCGCTTTTCTTTGTACGAATGTCATCATTATATTTATCGTACTTACTTCTTTTTGTCTCTTTGCGCATTCTAGGGTCTCTAGGGTTCTTCCTAGGAGAATATGCAGATTTCGATGAGCTATCGTCCAGATTTTCCTCTTTGTGTTTATCATAATAATCTTTTCTACTGCAGGTTCTATTTTCAGTATTGGTTTTGTATTTTGAATCAATATTTCTTATTTTAGCAGTATCAAACTCCTTAGAAGGATGCACGTATGTTTTAAAATCAGCCTTAATTTCTTGGAAGCTCCTTTTTTCTTCATGATAATCAACCAAATCCCTGCCCACGCTTGAGGCTCTGCGATAATCTTCCTTTTTGTCTCTCTTACTCTTATTGAATTTTAGGTCATCTGAGATTACACGTTGACAACTTGATTCTCGAGTCAGTCTTCCCACACTTGCTGCTCTTTGTCTTCTGACATCGAAATTATAATTGGATACATGATTGTCACTCTCTAGGAACTTTTGGAATGTTGCATTAGTACTGGTGTCAATAGTGAATGAACGGCCGGCGTAAGGTTTTACTGACAATAAAGATTTATCCGACTCAATAGAGGAATTTCTTCCAATGCTTTGAGCTCTGGTCGAAACTGATACTTTATCTTCGCGTGAATACCGACCAATACTCTTTTCACGATCGCCGCGTGAATTCCGACCAACACTCATCTCGCGTTCGTCGCGAGAGTACATACTACGTCCTAAATTTCTTTCACTGTATCTGCTATGTCTGTCCTCGTAGCCCCCGTATTGACCACGTTCTCTTGAGTAAAATCGATCGCTTTCATGATCTTTGTGGAATGAGCGACCAGCGCTTTGTTCACGTGTTGAAATATCTCTACTCGTTTGACGTCTGAATTTATAAATTTGATCTTGTTCTCTGTCCTGGTTTTTATAATTTTCTGATCCGCTAAAAGGTTTTTGAGAATGGTAAGAATTTCCGCGGTAATAGCCACGGTCTTTATATCCACGATCCCTCTCGTTATGCAAAGAATTGTTTTCGTACTCAGATTTTCTATTAAGCCTAGGATCTTTAGTATACTTTTGAGCACTGTAATCTGGTCTACCATAATTATGCATCGTTCCATCTGAGCGACCAAAAGGATGACTGGGTGTTTTTGGACATTCAAGCAATCCGTATGAATTGTTTTTTGTCGACGGACCATCGAATCTAGAAAAGGGATGGTTCGGTGTCGGTGGGCATTCATTCCTTCCAAAGAAAGGAGTTTGTTTCGGTGGAATATTTGAATTGAGCGGGTATTCAGGTGTGTAGGAGTTACTAGCAAAATTATGGTTCAGATTCTGGTTTTGATCGGACCTCCCAAAGGAATGACTTGGTGTGGGTGGACATTCGGATCTTCCAAACGAATGGCTGGGGGTAGGTGGACATTCTGCTCTTCCAAAAACGTGGTTAGGCGTTGGTGGGCATTCAGCTCTCCCAAAAGAAAGGAGAGGCTTAGGTTGACAATCAGCCCTACCAAATGGGTGGCTGGGCGTAGAAGGACATTCGGCCCTTCCAAAGGAATGGTTAGGCGTAGGAGGGCATTCCGCTCTTCCAAATGAATGGCTCGGGGTAGAAGGACAATCGACCCACGAGAGACTCGGTGTTGGAGGACAGTCGGATCTTCCAAATAAATGACTTGGTGTTGGTGGACATTCAAGTCTGCCAAACGACTGACTCGGAGTTGGGGGGCATTCAGCTCTTCCAAATGGATGGTTTGGTGTCGGCGGACATTCTGTTCTTCCAAACTTGAAATTTGGCGCAGAAAGTTCATCCCCTTTCATGAACATATTAGTAGTTAATGACTTCTCTGACGATAAAACAGGAGTTTGTGGATTCATTTTTACACTACCGTAATCACCAGTAAAGTTGCTGCCGTATCGCGCACTCTGAGACATATCACTTGAACTGCAACTAGTGTCTCCAATATCTTCGAAACGTGATTTTCTTTGCCTTACTAGTTCTGGCTTATCTCGCGTGTCTCTAGCCGCTGAGGTTTCTCTGGTTTCATCCGGACCAAGCGACGTAACGTATACATGTTTTTTATTGGGTTCGATATCAAATGACTGATGATTGGACATCGCAGCTGGACACGAGACATTCGTAAACACAGATCTTTGCATCCTGTCAGAATTAACAGATCGTGGACTAGGACTTTGGCTAGGCTGGATGTCTCTTTTCACGCGAGGATCAAATATTGGACCTCGACTTGGCCCTTTAGTTTGATCAGTTTGTGCGCCAAGTTTTATCTCATTCATCGGTAGTCCTGCAATATTGCCGAATGGTAATTTAAGAGGACCACCAGTATTTGGAGATAACATCGGCAAAGTTCTCATATCTATATCAGCTTTTGGAATTACTGGCATTGGTTTTACGGGGTCAACAGGTATGATCACTGGTGGTGTCGACCTAATGTTATTAGTATCATCACGATCAGGTGACTTTGGAGCGAGGTCATTTGGGGAGAGGTCAGTATATAAATCAGATGGCGTTATTTCATCATCTGAACTGTCATCGTTAAAAGATGTAGTTGGTATGTTAAATCTTTCACATTCCTTCTCTGTTAATTTAAGGCTAGACTTTTTGTTTAAATCCTCTTTTGAATCTGTTTGAGGATAGTAATACACGATCGAATCCTTAACTTTTCTGTTTAATTCTTCAGTTTTCTGTTTATAGTTTTCAATAGATATCCTTTTTACTTTGGGTAAGATTTCTTTCGCACTCGCAACTTTGTTTATTTTTGGTTGATGTAAATGCGGAGTTTCGTCCACACCTGGCATTGTTATAGTCTCACTCAATATTTCATTTTTCAGAGCTTGTAATATGTCTATTTCTGAAACTGTGCTGTTAGTTGGTGTTTCAGGCATTGTTTTATCATGAAGTAATGGTATTTCAACAGGCTTCTCCATTTTCTCTAACTGTGCTTCAATAGAGTCTGACTTTTTATGTTGGATATCTTCAACAGTTACTTCAGAATTAGTACTATTAGTTTTAACGACAGTTTCATTTTGATTTTCGACTTTAGGTTCAAGTTTACTTTCTTCTGTTTTATTTGTTTCTGATTCAATTGGTTTGTAAAAATTTGCGGTATTTTTTACATTATCTTTTGTTTTATTTATTTCAGGTTCTGCTTCTTCTTGTACGTGTTTATCAGTGATATCTTTATGTACTTCTTCATTGGCAGAACTGTTGGTTTCGGAATCAATCAATATTATTGAAGTATCATTTTCAATGCTTTTATTTTCTGACGAGTTTTCAAACTTGGTTTGTTTAGTTTTATCTACTTCTTCAATCTCTTTATCATACATTTCTAATTCGGAAACGTCAGCAGTTTTGGGTAAATTCAGAGAATTGTTGTCATTCGAATCAGTTTTAGTCTTGTCAGGATTCAACATAAGACATATTTGAATTTTACGCGACTTATCTTTGTCTGTTGTATCTTTCACCTCACTATCATCTTTTAACACTAAGTTGCCACTCAAACTACCGTACACGTTCTCAATAACTTCACTCTCACTATCTGAAAGCTCACCTTCTTCAACTTCTTCCCTTTTTTTAGATTTAGCAGACTTCTTTTTGTAAGACTTTAATATCAGGTCAGATATGTCATCCCTGGCTCCGGTTTTCTTAAGTTCAGTGAGTATCTGCTTTCGCAACTCCCTTAATGTATCAATGTCTACGTCACCATCTTTACAATTGATGATTCTTGAGAATATATCTTTAGTGTTCAATGTGCTTAAACTGTTTTCTGGCACATTCAGTGTTATGTTTAGGCCTTTAGTAGATTTTCGTGTTGTCGATTCCTTGGACTTTTTTCTTTCCCTTTTGTGGTACGACGGTGAAGATCTTCTTGGTGACCGACGCGGTGATCGTCTACTAAATAGAGGTTTGTCTGACGTGCCCTCAGATGAAGACCAACATCGTGACGAATTATCGGGTGAGACGAGCACTCTTGTGTAATTTCGTTTCGATGCTGAAGGTGGTGGCGACAACTTTTCCTGTTTAATTTTCGTTGGAGATCGATGGGCCGGCGATGAAGATTGTCTATTTGGTCTCCTTTGGAAAAGAGCTGGTTCTTTAGAACCAGCAGTGCGCATTTCCTCAACTTCATTCACCCTCAAAATCTCTGGTAGCGTTTCTTCAGTCTCGTCTTGTCGCTTCGCAACAGTCTTGAGTTTATTTCTGACAGCCTCTAAGTCAGATTTTTCTTGGGGTGTAGGTGGATCTATAGCAAACCCTGGATCTGGAGCTTTTTTAACTGTTGGTAATGTGTCCCTCTGTAAAGCAAAACATAAGAAATGTAATTGTGTGAAATTCTTTCAGAACTCCATTCAAGTACGTTATGATAAACAAACCTGTTCCACTTTTGCGTATAAGTTAACCAAAACCTGTTCACACTTGAGCAAGTTCTCCATTTTCATTCTAAAAACAAAAAATGTGGGTTTTAGTAACAATTCTCAGCGCCATTTACAATACTTAATAGAAATTCATTATAAAGTCGTTGCTCTGGTAGTAGTAGAATCATCTTTTTACATTTTAATACTTCCTTTACAATACAAATAAAAAACGGTCTACCAAACTATAGACGTAATACCGACAAGCAACTGTGAATAAATTAAAGTTCACTTAACTGGTAAGTATCATTGTGTTTATACATTAATACAATATACGTCGTTTTAAAAACGGAAAATGTTCATAAATGTTGGAAGTTAATTAAATAAAAGCTCTCAAATTCATAGCCATAAAATTTAAAATTGAATGTAAATCACCTTTTCTTCTTGTTTAAAAGTAGGTCTCTTAAGGATCTGATTTTATCGAGCTGGGCCTGCCGAGGATTTGCAGACCCAGTGCCGGTAGATTCCAGTCTCTTGATCATACTCTCCAGAAACGGAATGTACTTCTTCATCTCCTCGAACTTCTGATCGTATTCCAAATCCATGTTTACGGCTGAAAAGAAAAGAAAAAAATTTAGAAAAAGGTTCATTTACATTCAGAAAAATACAAAGCTGTTTCAAATCTACACCTTTTTTGCAAACGCACGTAGTATTTATATATTTGTGAAAAAACGCTATTACACTACACTAAATTGTGTCGTAACAATCTAGTTTATTCTAGAAAAAAAACAAATAAGTTTGTACCTAATTACGCCACAGACAAACCGCAACGAATATCAGGGAGAAGATGAATCGAGAAACGAAAGAATTTTAATTAAAAATGCCTAAAAATAATCACTACCCTAGTAAACAAAGTCGCTTTTCCTCTGTCCCTATTTCCTTACGAACGCTCAAATCTTCAAAACTATGCAACCGATTTTGATGAGTTTCTTTTTAAAAGGTACATTCATTGAAGAGAAGGTGTTACATAAATAATAATATTCATTAACTGTGGAGAAATTTAGGGTCGCTAGTTAAATAATGTAGCATGTATTAAGAGATAAATTAGGTAATACAAATAACTTTGTCTCATTAGTATATTCAAACAATCCCAGAAGAAATACTCGTACCATATATCGGCCGCCAAGATACGAGTTCATGCGGTATTCGAACTATAATAAAGTGGTGCTGGAATAAGTATAATGTGAAATTTATCGTATTGATAATTCAATCTATATTTTAACCTTTCAATCGTGGTAATTCGAGATACAATAGAAAGACAATATGTGCGTGAACCCTGTGTTCGCTTGGCACGAAACTATATACATAAATGCCTAATTATAAACTAATAAAAAATATTTGTTTGTAATTGGCTGAGCTATGCAATATGAAAAAACTTTTATGTAGAATTTAAATATTCGAATATGTGAACGATACGAGGATTGGCTCAAATCCCTTACTCCCAAAAGGCAACGCAGCCGTAACATCTTTAGTGTTGCGGGTGTAAATGGTCAGCGCTAATTGCTTACCATCAAGTGATCCGTATCCGCGTTTGTCCTAAAAACGCACAAAAATAGAATAATTTTAACATACTCAAATAAGGTTTTTTAATATAATCCTAAATTATAATTATATATAATCCTAAATCACTAAGTCATTAAAAATACGATAAAAGGCGCCATTCAAGAGAAAAAGAATTACAAATAACTAAAAAAGTTAATTGTTAACAATAATTTAATAGATATTAAATAATTTGACATCCTCTTAGTAATACCAATTCAATTAACTTTTTTATGAATTGTGAATAAATAACTGACTCATTGATTGCGAATTTATAAATACGGTGACTTATAAAGCGAGCAGACGACCAAGATTCTGTTTACACGCTCCGGTTTCTTGCCGGGAACAAAACGTACAGCCGTTGGCTTTATTTACCAGTACCACGTTCCAATCTACATTGGCTGCTGTATATCCGTCTCCGGCTAGACGACATCCGGACCGTGTGAAGCGGCACTGTCGACCTCTCGCTCAAATAACGTTTAATAAATATAATTAAGAACGTGTAAACAAAAGAGCACACTTCTCATTCCTATGGGTTCGAAACCTAGCAAGTACTTATGTGACTTTTTCAGAGTTACATGTAAGTACTTTCTATGATTATTTAGACACCACTGACATACGGTGAAGGAAAAGATCGTGAGGAAATCCGGATTTATAACTACTTATTATAAGTTTGAAATCGCCTAGAGCAAGAGTGGTGATTAATGCTCAAACCTTCTCCGTGTGAGAAGAGGCCTATGCTCAACAGTGGGCACTTATAGGCCGATGATGATGTAAAAAAAGAGAGGCGCGTCAACTGCTAGGTTTTTTACATTGAGAAAGAGTTCAAGGATACATAAGCGATTAAATAGTTAGACCAAAACCCATGACAAGATACCAACCAGCGGTCTTGCGTGCATAGCAATTATGTTTGTATCATTTCTTAATTTTTTTAGTACTAACAATATTGTAGTTCACAAGAGGATAATTGACTTATCGGACTTAGGGTAGTTATACCCATAGTTGTAACTAAACGCTTAAAGTAAACACATTGGAATCTTGCCGCTTCTCAACTGTTTTTTTTTATTTAGCTCTACCATTCACGTTTATGAAAAATAGTGGGCTAAACTTGACGAACACTTGCATAAGAAACAATATGCAACATTAAAACGAAAAACGCGATTTCATAAATATTTAATTCTTTACTTTTTACCCTCTACATTATTGTTCTAGCTCTAACTCTTCTATGGCTGGCGTCTGAGAAACTAAGTTAGGACTATTTTATTTTGAAACACACATCCCTTCGTATAAAAAGAGGCAAAAATATGTCGAACGTAAACCACACTCGCTTCATTATTTATGTAATTCAATATCTCGAAATAGCTGTTTCTTCAAAATAATACACCGTATCGACTTCCATGTTGAATTATTAATATCAATAACATACTACAGAGTAAACTGATTTCATAACAGTAACACATCTTCATGTTTCAGGCAGACCATCAACAATCAAAACTATACGACAAATAAAAAAATGGTTTGCAAAAAATCTGACGGTCTAAAAATAGGTTCAGATTGAGTATATTGAAGAGGGGCGCAGTTAATGATAAATTGATAACCCGAACCTGGTTTATTCAGGTCAGTACGAAAGGGGACATAATATTAGTCGCATTATATGACATGCTTGCAAACAAATCAAGGTCATTTAAATTTAAATACCTATTTACCTTGGAAAGGAAATATAACTATTTCTGAAGAACTCCAGCCACAAGGAGTATTCGAATTTCTAAGAGCAGCTGCATTATTCAATGTATCTACGTGACGTTATCTGTTGAATTTATGTTCAAACAGTTATTAATACTTATTAAAAACACTATAATGAGGACTATGTTTGTAACCACCAACACCATTTTATAACAGTGGGAGTCTGAAGACGGTTTATTAAAGATAAAAATACAGACTCGTATAATCTACACACAAAAAGGAAACCAGCCTAAGAAGTCTATAACTTTAAAGTCTAGCATATTCATTATCAGTACTAATCACCCAGTAATCTAGTTAACACACAAGTTCGTACTTGTTTTAATGTTTTAATAATATAACCTTTCATTTGTAGTAATTCGAGACACAATAGAACAATAGGTGAGCGAACACTGGCGCTCGCGTGGCGTTTGCTGAATTAAAGTACTAACAAGACCACATCTGACCATTCGCTTACCTATCAAACCCAAATGGCAATAGTCACGAAGAGAGCTGACGTAAGAATTACGTAGCCAGGTATCGTCATCATGGCACACTTAAAACTCGAATTGGCGGCAAGTTTTGCTGATAAACCTACACTCTCGAGCCATCTATCTATTCCGGTATAGGAAAGAGCTTATTTCGATTATTTCAGAATGTAAGCTCGGAAATTGCCGGTTACAATATGACCAGAAATAAAGCAGGTAAACCCGCGAGAAAAAATATTATCTTCTCATTAACGAGCCGTGATGATAGTCTAAGTAGATAAAGAAAATAAATATTACCCCTCGAATGTCTAATTATCAAAATCCATTTACCAAAGGTACAATAGCCTTTCAAATCAAGACCTAATTGACGTCTAAATATTCCATTTAAACAGTCAAAATATTAGAAATAAAAAAATGCTTATTTTAAAAGTGCTTGGATATCGATCCTCATTAATTTTATTAATTGTGGCAACTAATACTTTCATTGTAGTACAGACGAATAAGTCATGTTGCCACTATACTCCATCTACGTACAGTCCACTACGAGGATGATTACAATGGTAATCCGAAGACCAGATGAAAATCCAAACCTTAAAACTAGGATTTGGTCAGGCATAGAGTTTAGCAATGACATTCAGAAGGTAATGCCAAATAAGAAACTAAATAATCTTTGTCTAACTTGCGTAGCCACACATAAAACATCAGATTGAAACTAAACATCAGACAACTTGTCATCATATCCGACCATGTCACGTGGTAAACATATCTGCTAATTGCAAACCCAGGAGAAGTCTCTTAGGTGAAACAAGTCGACTGCCCGAATAACGAAGTGTCCTTTGTTCACTAGGGAATTCATTCACCTAGGTGTAAACAAAGCGAATGTTTACAGAGGCGACTAGATGATGTAGTACTGCGGCCGTCCCTTTACCCATTGTTAAGGGCACCCCGACATCTTTGGTTAGGTTTGGTTAGAAATGCAAGTACCAACGCGCGGAGCGAGGGAGCGACACGAGCGTGCCGCAGGTAGGGGGCAGACAACAGGTAGTAACACTAGGATCGCCCAGGTGAACAAGTCGGACATCAAATTCAGAATGTTGGCTAATCAAGAGGTACCAAATGCAGAATAAATCAATATTCAGACTATTTTACCTTTCAATCGTGGTAATATGAGAGTACGCGTTCGCTTGGGGTTTGATGAATTAAAATTAAACGTGACAATAAATCTATTCCAAATTGTGTTTCCAAATTCAAGAGATTCCTTTTTTTAATAAACACTCACTGCAAATGTCACTTAGCGAAACAAATACAGGAACTTGGCAGCAAACAAACGGATCTGAAGATAATAATAGCAGTAACTCGTAAAATATATTGGTATCTACATACAAACCTACCGAACAGTGCCACTTAAATCCCATACAGGTATACGAGAGGCCATCAGCGTATAGAAGATTTAGCACCAACAGTTGCAGGACTAAAACCTCACCTAAACTACAAGTCACAAATCTTTAAATAGATTATGAGGACGAAATCTCCAACCAATATCACCGACGACTGAATATACAGAATACTACTTGTAAACTGTCAAGCGAGCAATCGTGTAATGCGACTTGTACACAAGAACACAGCATCGAGCGACATCTAGCGTGCTGGGCACGTAACATTGTCACTAAAAAACCAGATCATACACAAACACTGCACTGATCAGAATAAATACAGAACAACACCTTTGTTCCGTGAAGGTTATGTTTTCTTCACCAGTTAGGAATTCACCAGTTAGGAATCCACCACCAGAAAGGATTAGAATCGTAAACTTATATTGCTAGAAACTTACGTTTACCGACCTATCACTCTTGTGGCCACTAAACCGATGATACACTTGCAAATCAACGAAACGAACACCAAACGAAATTAAATAATCAATGCTTCTACACATATTTTGTTTGTATTACATTTTCAAATGTTTTGAAAACGTCTCTTTCCTACAAGAAAACATAAACAACACAACACAACCTTGGCTCGTCATTTCGACCAATCGAAAAAGACCACAAACGACGCGTCACACTCGACACCAGAAGACACAAATATTGGCTATGGTCTAACTGCGGCTAGGGCTGTCAACAGTAGTTTTATTGCGAGGATTCTTCATTCCCAAAGAACAAAGTTTAAATACATTAGCGCCCTTATTATTTGTTATAGTTTCCTATTAAGAAAAAAAAATAGCCGATTTTTTCGTAATCGATTGATGGCACATTATTTATGATTGGTAACCCTATTGAAAACAAAATTGTCATTCTATTGTATTTACCAATTCAATAATAACAAATATGTTAGTTGGACGTGAATAATTATTATTATTTTCGTAACTCAAAAATCTGAATAACATATTTTCGTAAGTAAACTGTCAACTCCTATTTTACAGTTGAATCATTTGCTTCAAAAAATGAAAAATTGGTCAATAAGTAACTAATATTTACATTAATATACGTATGTGTATAATTTATGAATTCCTCTATGGCCTTGTTGGGAAGACATCTGAAATTGCTTATACATAATAAAAATTTACTTGAATTCAATCAGAAAGTAAGTAAGTAATACCTATTCACTCAGTTATTGTGAACGAAAAGATTTACGAATACTAAGTAGGCAGCTAAAGCATTGAAGGTGACCAGCAATTTTCCACGCGAATAAATAATAAAGTTTATTAACCTACCTTCTAATCAATCAAATGCTATTCGCACAGAATAATGGAATCAAATCACTCGTTAAATATAACTAAATGTTATTGATTTATTTAATAAAGAATAAACGACAGCAGCACGCGCACACTATCTTCTAAAATCCACTGCTATTCTTGCAACAACAAAGGCGTCGCCGCGCACCACAGCATTGCTCGCCCTTGTGAACGACCAACGTCCCCTTCGTTTCATGCCATCGCTAGGAATGAACGCGCTAAACAAAATGGCGACCGACTGCGGCTCAACCAAAGAAGAATCAATTGAAAAACTGCTTTTTTATGTTTCCACTTTTTGTAGATCCGATTTCGTTTCTATATATTTCAAATTTAATTAATTATATCGATTTGTATAATATTACCTATACAATAATAAAATTAAAACTATTTTTACAGTTATATTATGGATTTTATCAGGTGTACCAACTGAACGGAACTTTTGTCGAAGTAGTGAGAGAGCATAACGTCATATCCGATTGCGATATCTATGATGAATAATATTATAGTGATGCAAAATCACGTTCGATTACAGCAAGCTCCTTCGAAAATGTGTCCTAAATTTAAAGTGTCGTCAAATACCTACCTACTGTATGTAAATACTATCTCCAACATACCTTATTATCCAAGACATTTTAATACGTATACGGCCGATGGCCAATCTTGATCCGCTTGAGCAGCTAATAAATAGCAAAAAATTATATTAGGTAGGTATTAGCCATATTTCTATGTGATATCCGAATACTAATGTAAATACAATGTGTAACATATGGAAATAACAAGAGACGGGCTTATCCGTGGCGCCTATTTGGTAACCTATTTTTGCTAATCACATCGTTATAATATTATAGTCGTAGTTCTTTTGCAAAGTAGGTAAGTATGTAATTTCACAGTAAGCGACACACTTCAACGTCATTCACAGGCCTGGCGGACCTAAATTTTTATAAGAAATGTTCGCGACGCCATCATGCATGAGTTATAATAACGCGTATCATCTGGCCATATTACGTATTCAAAGAAGCACTACTAACCTTGTAAAAAAAACAATATAAAAATCAACGATCTTAAACTTCTTTAACGTACACTCCTTCGGGTAATACTCATTTTGTGTAAATGCAGTAAGTAATATGCATTAACACTTGACTAGTTTTAGATTCCAGTTTTTCTTTGTTCGTCTCTCGGGCGCGGATGGCGACTGCTGGCGGGCTAGTAGCAGCGGCGCAAGGACGGCGACCCACGCCCCTCCGAACGGTGCGATGAGCGACTAGGGCTCCACCAACGTTGAAATTTTATCATTCGACGGACGGCCGTCGCTCAGGCAGACTGTCTGTGTGAGTCGTTCGCCCAACCCGCTATTGTGTAATGTGCTAGTCCTCGGTCCGCCACGTCGCCATTTGCTATATATTTTGTGCACACTGTGACTCGTAGTAAACAATTGACACGTTCTCGAATATTCGCAAGTTGCTTTCGTGACGTCGTTTGTTTTGTCGTCAACCAGTCAGAAACAAATTGTTAATGGTATCAATGTCTATTCTGCGCAGTGTGCAGTCCTTGCGCGGGCATTAAAAAGACAGGAATGTTTGTCACGTATTGTCAAATAATGTAATGGTTAAGAAGCAAAAATATATTCGTTTAAATAATAGCCTGTGTCTACAGAAAATTGTTATTATATTGCCTCAGTGATTGTTATATAATATCATTTCATTGGGACGATTGACTTGTTTGTACCTAGATATAAATATACGAAAACGCGTGCGAATACCAAGACTGTTATCTCAGATATTTCGTGCCGAATGCGAAATTATTCTGTTTTGATAGCGTAACTAAACTCAAACTTTATATTATGTTTGCAGTGTGCACAAAATTATATTTTTCAATAATAAAATGTATACTTAATAATAACAACAACTATCGGCAGGACATTTTATAATGTGGGGATGTTGGTATATTATTACCTCCTAATTGAAATGAAAGGTGAGATTAATCTAGCGATGCCGCTAAAGTTCTTGAAATTGTGCAAGACGAAATGAAATTCTACATAGTAGGTAAACTTGTGTACTTTCCAACAATTTTATTAACTTATAGGTATTCTTATAAACACTTATTAAGTATTAACGTGAAGAACTTGTATTATTGTTATGTTTGTGGTTGATGTACGTACCTATTGAAAGAAATAAATAATAGGCTACGCTTTTCTACAAAATCAACGAAAGGAATACCTACCTTAGTAGGTAGGTACCATACCTACTTATATGCAATGGAAACTTGTAAAACAGGAAATAAGTACTTGAAATAAACTTATCCGAGTGTGCTCGTAGGTTTTCCGTAGGTACCTATTTTGGTATCTGAAATTGTGCGCGACGTCTTTTCCTTCTCCAAAAAACTTACCTGCGTAAAAAGTTAGATGAAGCAACGACTGAACGAATTTTTATTAGGTACGTGAAACCGAATAAAGTCTTAATTATTATTATTAAGTGCACAAATACACAAAAGACGTCGATAATTCTATGATTTTTTAATTTGGAATGCTCGAAGGTTACTTATGTCTGCAAATGAAATAAAGGCTCGAAGGGAAATACAAAAAACTACTAAGTAAATTACTTTTTAAGTTGATAAGTGTCATAACAATGCAGCCAATTCTCAAGATTTCATTTCATTCCTTCTTTTTCTGATAAACCATCGTAAATTAAATCATTTTCAAATAAATGGGTTGTGTCCTCGGTCAAAATAAATGAAGTATATCAAAACACTCCAATAGGCACCATAATAGAGACACTCGTAACTCTTCCGTTGTGGCGGGTGTCCATGGGTGCGTTGATTGCTTTCCATCAGGTAATCCGATAACTTGTTTGTCGACCTATCACATAAACAAAAAATCAAAATTATGTTCTATTAATTAAATAAATTTATTCGATAAATAGTGTTTTCAACGATTTTGAACAGGTCCTTATTTCTTCTTTCTTTCGTCCGTCGCTTTAGGAATCTTCACATCTAATGCTAAGATCAAAATTATTATCTGCATTTCTGGTGGCAAAAGAAACTTTGTTATAAGTACAGATATTGTTTCCATATAAGCTTTATCAGAGAAAATAATCAAATAACGACAAACAAATCGCTAATGAAGCACCTGTAACCGGGTCACGTTACCGTCAGCAAATCAAATGAGATGAGTCATTTGTGAAGAACTGCGTTACACACAACATTCCTACTAATTAAACCACCCCCTAACAAAGATAAGTAATCATCACGAATCTCAAAAATGAAAAATGTTATTATTAAGTTGTAGAGTTTATTTGTTTCTTTGAACGCGCTAATCACCGGAACTACTGAGTCGAATTAAACAATTAGTTTTGTAATTGTTAGTCCATTTATTGAGGAAGCAGGAAGGCTGTAGGCTTTAAAACACCACGTAACGATCTGTAGGAGCCGGAAAAGCGGATGAAACCGCTCGACTGGAGCTATTAACTATAAAGCAAAAAAACTGCACCATCACGTCTTGTTTTTGCATAGGTGTAAATTAATTGATAAATTTTCTAATTTTTTTAACATGTATCAGAGGGTACTAAAATCTCGGTAGCGCAGTTTAGCGTGTAGCTATTAACAATTAATGAATGCTTTATTTTTCTTCAAAAAATACTTAACACTATATACTAAAAACTAAATACATAACCATTATAAACACTAATCGCGGAAGAAAACAGATTCAGTACCTAACTCAATCAAGTACTTATTATTTTACGAATATGGTAAAGCAAATCACAGTTATCCACAGCAAATTAAAACTTTGTAATACCTACTTATAGATTTAACATTTGGTTGCCATGCCAGAATTAGTACCTATGCTGTTTCGATTTAACCGTTTCCGTGCGGATGATGCCGCACAGGCACCATGTAAATCTATTGCGTATGGCGTATGGTGCCCGAGAGGATACAAAACTAAATCATACAAAACTCGGCTTAAACGACATTCGTTAAAAGAGCCCCCTAAATAAAAGTGTCTTTATTTGTCACCCTTATCATGCCCACAGTGTTCGTTTTAAGTAATTTCGCAAATTAGCTGACATCAGGGGTTGTAAACCAAGTTGCCGACACATTTTATTATTGATTATAATTGTAACAGCCCACTTTCTGGAATGTTTCTCAAAAATCAAAGGGTTTTGTCATAAGGTTCATTGTTGCCTAAAAACGTACAAAGAGTGCGCTGTTCGCCGGCCCTTCGCCTACGAAGTACCGTATTTCCTTGCGTATACGGTTGATTATTGTTTAAAATTACGCCGTTCATAATTGTTTGCGCCGGCGCACAGTACAATATTTTGATAAACTAGACGGACAAAAGTCAATTTAGGACATGTCTTAAATGATCCTTCCAACGCCAAAGAATCAAGACAAGCTGCTTTGCTCTGGTATTGGTACAAAATAATTTTGTCCTGCTAGTTTTTCATACTAACTGTGCGGTGCATAACTATTTCACCCCGGCCGGGGCGGCGGGGCCCCGCACTTCTGTCTTATATTTAGTTTAGTCAGGAATATATTTCATTTTTTTTCTGGGTAACTCTACAACAAAAAAAAACTTGTCAATTAAACGCTTAACAAAAATCCACGTTTTTAAATGGATAGACAGATATTTTTTATCAATAAAAACACATTTACATTCTTATCCAAATAAAACACTTCAAAATCATGTAAATGTTTATAGGTACCTACGAGTACAACATTTTTGATTCATTAGAATCGGACTTCCCATTCAGTTAAATGTTCTACAGTAATCCAGTATTTTGTAGAGAAACAATTTTATCATCAAAATAGTGAAGTTAAAATTGTTTCCCTACAAAACACTGTATTATAAATAAATATCACCTCGCGACAAACTCAAGTGGTACGTGTATAAATTCTTTACAACACTTGAATAAATAAATCCATGAAATAATGCAAAAAGGTTTACGACCCCTAATATAAATTAGTCACTTACCTTCCATTTCCATAAAAACACACAGATCGTCACTTTTAAACGCACTGAACGAATTTACTGACTGCCTACGTTAGATACACAATGTCAAATGATTATTTTAGCAAGTAGAAACACGAAAACAAGCTAAAAGTGACAATTCATGGCGGATGATTCCCCAGGGGAATCATCAAACTTTCTGGCGCTTGGTGCCTCAGAGGCATCACAGAATTTTTGTTTGACGCCAGGCACTAAAGATTGCTAAAAAGACTTCCGCACGGAATCGGTTAACAGTCTCATTGATATTATGGTTAGAATGCATGTGGTTGAAAATTAAAATCTTTAATGACATTGTAAACGACATTAATAATGTTCCCGTTATCTATAAGCATATTTTAAAAATGTATCGCAACAAGTTGGTAAGCGCATTACCTCATAAACAGTTGGACCTTTTCTAAATAAAACTATTTGGTGTATGTTTTTTCAGTAGACGGTTCCTACAAAAGAATATTTAAAAAAAAAAGTATAGCATTACAACTCAAGAGAATACACTTCATCTTCTGAATGAAATTGGATGTTGTATTCTTCATGCAACGGTACCTACGTCGACTTCGACGTTCTTCTCGTTTTTTTTTTAAATTATACTTTTCGGTCAGGTTGCACAGATCACGGTCACAAATCACAAAAAGTGACCACGAAAAATTATACATTAGGTACCTATGACAATATCAATACCTCGTGAAACGAGTTCATAAGTTCTTTCATTAAATTATTGGGTTTTCCCGCTATTTCACTTAATTTATGCAATGTTTATTATCTGCCAGTTTACATAATCTGGCAAACTTGTATGACCTGAAATGTGAAGGAAGGTATAGTCATAAAAGAATTGTTATCTTTCGGTTCTGCTTAGCCATATGGGGAACACATAGGCGTGGTGTGGAAACAATATCTAATGAAAGAATTTTATTTTTAAACGTAGCGGGGGAGTGTGATTATTTTAAAACGTTCCCAAAATTAACATAATTATATTGTTGTTTTTTGTAAGGGGAAAATCATCAGATTACTTCTCTTTCTCTTGCCCAGGATAAGGCGAGAGGGAGTATCAGACTTTCACTAAAAAGCCCCCTATAGGTACCTTCTCCTTCTCCTAAGAAGAAGGTGAACATCGGCCCTGATGGGCCCCATCTGTGGGGTCCTTTATTATGTCGCATTATTTATTTATATCTGGTAACTACTTATTAAGATTTTTTTGGCTTCAGGCTCCTATACAAAAAAATATTTTGTTAGTTAGACATGGGCTTACGATGATAATGCTGTGGATTCCGAGACAAGGTCAGTTTCCGTCCTGGATTGTCGGAAAAGCTACAAATAATCCACCTACGCATTGAGTTGTAACAGTTAAAAACGTGTTATAAATACGTATCTTAATATAAAAAAATAGGAATGCCAGAAAAACACGAATAAACACCATGTTACTAAAGTCTGGACCAAAAAGGAAATTTTTCTTTTTATGATAGTTCATTTATCGAATATGGCTTAGGCTTTATGACATCACGCTACCATCAATGGTAGCTGAGAAGAGAGTAAAATGGTCGGTAAAACCTGGTATCTAAATAAACTAAAATAAATGAACTAATTGGTATACTTTGCATCGCCCTGAAGAATTCTTTCTGTCGAAGTGACTACCAAACAATCAAGTTTAATTCCGGGAAAATGTAAAGAAAGGCAGAATGCCAGACAGTGACCATATAACTTTAGTTAATTCCGGAAAACACTTCTTGTGTGATCGGAAATAGAATAAAAATAGGTTCTCCGTAGGATGTAAGACGCTTTTAACTCTTACAATTCCTACATAGCTTTAGCGCTTGTGTTGATGTGTCATTTAAAGTCCCTTGTAAACTTTTCTGGCACTAGCACATAATTCACGAGAATTACGTCGTGTATCTGGTACATAGCGGCAATTCAGACGTAGTGAAACAAGCCGTAAATATACTAAAAACTCCACTTGTTTTTTCAAACAGTTTCAAATATTAACAATTCAACTTTCCGCATCCGATGCACCATCTTTATTATCTATGAAACTTTCCAAAATATAACAAAGAGATCAGAATTAAAAAAACAAAAGTAACAAAAAATGTAATAGAAACAAATAATGCCAACATCCAAGTACAGATTGCCCGTCGAGTAAAGTTACAAATAAATGATAATGCCTGCTGGCCGATCGTACGTTTAAGCACATGTTTGATAAGTGTATCAGACAGCTATATGTATGTATTTATTTATATACCTACTCAAAGTTATTTCTGTATCGACCGTGTTTGTGGTGCTCTCAACTGCGCATGCCTGAATGACGACATCCAGTATGTACTGCTGTGCCACCTAAATGCGTTGAGTTGAGTCGAGAGAGCGACGATTCAGTGCGCTTGAATCCAGCGGAGGGGTCGGACGCGTCATTTTTTTAATAAATTCTATACAGTTTCACAACTTTCACAATCGTGCTTCCATCAAGTAGTGTAGTATGTAAACAACAAATAGTTTAACAAAAGTATATTTCAAATAATAATTTCGAAAGTATTCGATATTTTTTTCACTATTTCATTTGACAAGCAGTGTTTTTTTTTTATTTCTTTTTTGATTAATTTTGGATGTGACTTGAGGTAAATTGTACAAAACACACGTAAAAAAAGTGTACGTTAATGTTTCTGTGTATTTTTATTGCATTATAAATGTCTTATCGGTGGTAATAATTGGTACCTACTAAACGATCACCAAGGACGGTGTAGCGATAAACAAGTGTGATTTTTCTCATCTTGGAAAAGTTGTAATATTTAGGTACTGTAGTCACAAAAAAGAATACTTATAACTTATTACCTAATCCGTACTATTTTATTCTGCCTTTATTTACCTACTGATGAACTAAGAACAGGAAAATGGTAATCGTAAATGTAATTTTGACTTGTTTTTTTCCACATTAGTATTGAGTCATAAATATTACCATTTATATTTTTCTTAATATTTGCTTTTATCCCTGTATACTTAACATTAGCTCGTCTATGAATTTCAGTGACACTTAAAACATTGCTCAACTCAGTTTATAGCTTCCTTTATAGCACTTATGGCGTATGTACTTTGCTGATGTTGTTAATTGTATTTTAGTTATCACTATAAAACGGGGTTACACAACAACACACTGAAGTTAAATATCTAATAAAATTACTGTTTAACTATTTAGCAGATGCATTTTTATGAAAAAACACTAGTTGCCACGGACATCTCCGTACTGTCTCAAAATTAAAACTACTTACACGTATGAGGTTTGCTTCTTATGGTGTAATATCACCACTTATAGAATTTAACAGTTTTATTGCTCATAAGGTAAAAAGTACGTAAAACAGCAACAAAACATCTATCCAAATATTGTTAGGATGTGTCAATAACAAATGCTAATACTTATATCTAGCCAGACATTGTGGAACGATTCCTTATCTGGCTTTTGCCGATGCCATTAACGCGAATAGACAAAGTTCTCATTTACAGATTGTGCGTTTTTAAAATAAAAATTTCACAAGAAATCCTGTTGTTTTCATTGTACCTACTTTTAATGCTAATATTCTACGTTTTCAGTTTATTTTATTTCATTTGTTTAGCAATCCACTCAGTTTGTAAAGAGAATAACTACATACATACATACATACCTACATACGTACAGAAGCCAGATTCTTCGTTTGGGACTGAGACTCCGCAAGCAAACAGAATCAAGAAATCGAGATCCATCTGAAAATTTCCAGGAAAAGCATCATATTGGTGAAATGGAATGGAGTAATGTTTCAATGTAATTTATCTCGTAAGGCCCAACCTAAAAGGTCAATGTACATTATGGCTGAATGTACTAACCCAAGTAGTTGTGGCCCAGAACCTCGATTTAGTCACAGTGTTTCAATTTCAGATTCAAATAAGGCCAAAAATACGTTTAAAAATCATCAACACTGCTTGACTTATGTACAAAAAACGCTGCTGATGTGGATTATGTACAAAAAACGCTGCTATGTAGCCATATCAGCAGCGGACATATATATATTATTATAATTTCATGACATTAAAAGGTGTCTTGCGCCGGTCCACATTTTTTGTCAGTCGCTCGCTAAGCTTTACGAAGACAGGTAGAGAGACAATGAAACGCGTTAAAACTTTCAATTTTTTCTTTAATCAATAATTTAAAGCTTACAGACATTCTCGTGTTGTTACAAGTAAGCGTGGGCACTGCCGTGCCGCCGTGCTAGTCGCCACGGCTCACAATCCCATTCAACTGAAATTTCGCCACTAAAACCACTAAGTCGGTCCTCCGGTGCCGGGAGAAACACATCTCATGCGCCGCCCACGGCACCGAGTCCACTCACAAATAAAAATCATATCCATTCATGATTAGAGTATTATATTTTCAAATCCGTCTCAAAATGTCATCAAAATGTTTTGAAACCTGCGCTACACGACCAGTGCTCGCGTTCAGATGGACGTCGCCCATACTCCTACAAAACATACATTTTGATACGTGTACAACATAGTCACTATACATAAATAAACATTCTCCACATTGTATCGTTTAAATAAATCGGTAAACATTTTGTCCGCTCTGAACAATACATGTTACTGGTCTCTAAAACTGGGTTTTTATATTTAATTCATTCATTTATTTATTTTAAAAGGCATAGGCGTTATGTACGTAGTATAATTGCTTGAGTTTCGAACAAAGAGATTGACACACTTTCTGGACGGTAATACTCTACATTTGGCGTAAGGGCGTACACAGGGAAGGTTGGGTCGAACAGGTCTGTAGCAGGTTGCTGCCATATACCACATCTGTATACGCTCCTACCGTGCGGCTATCCGAAATGATAATTGACATGCATCTAGCTCAGGTCTCAATGATGAAAAAAGAATCGCTAAAATCGCACGCGAATCGTAAAATTCATAAAAAAATATATTCAAGGAATTATAAACACAAATGCTATTTCTTTTCTCGTTACAATTGTGCCAAATTCCAAAATCGTATTACAAAATGAAAACGCGATTCGGAACTAAAACGGTCGCCCTAACATTGTCCGTTCGCCGCGTCGCCGAGTACAGGTGGCGGGGAACGACACGACAGACATCTATTACTCTATCAACCAAAATCCTTCTCCTCACATAAACGACGTAGTAACAAAATGCTTACAAACACAACCGTAGACATACGTATACACACACATACACACCTCTCACACATTCGTTCACTCTGGCGTCTCAACCCCGACGGAGGCGCGGTACAAGAAGTACACAACGAAATGAGGTCACATGCAGTTAGCTGGGTGCCTCTAGCCCGCGCCTGTCCGTCGCGGGGGGGCTGGCAGCGACAAAATAATCACATCAGTGGAAACAGTCAAGACAAATGAATACATCAAAATTGTTTACTCGCCGCCAGCCGCCACCTCGTGTCAATACTAGTCCTGTCCAATACACAATTTGAGGGAACATTGACATCTTACTGTATCGTATGTTTTAAAAGGTTTGAGATTTCTACAACATAACGGTTTACAAGACGGGGACGTTATAATCAATTTCAATATTTATACAAACAGGCGAAATCAGGTCTTACGATATACGTTAAACTATTTTCTACAATATTAATTTCTTCTGTTCTTCACAGTGAACATAATTTCGATGTCACGATATTATCAGCATCTGATTATGTAGGTACTATGTTGCAATACTGCTGTATACTCCAAGCATGATTTTGTATTCTAAATTTCAATGTTCCAAATAATATCAAACGTGTGAAGTCTGTACAGCCCAAAAAAATTTCAGATCTAGATGTCGAATAGAACGTTGGACTATGTCTGTATAATTAATCGAATAATTTAGTGGTCGACGGCACGCAATCTTCGTCATATATTTACGTTATCGTTGCGCACGGTCCGAGTGTAGTAAGGTTGGCCTCGCGGTTTACACAAAGGAGGAGAGTATGAGTATATTATCGTAGAGGGAGTCGAGGGTTATGGGTAGAGAGGCGCGCGGCGGGCGCGTCAGTTGTGCACGGGGGGCGCGTGGTGGTGGCGCTCGAGGTCCTCGAGGCACAGCGCGTTGGGCACGTGCACCGACGGCAGCTTGCCGGCCGACGCGCGCGCCAGCAGCTCCGGCGAGAACCAGCGCGCCAGCTGGTTGTCGCCGCCGCCCGTACCGCCCCCGCCGCCCAGGTCGCCGAAGTTACCTGCGAACAGGAAACCATCGTTTAAAGATAATCTTCTAATCTTCCTCATTCAGTCCTTAACTACACATTTAGGGAAAGAGAGTAAAGTTTTCCCTTAGATTAGAAATGGAAGACAAGTATTCTCCGCCGAGGCGAGCTGATGCCAAATACCTCTGTATGTTGAAAATTTCTATCCGTGATAACCTGCTCACAGTTTATAAAAACAAACTATGCCTAGAACTAGTATAAATATGTATTTTGTAACTGGATACTAGTCAATACATACTAAGTTAAAATATATTTTAAATAAAAAAGGTAATAAATGTAATGCAACAATGCTATGACGATGAAGCTTCCAGTATTCATTCTTATATAGGATTCAATAACCGATCTTAATTCACAATCTATGAATCCATCCCTATATTTTGAGTAGGGACTAGATACATTTAATACTGTCAAACGTCGACCATAATCCAAGTTTTAAGATTTAAATAAGAATAGAATAAATATTAGACACATGGACTAACCATTAAGACTCCTCTGATGTGACTGAATGAGCAGCTTGTGAAGGGAAGTCCCGCCAGCCATGCCGCGGGCCATGTTGTTCATATTGTTGTACTGCAAACAAAACAAAAACATATTAACAAATTTAATCAAGTCAATAGCATCAATAGAACGGTTGAACAACTGCTAAACAACCGGCTGCTACATAAAGTGTCGGGTGTTCGACACCCACAAGGAACAACTCTATGTTGTTCTGGTTTTGGATGTTATGTGTATGTTGATGTGATTTTGAACATTTGCAAATGCACCCACGATGCAGTAGCATAACCTAAAGAGTGGCAAGTAAAAAGAAAAACAATTTTGTCAGTGGGCAAGGGAATCATTACCTTTGGTATGTTTTTTATTACTTAAATAACATTATAACCATTTAAAAAGTTAAAACATATGAAATCTAAAAGGCAAGTATATTGACTTATAACATAGATAGAAAACGTAATATAAAAAAAACTTACCGAATTAGGTACCTGTTGCCTCTGTGGCGGATGTGGGAACGGTCGGACTGAACCAATCATTTGCTGAAACGGGAAATAACATTTTGTTTTGTATAATTTATCATTAATATAGAAAAACATTAAAGTACAACTATTGTACAATTTCAGGACATTCATAGAACTAAATTCAGCTTGGTGATTGCCAGAGAGACAGATTTGATGTTGAATTCAAAAGTTCAAAAGTTGCCTTTAATCACATGTCCTTAATATCATATTTAACGATGAGAATGGACATATCAAATGAGATAATTTATAGAATCAGGCGTTACTTTGCGGAAATCCATGACATTAAATGTTAGGGAAAATATTTAGTTTTAAATATTTAGTTTTTCGCAGCCGAGCGCTCGTCGAGTCAACATCTCCTGAGGATGCCCTGTGGAGGGGCGAAACACGTGTCGAGTATAGGTTTGATTGCGTGGCATGTTTTTCCGTTTTGTGTATGTGTGCATATGCATGTCACCCTTGCTGCATGTGCATATGCATGATTGCATAGGAGTGGGATTGCATCCTGCAACAAGCCTGGATTTTTGTCGCGGAATTAAAACTAAATATTTTCCCTAACATTTAATATCAAATGAGCCCAAACTCGATCTCCTTATTACAAAACTTAAACCATGGAATCAGGTTTTGTATTTTTAGTCTTAGTCTCACCTACCTTCAATTTGAAATGCAAAAACTGGCTCAGTGGTTTAGACCTTTGATAGATAGAAGAAAAACCTTGTTTTGTAATAAAGCCGGAAATGTTTACTAGCAGAAAGCTCAAGGTTCCTTAAGTAACCTTCTAATTGTATCATCAAACCAGCATGATTGTTCGGATATTTTAAGAAAAGAAAAGAAAGAAAGAAACATTTATTTCTGCGCAAGCGCACACACATAAAAATCAAAAATACCAAAAAGAAGGAAAAAGAAAAACTATACCAATTATATAAACTAAATGATAAAATAATGTAACTGTTAACTAAAATAAAATTATTAACAAAAAGCACAAAAAATAAAGAGTAAATAGTAGGTAAACTTTTTGTCACTAATCTATATCTATAATCTTATATATAAAAATGAATCGCAAAATATGTTGGTAAGCGCATAACCCAAAAACGCCTGGACCAATTTTGCCAATTCCTTTTTTGTTATGTTTGTTATTGTCAGGAGAAGGTTCTTATCAAAGAAAATATTACAAAAGTATAGAGGAAGATTAGGAAAAAGTTACACTATGATAGCGAGATAGTTGGACCCGTGCGAAGCAGCGGCGAGCGGCTAGTAGTCTATACTTCTATACTAATATTATAAAGAGGTAAAATTTGTAAGTTTGTATGTAGAGGGAAATCTTTGGAACCACTGGTCGGATTCCCAAAATTCTTTCACTTATTGATAGCTACAATGTTCCCGAGTGCTATAGGATATAAAACATCACGCATGCTCGGCTCAATCAAATAGAGCCGAGCAGCGAGTGAAACCGCGCGGGAGTAGCTAGTATTATTATAAGGGGGTAATATTTGTAAGCCTATATGTAAGGGTAGTCTTTGGAAGTCGTAGTCGAATTTCCAAAATTCTTTCACTGAAAGATAGCTACAATGTTCCTGGGTGCTATAGGCTGTAACTTAATTTGAGTATCTCGTATTTTATTTTTTAAATCCCGGGATTCATTATTTTTATACATATTCATGACAATATTACAATGTGTATGTGGACCTTCTGAAAGCGTTATACAAAGTCAATAGTTACCTGCTGTTGGTTCATGTAATGTTGTTGGTAGTCATTGGGCGTTGCGTAGCCGATCGCCGGCGCATTGCCGCTTTGATTACCCTGAAACAACAATCATTGTATTATAAAATGTCACATTTCCTTTTCGTTCGTCGATTGCCAACATTGACAAATAATGTGAGATGTCTTATCCGACTTTACTATATTGGAATTTACTGAAAAGCGAAAACAAATTCGGGAGTCAATCGAAATAATGCCTCCTGCTCCGGGGCCTCCAAGGCAAGGCCGCGGAACGGACTGCTTATTAGTCGGTAAGTGTCTAACCCCCTTGGCCCGTCCATGACAGGAAAAGTCATTTGATGATATTTTGTCCCCTCAAAAAGGTAACTAAAGAGTTTATTTGTCTAACAATTGTATAAGTCATGTATGTTAGAAAATAATATATAGTCGATAACAATTTGTGTACTTATAAAAACGCGCAAATATAAAAAAAATGTACCTGCATATTAGCATGCCTAATTAGTCTTTGGTTGTTATATTCATTACTAGTATATAGTTTATAATATGCGTGCGTGAATATGGTTTACCAATAAATAAATAAATAAAAATACATACAGAACCTACACAATAAAACAGAGTTATAGATATTATGAAATAAAAAAATAAAATAAACTTGCAGCAAGAAGAATCGTTCGGGTCTTAAAAACTTTTTGTTATTATTTAAGGTTGGTAGATATAAGGGGAATATTGCGGGTTCTAGAACAATTTCTGAGCTTTCAGTTATTTATCTGCGTGATTAATAGTGTGTATATTTACCTTAACTATAGGCCTGCCCTGCGGCACCTTGGGTGGTTGCGTCCACTGTTGCTGCTTCGGACTAGGCGTGTCAGACTCTTTCTCTGCAGTCATTTTACGTAATACCTGCAACAAGTATTATGTAACATGACACAACACACATAAAGAACTTCAATACTATAACTATTTTAAGAAGGAAATACAGACCTACTGACTGGGACTTGTCATCAAAAATGTTGGAAACAACCTATAACGAAGTACTTATATGATCAAATCAATGAATAATAATATTTTTATTCAAGTACATAATCGTATTGAACAGTTAAAATTATTGATTGTTGACTGAGGGAGATACCCAATTATTTAAAGCTTTACTTTCCATGTCAGTCACAAAAAGATTGATAGGTTCCTGTTCTTAAGAAAATAACTTGTCCAAGACATTTTTCCTTTTTTGGGTTGCCCTAATATTGTGACCAATAATAAATGGTCGTAACTGAAGAATGCACCAAGTAAAATGTTTTTGTACTAGTATAGTCAGTACAAGTGCAAGTGTATAATTTTATTGTAGTAGTTATCTCTCTCTCGGTACTAGTAAATAAGGTTCAAGATTCTTTTATAAGAAAGTCGTAAAAAATAATAATAATGGTGTAGTGTACCGAGGTGGGTGTGAAGGATATAGGAGTAGACTGTTTGGGCTGCTGCATCTCCTGCCGGCGGCGGTAGTTCTCGCGCTGCTCCTCCAGCTTCTTCTTGATGAGAGCATTCTGCATTATCGACTGCGTGTGCGCAGCTAACTCGCGCGGCGAAGGAATGCGAGCCGGCACGCCTGCCAGGAAGAGTTCATTCATTAATTTAGTGGAACAAACATTTAGACAAACATGATAGATGCACATAACCTAAAAATAAAAAGAAATATACACTAATTGAAATCAACGAAGTAAAAGTGCGATCTTTCGGTTACTTCCTAAGTGTTTTTTATTTATTCAAAGTGTAGATTCCTATTGGGAAAATAGAAATTAAAATAATAACGCATGCCACACTTCTTAACGAAAAACAAAACATCTATAAAAATATATGTAGAAACAAGAATCTATTATAATTTACCGTTTATTTTCGACTCACCTATAAGAGGTTCAAAATATGGGCATAGGTAGTGTAAACAGACCATGTTGTACCTTGGTAACCATTGATCACATGGCCGTAGGAAGACAGACCTGGGTGGGATCTCTTAACTAAATAAACTCGTATCTGATAATTAATTAATTCACCAATATTAATGACAGACTTAAATTTGTTATTAACTATCTCCAAGTGGCTATCCATATCTCAATTGACCCTTGAGGAAAATCATCAAATGATTTCTGCGGGTGCTGGTGCTGGGTAGTGAGGGAGTGTCAGACTTACTGACTAAAAACCTGGGGTTGTTTTCTTTCTCTGATCCGGACCAGGGCCGCGGTTACCGGTACCATTATTGTCCTTGTCCCCGGCTGACTTATAGTAATAATTATTAGGGCACTAACTAATTCTCTAACGGAAGAAAGTCGTGACCTAACTCTTGAACCCGATAGACAAGCCCTTAAAATGTTGTGCTTTTATTTATCTAGGTTCAAACCTAGATCAACAGAGTCAATCAAAGCTACCGTTAGCCGTGGTGGCCCGGAGGTTAGAGTGCACGCTTCTCATGAGGGTGTAGGTTCAAAACCTAAAAACTAAAATGACTTTTCCCGAGTGATATATTCCTACTATGATTATTTAGACACCAATGACATACGGTGAAGGAAAACATCGTGAGGAAAACTAGACTTATTATAATTTCTAATTATAATCGTTTGTAATCGCCAATCCGCCTTGAGCAAGCGTGCTGATTAATGCTCAAACCTTCTCCGCGTGAGAAGAGGCTTTGCTCAGCAGTGGGCACTTATAGGGTGATGATGTGAGGTCAATGAGTAGGCGATTAAGATGAAACATATACTACCTGGATGATGAACGGCCAGTGTGTTGGGACTGGTGGCCATTATAGGCGACACACAGAACGCTGCGTCCGTATGGGAAATTGTAAGTTAAAGCGAGGCATATAATTGTAGTAGATTTAAATATAGCAGGGTAATGACATTAGCACAAAATATTAGTAATATAATATATAACAATTTTAATTTAGTTTTGTAACAATGATATGCAGGCGGACTTTTTTTTGTTTTTAGTATTTTTTTATAGAAACAAGGAATTACTTGTTTTTAATTATTATTCTTAGTTTCTCACCAATTTAAAATAATATTTATCTTGGTTCGTTGTCACAGTTACACTCTAGAGACATTATGATTCTAATAAATTATTAAAATGGCAACAAATACAATGTTAGCAACAATACCAAAATGTTCATAGACAATACTCGTGACATTTATTACTTTAGCCAGCTAAAAGCCAGCTACTCACTGAAATTATTTTGATACACTAAAAACCTAAAAAAAATTATGTTTTTTGGGGTGTGTTATGAGTATTAGTTTAGTTTTTAATATCAATATGTTGTTTTAGTATTTGTATGTTTAGAGCACATAATACAAAATTCATGGGTTACCTAGTAATATAAAGTACATATTTACCTTGGTGAGGTAACGGCGACAGTCTCAACGGTTGATGGTGAGGAGGAACCACCAGGTGAGGGCCTCCCGGTAACGGGGACTCGCCCATCTGAGAGAAAAAGTTTGATTGCATTATTACTATTTATTAGCATTGGTGGCGAATCATTTATAAAGGAAACCTTTTACAAAATTACGAGGGTCAAACTGAAAGAACTGACCAAAGAATATAATAAAAAAATAATTCTTAAATAGAACTCTTTGCCAATATTATTGAGTATACATTTCATTCATTTGTCATTTGTTTTGCGATTTGGCGGCAAACTTAAAATTGTCTGTGTCACGACAATATGAATTTAACATGAGAAAATTTTCGTGCGTGCGACTGTCTGTCGAGGGCACGTTGGGCCCGCAGTCTCAAAGAAAAAGACCCGCAATCTGCGGGCCCAAAGCGCACTCTGCGTCGCGTGTCGCGGAATGCTGCTCATGAATATGGGCCTGTAGCATAGCTTGAAACTAGTGGAGTATCTCGTCAAATTATTACGTGAGTAAGCCGAAAACGAAAATATAATTGATTTTTTATGACTTTCGATGTCATTTAAGTCAACAAGAAAGTAATGATGGACTAGTATTGGTCTTTCAAAATGTTTCTAGCACCTGTAAATTAATATGCACTAGGTATTAGTGGAATAAATGTGTACCTGTCTCTGGTGTTGGTGCAGTCTTAGTATGGTAAGCAGTACTTCACGGTGCCGACTCTGAAGCCCGGGGTTACTCAGCTGCTGCATTAAATGCTGAGCCGTAATCTCACCCGTTTTCAGACCTGAGGAAAGATGAAAACAATTCTTAAGTTAGTTATAAACCTTAATTTAATTTATTTTAATTTGCTTCACGTAAACCTTGTAACCATTTATATATTTGTGTATTTATTAATATAGTACAGAGTACATATTTATTTAAACATTTAGGAATTTATTGCTTTTAGCGGTAAGGTCACCCTTGTACTGTAGAAAGGCGAAACTAATACACAATTTACATAGAAAAGTGGGTAACTATGTACGTGTAACTTGTAGACGCGACTTGCATGACGATGATTTGTATTGTAGAAACCTGGGTAAACACCTAACATAGTTCAATGTAATACCTATGTCCTAACAAAAACTACTCACAAAATCCAATACTACAATGATACAAAAATATATTTGTAAGTAACTTCCACGCTTTAGTAATCCAATATCATTGCCTTAATATTCGAATTTTCGTTTACAAAAAATTTTATCACGCACATCATCTCATCAACGCAAATAAACTACTTAGTATCTATAACACATCCCTTTGAATTCACCCTGTTGCATCCATCGATTAACATCAATCCCTCCCTTAGAGGAGAATACAGGGTGTATTTGATCCTTCATTTAACTTCAATCAGTTGATATCAATACAACTACTTCCATCCATAGAAACACACACTTGAAGTATGTAACACAAAAGCACTCCCTTTCAATCAGTTGCTTCAATAACAACTTCATGTATATTGGCATACATAAAACAGTCAAAACATAGCCACAAGTGGGCGGAGTCTCCCGGGTAACGTCCGCGTCCGACTGGTATCGATGCAGCTGCATCGATTGAACGATATTATAGAATATGTAGATATCTACTGAACTTAGGTACAGGTCATTTAATTTTATTTTATTATATGTAGTATATACTATGTACTGTACGCTACAAAGGTGTATGGTTGGATACATTATATCATCAAAATTCTAATTAATTCTGTTTTAGAATAGAAACTATCTAACTAACGTGAATAAACCGAGAAAGGCTTTACTAGTTTCAAACCCCGTTGATAATGAAATTTATTTCTAACTAAGGTATAGCTTTCAATCAAGATCATGACGTATCAAAAACTGAATAAAATATAGTATCTATATTAAAACATACGTCCTTATCAATACAAACTTTCTAACAAGTAATATCAGAAAATATTTATCATTAGATCAGAACTTAATTACCAACCATTTAGTTCACTATAAAACGATAAAACAACAATAACAAAAACGACGCAAGCTAATAAAATACAGACATACAATCTGACTTTGCACAAGATGCACTGAAACAAAAGTGCAAACCTAACAAAAAGTTCTGAAAAACAATATCACATGCAGACAACACCAATAATAGAAAAAAAAACATTGACTATCAAGGTGATTCATACCCTAATCATAACAGCAACAATATTTTTATTAGTTGTGTCGTAAACAGTTTGACTATCGTATGCAGTCCCCTGGGACTTTAACTTCGGGTATCATCGGAAGCGTTCGGGTAACTTCGGAATTCGGAACCTATCTCTTTTATTAATGGACTGTGTACATAATATTGAGCTGTTGATTGCATCCATATTTTCCTATTGACAACCCGAACATGGTTGTGATTTACAACTCTGTGTAAATATCAGTTTGTTAGGTCATAGATAAGTCTAGAGTGTTACAACCTTACAGCTCTATAAACTTCCTGTATTTGGAAAATACGCGGGAATTTTTGATTTCTGAATGACGTTTAAGCTGAAGTAATGGTGATTATTATACTAATTTAAAGTATATGTTTTTCTTACTATTTTTAAAGTTTGTTACTTAATATATTAATTGTAATAAACTAGCAGTCACCCGCTTTTCTATGGAAATGTTTCCTGAATTTTCTTTGCTATAAACCTCACGGAGTCTGAGACCTTTCCAACGAATGCAAAACCGACTTATTGTAAACTAGTTATACTCGCGCGGTTTCACCCGCTGCTCGGCTCCATTTAATCGTAGCGTGATGTTTTATAGCCTATAGCACTCAGGAACACTGAAGTTATCTATCAGTGAATGAATTTTGGCAATCCGACCAACGGTTCCAAAGATTACTTCCTACATGCAAACTTACAAATTTTAACTCTTTATAATATTAGTATAGATAATAAACATAGTTACAATACGAAGAGAAAATGTCTAAAAACGTGCATTGAACTATGTGTAAATTATGCTGAAGCTCAATCGACCAAGTTTAATTAACAATGGCATATAATAATTAGCCAAAGCGCATACAATGATTTTAATCGTGTAATAAAATTATCGTTTAATTGCTACATTGAGGTTTAAATGCGTGCACACGCGACATAAAATTTATACGAACAAAAGCGATAATTACAATATCGAAGTCTGCAAATGTGATACAAACATGTGAATGTGGATATAACCATTGGTTAGAGTGGAATTGCCCATTTTAAAATAATAATAATTTGACGCCTTTACACTCGGGGCGTTAAGTTTGGTAAGGAATGGGCTAGTGAGTTACTAGAGCATAACGATTGGAGAGAAGTCATACTAATATAATAATCTCGAAAGCTTCTATGAATGAATGTTTATTACTTTTAGTATTAAACGGATCTGAATGAAATTTGCCACAGAGAGTGTGAAATAACTCATAGGCTTCTTTTCAACCTGGTATTGCGAGCGAAGCCGCTAGCTGAGATTCTGATCATAATGACATATAGTAATGCTGAAAATCAGCATCGTGCATCGCGAAGTCTCAAGCCTGTGTACCTGGGCCATCACATTAAGCTGAGCACTAGCCTTTTGCGCTTTCTCTCTCGTTTCATTATCTTTCTTGTCTTATATATAAACTCACAGTGTAATGAACAGTTTTTCTTTCGTTGTCTCTGATAAAGTTATATAAGTGGTGTGTACATACCCCGCACGATGGCCTGCGCCTCAGGTCGCTGCAGCAGGTCCCTGTCAGCGGGCGCCATGCCGGCCAGCTCGGCGCTCACGGCCGCCGCCGCCGCCTGCTGCTGGTGTTGCTGGACCAACAATATTATTCTTACACAATATGTTTATACACTAACTTTTTTTATGTAATAGTTCGGCAAACGAGCAGACTAATTATTTGATGGTAAGCAATCAACGCCGCCCATGGATACCCGCAACGGAGGAGTTACGAGTGCGTTGCCGACCTTTTAGGGATTAGGGATTTGGAGACTCAGGGATTGAGGAGGGATTGGGGGAGGGAAAGAATTGGGCCTCCGGTAACCTCACTCACACACCGCGAAACACAACGCTGTGGTTGTTTCACGCCGGTTTTCTGTGTAGCTACCGCTGCTCGGCTCTTACATATCGTAGCTTAATGTTTAATAACCTATAGCCTTCCTCAACAAACACAAAAATAATTGTTAATTTCGAACCAGTAGTTAATTAGTTATAATTAGCGCGTTCAAACAAACTCTACAGCTTTATAATATTAGTATAGATTAATGCATTTAACCATTATCTGGTATATTCACAAGTTGGGCATGTATTTGACGACGAAACTTGACGACAGTTATAGAACTTTTAAATAATGTTTAAGCAAAGGTAATGTTAATAATGTCGTCCAAATACAGGTGCTTTCATTTTTTTTATTTAGAAGTTTCTCTATGACGTGGGTGCATTTATAAAGACACGATTTCACATACACATGACATCCGGACCGAGATAACAATTTGTGGATATAACAAAAAGTTGTTCCGTGCGGAAATCGAACCCACGACATGTATCACAGCAACCATTTGCCTAGTTAATTACAGCTTATGTATTATATTAAAAAAAGCGGTGTATAATTACCTGCACCTGCAGCAGCTTGTAGAGTAGCTCCTGCGGTATGTGGGGGGGCTGTTGCTGCGCCTGCGCCTGTGCCTGTGCTTGCGCCTGGGCCTGTGCCTGTTGTTGCTCCATGCTCTTGTTCAGCATCTGCACCATCACAAAATGTACACTTAACAACTTGTACGTAAGCTATCTGCTATCGTTGTCCTTTCAGTACTAAGCTTAATAACCTAAATGTTAGTTAAATCAAAGGAAATTCTATTAACACACAATTTTAATGCTGAGTCGATTTCATTACTTTTGTTTTAAGCATCAATAGCCTAAAATGTTATTAGATAATTTTCTAGGTCAAAAATCAAATATTTTGACTTGTTAATACAATATTTTATTAAAATAGAATTATTCTTTCACTACTTACTTCATTTGATTTTTTCTAGCTACTTTATCAGAAATCAGTATATTACTTGTAAAAACGCTTGAAAAATACGGCGATCACATACAAAAATCATAAAAAAAAATATATTTATAGTATTAATATTTTAATAAAATTTTTATTTTGACTAGTTAAAAACTACCATATTGGATGCTGTCGACAATACATACATAGTATGTCAAAATGCCGTATATAGTTCAGTTCATACAAAGCCTACACGAGCCGAACTTTATTGTTCTTGTTTCAACCATATACTAAATATGTATGTCCAAGTGATGTAGTGGTTAGTGTACCTGCAACAAGCTCATGGGTTGCGGCGGGGGCTGCGGGCGCGGGGGCTCGGGCGCCGCCGCCACGGCGTGTCCGCCCGACACCTGCGCCAGCTGGAACAATACACAAAGAATTTAATTGGGTACTTTCCTGGGTCGAAAATAAATTAATTCGACGTTTCAATACAACAAAATATTTGAAAATAATTATGCTTTTAATCATCGGTCAATCGATACACTAACAATGTCAATAGGTAATTCCTAAGGTAAGGTAAGGCCTTCTGAAAGGCTTGCCAACGTTAAAATTGACTAATCTCCTGTTAAATCTCTTGTCAAGTAATCTGATTGGTTGTTGATAATTCAGTCAACCAATCAGATGACTTGACAAGAGATTAAATTGATTTTAACATTGATCGGCCTTTCGGAAACCGGTTATAAGTTAAGATGTTTTTTAGCTAATTATTAAGCTATTTGACGCAAAAATACGATGACGTCTTAATCCAGTTTTTCATACAAATTTCATAGAAAAGTATCATTTTTGACATTTGGATAAAAGTATTGAATTTGACTAGTTGGAAACTACCGTATTGCAATGCAATCTTATTACTGTTACAATACACCATCAAATATGTGTGAGGTTAAGGTAAATAATGCCTATAGCGAATGCCTAGTTCTATAGCTATATGTATAAAGATTTAAATTAATAACTAGTGCAAGACTTTCGAATTCTGAATATGATATTCCTAGCAAATTGTTATGTATGAAAAACAATTTGCTTCCTTGCCTATAAAACGTCAGATTTTGATCAAAATTTCCGGGAAAGGTCAGGCGAAGTAATGTAGAACTAATCAAACAATATTAACATATTGTCTTCACCGTGATGGACTCGGAAATGCTAGACTATTTCCGAAGTCCATTTTTAGCATCAAAAGTTGACTGCGTGACTCGATCGTACCCGCGATTTCTATCAAGGACACGTAACAGCTCGAATGCGAGAGTAAGAACTACAGAGTATAGACTTTATATTAGTATTGAGATATAACTACTATATTTGCACTAATGAAATAGATTGAAAATTACTAACCCTACTTATATTTGTAACTAATTGTAACTATTGATTTACGCGTAGTAAGTATGGATGATTGTTTATTAATTATTTATGTCATGTAACAAAAGAATGGATCTTAATCCAATTTGACTTAGAGCTGATTTTTCAATAGTCAGATAAACGTTATCTGAGGAATAAAATTGTTGCTGTCACTGTCTTATACAATCATTCTGACGCGACAGCTTCATAATCAACTTTTTATCTAAGCATTAAAAAATCAGCCCTTAAAGATAGATTTTGTATATAATAACATTAAAGCAAGTTATTACTCTATAACTGCATAAATTTTTGACGCCATAGATTTGTATGGCAGATTTAATATAGATACGTACAAGTCGTTTGAAAGCGGTGAGATCATGTTCGGGCACATGATGCTGCGGCACTGAGTGCTGAGAATGCTGGGAGTGCTGAGAGTGCTGCGAGTGCTGGGGCCTCAGTCGGGCCTCCAACTCCTCCAGGCTGTGCATCTTGCCGCCCACCTGCTGGGCTTCTGTACAAACAAATAATATTTGCTTTAGCTTTTACTGGCTATGACTACGGGCTACAGCATACTTTAATAAATTTCAAATTCATATTCATAGAAGAGCAGACTGTTGATTAATGTTTATAAATTCCTCTGTGATTTTAAAACTACACTATTTAGGCAGTTTATCATATCTCATAGATCTTGATTTATTTCAATAAAGTTTTTAACACATTCAGTGCCCCCGACGCGTATTTGCGTTTCCTCGCACGCACATACGCGTCGGGGGCACTGAATGTGTTAAAACAAAATGTAATTGAAATAATATTTCGACTTTTCATGATTTGAAGCCACTTCATTTCAAATATCTTAGTATTTTTTTCAAAAAGTGGTATGTTATTTGACCGTTATAATCTCATAATTTGCAATTCAATATTCTTTCTTCCAGTCCTTTTTGACAGTTTCATAAAAGTATTACATTTGACAAGATATAAACTACCAGATAATAGCAAGTTACTATGGTTTGATTTTTCGATAGTCAGATAAATGTTATCTGAGGAATAAAATTGTTGGTGTCACTGTCTTATACAAACATTCTGATGCGACAACATCATAATTATTTCCCAGGTAAAACTTATCGGACCGTTGAAAAATCAGCCCTTATTTAAGTAAAAAAATGTTCATACCAGGTCTCGCATCGTGTGTAGTGTTAGCATTGGCTCGGAGTAAGAGATCAAACAGTGATGGGTTCTGCGGCCTGCCGGCGGGGGATATGGGCGCGAACACGTGCGCCTCCCCACCGCCCAGCGCTGGACTCGGCTCGCTGCGACCGTTGTCCAGTTCTAAGGAGATAAAATTAATTATTAAAAAAAGTTTCTCCACACTAGTATTTTCTCCTGTTTCCTGGGTGCAGTTACATACACACAAATCACACCCAAACCCGAAACAACAATTTGTGAATCACACAAAGTATTGTTCCGAGCGGTAATCGAAACCGCGGCACGTGGCACAGTAGCCAGTTGCCCAGCCACTGCGCCATCCAATTACCATATTTTATTATTGTTCATTAAAAATTGTGTTTTTTTTATTATAGGTGTTAATTTTATTCCGTTTACGTGTGTATTGTAACATAATGGACAATTAATAAAGTATTAAATCGTTAAAAAGGAAACAAGTTTTAATGCCTTTCGTATAAAAATGGTTTAGGGGTTTTTTAACAGAAATTCCTTTCCGCTAAGGACCCTAAACAATGAATTGAAATTTACTATAAACAAACAATCTACAAAATATTTAATTTTTAAACCAATTTCGAAGAAAAATATTACTGAAAGCAATCGTACCATCGACCATATTGTGCAAGAGTCGCTCGTAATGCTTGGCATCGTTGGTCGGACTCTCGCGCCGGAACCAGCGACTGAACCTACTGCCGCCCTCCGTCTCGCCGCCGCCGTTCTGGAAACACTATACTCATATCAACTGGGATTCCTCAACATAACATAGACAATATAAAGTTAATATTTTTAGTATATTATATTTAGTCATGGTTTGCCACGAATGGTTGGGCTTATTAATTTCAAAGACCTCATAGAAAACAGGGCTTGAGTTATATTTCGCCGTGTTAGTAAGAATCGGTACTTTGAAAGATAACGATTTCGTCTTCTTTCTCTTCTAGGGTTACGGAATGTCCATGGACGAAATAGTTTGCTAACCATCAGGTTATCCGTCTACTCGACAAGAAATAATGATCTGTACTTCAGCTGTAGAAGCTGTGGAAGGAGTGTGGGAGAGCCATGCTTCCAAAACTCCTTCCGCAGCTTCTACACTATCTTCTGATACTAGGGCCTCACAGAAAACCGGCGTGAAGCAACGCTTAGCTTGTTTCGCCGTGTAAGTGAAGTTATCGGACACCCATCCCTAAATGAAGAACCCACAAGAGGCCGGCAACTCCCTTGGTGTTACGAGTATCCATACACCATGCGGGGTCCATGGGCGGCGCTGATTACTTACCATCAAGTAATTCGTCTGCTCGTTTGCCGACCTTTGGCATAAAAACAATAAATAATGGTATGTAAGATAAATGTGTATGTGCTTACAGTGAGTACGTCGGGTATGGTGTCGAATTTAAGGAACTCGTCGAGGTTGAACTCCTGCTGGTCGCTGTTCTGAGCTGTCTCCTCGCTCTTCGACTCCACTCCAGAATCCTTATCCTGCATGAATAAATATTTTTTTATTAGATCTGAATTTTAAATATTATTGTTTTTGATTATGTTCAAATCTATCAACAATTTTCAATAACCTATGTATATAGTATATCTATCTAATAGTTGATTGTTTGTTTTTGTACAATAACAATACAAAATATATTGAAAATAATGACTTTGTGGACGGCGATGTCGCAGCTCATGAATACGCGTTCCGTTGTCATTAAAAACTTCAGACATTTCTCAATTAATTAATCCACGCGAGGAAGTCATTGTTTTCAATAATGTGCATTTTCTTTTGCATGGAGCTTAAGCGTAAAATCAATCTCTAAGCAAATCTAAAGATGGATAGATTATTGAGAAATGTCATAAACCTTGTACATAAATAACATTGACGTAATATTTGATTTTATTACGAGACTAATGGTCTATCGGTCTCGATAATTGAACTTAATATAAACAATCTTGGCATGTCTTTCTATCTATAACTCCTCTAAAAATATTTACAATCAGGTATTTACCGAAATCGATGTTAGGTATAAAATAAATTAAAATAGTCTGTATATGTATTTTGTACGACCTTCTTAATATAAAAAGACATACTAAGATTGTTTTCCTTTAGTTAACAACCCAACGGATAAATCAAAGGTGTAAATAAATAAATTATATAAGGGGCACATACATTGCTGGAGTTGGTGGAATCGTTGGCGGCTGGCTGCGTGACGGGGGACGTCTCCCGCCAGCGCTCGCCCGCCGGGGACCGCGAGCCGCCATTGTTGTTCCATTTCTATCGCAAACACAAGCATTTCAAATTACTAACTAGTATATTTTCTATATTTTTTTATTGTGATCTTGACGTGTAAACAAAAAGCAAGGCCCTAAAATATTGAATTTATTGAAAACTAGTAGAGTTTTTCTCAGTTATTTCTCGGGAGTAGGTTTATTTATGTCTCACGATAGTTCCTATTTTAAAAAAAGCACTAAAATATTAGCACCAGTTTATTATTTAGGTTCTTTTTTATAGATAAAATTACTTTATACTATGAAAAAAAGGCTTTAATCGACCACTCGTCTTAAGTAGCCAAAAATCGAAAATGCTCAGGGCCTTTTGCATAATGTCTGAAAAGCCAATATGTATAGATAGATAAATTTGAATGTGGAACATAATTTTAATGAATTGATGGCCACATTGGTTTATAGGTATATAGTTTAGAAAATGGTAAAAGAACTTTTCTAAGATACTACCTCAGTCTCTTTATTGTTCGCGTTGCCGTTCTTTTTGGGCGGATCGTCGAAACCGCGGAGCTCGATCGTTTCCAGTTGAGATGTTGGCCCTCCACTAAACCTATGGCATAAAGAAATAATGTGTTGAGATATTTATGTACAAATATAGTAGATACATTTCAAATATCGTTTGACAGCTATCGCCTGGTTGTAAGCAATTATGAGACCTACGGTGGAGCACGCCTACCACAAAAGCGTATTGAAGAGCCATGCTTCGGCACGAATGGGTGGGCTCGACTGGAGTGATACAAACAACAGCGTCATGCGAATGAGGTTATCGGAGGCCCAATCTTTAAATATCCAAACCCTAATCCCAAAGGTCAGCAACACATTCATATCTCATTTGTTGTCGCAGGTGTCGATGGGCAGCGCTAATTGCTTTCCATCAGGTAAACAGTCTGTTCTTTTACTCGGGCTTTGAAAACACCCAGGTTAAAGTGTTACTCGGGGAACACAGACTCCGACAAAGAATTCCACTACTTCGCAGTTCTGATGAAAAAACAGGAGGAGAATCAAATCGAACTAAATAGTTTGAGCAAACATTAATCAATCATCTTACCATTCGGGTTCATCTTCCTTCTCAAGGCGTCGTTGAGAGAAGCGACCACCAGATCTACGGTTGTCCTCTCTGGAAATTAATAAATTTGTATTATTAAACCCATTAGTATAACTACTACACTATCTTGATTCACTGTGGAAAATTAGGCATTAGTGAGTTTTCGAACTTCCAAATGGAGATTTTCGCTTAGTTAAGATGATGGAAACAGACATTGTTTTATTTATATTGTATTTTAAACCTTCTGTTTTCTGAAAAATGAAGAAACTGAAGAAAACTGTTGAAGGTAAATCGTCCGCTAACGGAGGTCACCGGTGACCCCCATGGCGTTTAACGTGTTAATTTGTATGAACTATGTGCCACATTGGTATATCAGCAAGTTAGCAAGATGATGAACAAGACTCTTAATATTTATACCTGACAAAAGATAAGTTCATATCAACGTATAAGAATTGTTAAGGACATAATATTATTGAGTAGGTATATAAATTGTTATGTATTTGTGAGCATGTACCTGTCTCGAATCTTCTCGTTGATGAATCGATCCTCCCGTTCCCTCTTGATGTCAGAGGTGTAGGAGTCTCTACCAAACGATCGCCGTTCGAACCTGTACACATTATTGTGGTATAAGTTAATGTACACTATGAATATTAGTTTCAAGTGACTTGAAAGTGTGAAGTAAATTTAAGCGCAACAATTTTTTTTCTACCAAACTAATATATTATACATCCGAAAGTAACTCTGTCTGTCTGTCTTTTCTTCACGCCTAAACTTTTGAACTGAAAATTGGTACAGACATAGTTTGTAACTCGAGAAAGGACACAGGATAGTTTTATACCAATAATGAAGAAGTCACTATTCCACGCGAACGGAGTCGCGGGCAAAAGTTAGTATCTCATAAAGTGGGATCGAAATTTTATTTCAAACATTACAACTACTTACTGAAGGGCATAATAAAATCAAAAATAATAAATGTCGTCGATATTATACAATGGACGCGTAATCTCAATACGTGCATCACCTGTTATACGACTCTTGTTCTAGGCCATACAATGCAATATACTAGTAATAATACTTTATTACTAATACGATATCGTTATATTCCCAATGCTCCGATTGATACAAAACATTGGGAGTTTAACGGCCATAAATCGATATCAATTACACCATAAGTTATGAAAGAATTATACTAAAGGTAAATTTTTCGTACACAATTTAATCGAAACATTACGATAAGTTTCGAACCATACCGGGACTCATAAGTGCGTGTCAACTTGTGTTTTTAGTGTTATTTTTTTATATATGGAGTTTTTGCTACTTTTGGAACGAGCACCGAGCTTCAATGAAGAAGAACTGACAGATAACTATTATATTAAGGCATTTCAAAAGTAACTATTTATGGTTTAGTTCAATAAATGATTTTGGCTTTCGACTTAATTTTTTACCTTTCGTTGTTAGGCCTGGTGTGTTCCCGTTCACGTTCGCGTTCACGTTCCCTCTCGCGGGGAGGACGGTAGGGCTCTGCCCCACCACGGTACTCTCCTTCCTCCCACGCGTTGTTGGGCACGTCGCGCACCATGATACGACCAGAACCGATGCGACGACCTCCTGCATTCAAACATAATATATACGATTAGTGGAAATAAGTTCAAACATACATATATAGCGAAAAAGAAAGACTCAACTAGCTAAAAAAATCTTTTTCAATTACTATGCAGGGTGGCTTTTTGAAACGAGGGATATAATAATATTAAAGGAGCCGAATGCTCAATCACAACAAATTTTTCGACGGGACAAATATACAAATCTCAAAAATAACTTTATATCCCCATACAGATCGCAACAGCTAATGGATCACTGCCACCCTGTATATTATAAAAAATATCTTCATTAATCATATTATACACTAACTATTCGCGTGCGGTTTCACCCGCTGCTCGGCTCTCCTACAAATCGTAGTATAATGTTTTACATCCTAAAGCCTTCCTCAATCAATGTTGTTTTTTTTCAATTCAAACCAGTAGTTTCTGATATTAGCGCGTTCAAACTAACAAACAAACTCTTCAGCTTTATAATATATTAGTATAGATGCCCGGTAATGTGTAAATGCTAAGATGTATGGCTGGATAGTTTAATAACGTTTTTTGATTGATCATGCAGGCAATTTTTCTGATCATACCTTGTTCGGGTTTGGCAGGATGCGCAGGTTGGTGAGGCGCGGCTGCGGGCGCGGGGGCGGCCAGCGGGGACTCGGGGCGCGTGCGTGCCAGGTGCGGGGTCGGCGCCGGCGGGGCCGCGGCCGCCGGAGCCCCGCAACCCGACGTGAAGCTCCGCCGCTGCGGCGACAGGACGATACCACCGCCACTCGGCTCGCTTTCCTTCCGCACCCGTTCCCGAGGGTCCGCCGATCTACGTTCGCGGTCTCGGTCGCGACCGTATACACCCTGATGAATAAATACAAACAGATTTAGTTCGTTTTTATTTTGTTCTTCAACATTTTCTATTGATATTTATAATTGTTTTCTGATTAATGTAAACGACGTACAAATATTCAAGATGTTTAAAAAGATTACACTACTCAAAATTATCTAAAAATATTGTGAATAATAAAGAAGGCTACCTTAGAATTTACCTTATGGTTTTCATTGGGTGCATCTCCTCTCGCGCCTCGGTCTTCCTCGTTTGGTGAATCAGAGCGTCTCTTCAACACACTGCGGAAAAAGGGGAAATATTTTTACTCATTACATTTGCTTTGAGCACTTTTGAATATAATAAAGACTGAAAATGTCTGGGAAATAAATATATCGACTCACAGCGCAAGCGCCTCGCAGCCAGCGAACGCGTTCTCCAAGTTTCGCTTGACGAGCGGCGAGTTGCGCAGGCGCATGAGCTGGTCGCGCGTATACTGCAGCGGCTTGCGGGCCGGACCCACCGCCAGCACGGCTGGGTCCCCGCCACCGCCGCCCGACACGCTATTGTCCTCACCTGAAAGAATATTTAACATGATTATAACTAACATTTATTTATTTTAGCTCCCCATTAAACAAAAATTGTAAGCAAATCTGTATTCCTCCCTATTGGAATTACTTGGTGATACCTATTACACTTTGCAACGAGCAAAAAGCTGTACTGGAGTACCGATCGACAGATTTATTTTATTTGTTCGACATTCAAAAGTATGTAAAGTTCGTATTTGGTTTTATTGAAATAGTTAATAGATTATTCAACTAACTTTATGAATTTTGTACGCAATGAGTTGCATAATGATATAAGAAGAGTGATATTAGCATCGCTATGTGCCGGAAACAGCCCCAGTCTTATGCTATTACTAAAATAAAAAATCGCTGTCACGTCACGGATCATAAGTGTCTTTAATTTTTTGTAAGAGTATTCTTGTTGCACAGTGCATCATTGCATCTTAATCGTCACATATGTGCATGCACAATAAATACTATCGACCAGAAATCCCGTTTACATTAAAAACGAAGATTTTCCTACTATTTTTGAGATTTTAGATTGACAACAAAATAAATAACAATCACAGCGTCAATCTCATCTAAAAATAACAAACATTTAACACCTAAGGTCAACGAACTTTGTTGAATATTGAATATGTACATATTTGTTGTATTAGTATTCATACAAAAAAAACATGTTATTTGAATAACTTAAAGACGTCTTTGTTAGATTTTCGAACTTGCAAGCCCTCCTTTGTTGCAAATGCAACTATTAGTAAACTTACATAATGTATAGCTAGACCAACTTATTTATAAAAACTATATAAAGTTATTCGAAACTTCTTGAATATGTAGGGGCTCACGGGCACACAAAAAAACACTATGTCAATATATACATATTTAGGGATACTTTCGAGGAAATCACTAAATGACTTATACCGCCCTGATCGGGGGGGCGGGAGTGTCAGGCTTTCATTGATTAAAAAAACAATCCCATTCATTCTCCTACTCCGGTTCGAGGCACCTACATAATTTACAGATTCCTAGGGGGCATTTTTCACCACCTTCATATATACACAATCAATAAAAATGAGTATATAGTTCATTCATACGGTCAAGCTTTATAAATTAACATAAAAAAATAGCCCGACGATCCATTTACTGACATAGCTATCAAAGTAACTTTTAATTATTAAACCATCAATACTAAACACATGTTTAGTCCCATTGAAATACATTTCAATAAAAGCTGTCGCATGGTTTTACATAGATTACATGTGTGTACACAATAGTAAATAATTTGTTTTGTCAATGATGACTTATTGAAAAATTCGTCGCTTATTTCGAATATTCGTTTTAACAATAAGTTAGTGTTTTGATTCTTTGACAACTTTGTAGAAACGATAGGTAAGTGGTGCATTTATTAAAAAAAAAACTGTCGCAGCCAACTGGTTTAGTCAGCTATTCAGTTAATAGCCTAGCTTTTTTACGTCGTTTAATTTGGTAGGTGGTATTAGTCACAGAGATTCGATTTCCGTGCGGGTTCCACAGTTCTTACCTAAACTACCATTCTGCAGCTCAGTTTTAGTGAAAATGCATTCACCCTTTATCTAACAACGTGGATGAGAAAATCAGCCATTTAATAAAATAACTAGTTATTAAATTATTAATCAACCAAATTCAGCTGGCTGCGACGTATCCTTGAAATGTTTTGTTATCTAAAAGTGTGCTATTCAAGTGTTAGGGCGCATTGATAGGTAGTTGTTAACTAAATGTATTCGAGGCTAGAACCTACAATTATATTGTGCAAATTAAAGTTTGATAAGCATTTGAAAATCGTCGCTGAAAGCAGTGTTCAAGTTAACTTTTTTTGTTTCGCAACGGGTAGGCATTTGGCCGCTACCACGCCTGGTGGTAAATGATGATGCGACCTACGATTAAGCACGCATACCCATAAGCAACCTGATCCCTCGGGCCTTGAAGATACCCAGATATTATACCCTTCGGGGAACACAGACTCCGGCAAAGAATTCCATTCCTTAACGGTCCTGATTATAAAACTGGAGGTAAACCACTTCGTGCATGTGGTTGGAATATCTTTTTATTATTTTCCAAAAACAAACCTATTTACTTTTTAATTTGACAGGTAAATAGACTGCAATAAAGAAACGAATGTCGACGATTTCACTGGGTCACAGTCATGAATCATCGGTGTTAATGTGTACCAAGTGTCTCCCACAAAAATATATTATTTGTAAAATGTTAAATAGACACTCTACCGACCTACTTACACCTGGCACGAAGCATAGATAAATATTTTGTACGACGACTTCTTTTCATACATCCTCGTCAAATATAAACACAACAACTGAAGCTATGATATGCAACTTTTTGTGACGAAGCTGTTCTTAGCGTTATATTTTAGGTTCAATTTGAAATGTTTTGTATTTACTTAGTGCCACAACCAATGGTCAGGGGACACTGAGAGTTAAGTAGGAACAACTAAACGAAAAATATAATTAAACTATCGATACGCTCCTGATGTGCACGTGTACAACTTTCTATTAAAAAAACGCATTTCAAAGTGCCTAGTTTTAAAGATTTAAGCACACATTATAGGGATCAGAGAACTGTAACAGTAACTTTATATTTACACTACTAAACACTATATTTTTAACCACACGTATAATCAACCCTTCAAAAAGACTGCAAAAGAACTGTAATGATAAAATTCCAGTTATAAAGGAAAAGCTTGGGTAGCGGCCAGTACCTGACATAGCGACCTATACTCAAATAGACGACAACAATTATCTATAAATACACGGTCGCTAAGCATCTATCTACGTTTTGCTGCACGTAATTATACTTTCTTATGCAATATTTGTAATTAACGACGCGAATATACGACATATGACTCAAGGTATTAATCACTAGAAGTTCGTATCTCGAAGCGTTTCAAATCATCCTAGATTCTGAAGTAGATACGAAGAAAAATTGGTTTAGAAAAGTCATAAAATCTTAGTTCGAAATGTGGAAAAGTTTTGGGCCATGGTACGTTGACCCGAGTCACCGAAATATGACAACAACAGTTACTTGTTGTGTATTGAATAATGTTTATAGAGTAAGGTGCGGGAATATTTACTCAGTGACACAAATATTGGAAAGCATTGGTACATTTCCTTCAGAGTTTTGACGAGATTAATGTCACATTAAATATCGGAAAACCAAAGACTATCCTATCTTCGAGTTTAAACGTTCAACGAATGTTAAGAAGCCGATTTAAAATCTGTGAATTTCCATTACAGACCTCAGATATAACTGCTATGCGGGTATCTACGAAAAAAATATAGGTACAAAAAAGGTAAATTTAGTTTGCCTTTACCTCAAAGCATTTTATTACCGATTACATGTCATTATCAATTTCACTATAAAACATCTTCCCAAACTAACATTGAAAACTTTTAAATTCACCATCATCAAGAAACGTAAAACCTAAAACAAAACAATGACTAATAAAAATTCATTACGATACTTTTGCGAAGCGTGGTTCGACGATTAGCCAAGTCCGCCATAATATGGTCGTTTATCGTACAGGCCAAGTGATCGCCGTCGCTTTCACACGAGGCGGGATGTTAGCATCCGAGCTTGCCACGCCGGCACACTTAATGCGAACCCTAAATCGTAATCAGTGCTATCAGAAAACTATTTGGATTATTTAACGCTTATTTTTAACATTTTGTATGAACATTAAAATGATGAGTACGTCACTTACGCCACGACACACGTTTCACTCGTTTAGTTGGTGGTCCGTGAATAGCAGGTGGTCCGGCGTGAACCTTCGGTGGCAGCTGAGCGGGAATCTTCCTCATTGCACTCTGGTACTTCAGTAGGAATGCATGCACAGCGCACTTGGCCGGAGAACCTATCTTCTCAGGGATAGTTGTGGCGATTGCGGCGGCGGCTAAGGTCTGGCTCGAGGCCTTTCGCGCTCGTCTCTTAGCAGCACGGCTGCCGGCCCGGCTACCGGCTCGACGTCCCCTACGACGGCTTTTCTTCGAAACCTCAACCACCGGTGGCTGCGTCTCTTTACTAACCATATCGCTCAACACGCGTGTGTGACGCGACACGACAAAATGGCGTCGTTAAAATAATTAACCTAACTAAAACTTATTCTAACAATAAAATTAATGTAATCAACGATTGTAAAAATAAAATTAACATATAAAACACTAAACATAAACCTAAACGCACTAAAACTATGGATTTGTCAAAGAAACGGTTGCGCGAAACGCGGGGTCATCTACGTATAACCGACGTAATATTATTTCTTACTGATGGAGAATATGCCTATATTCTCCTACCGACAAGAAGGATAACACGAATAGCAAGGACATCAGACGAGAGAAAAAGCGGGAATAACTATATTTTTCCGGTAGCTATAGTGAACGACACGGAGCGCAAGAACACGTCTCAAAGACTAACAAGAAACAGTAGCAGCCGAGCAGCCTAAATTAAACTACCCTCAATGTTTAACTTTTGCGCCACTATCTTTTCGCGTGATGCAAGTGTACCCTTCATCGTGTTGCTAAAATGAGTTCTAGAACTTTTGTTTAAGAACCATGACGACCGATGAACAAAGATATTAAACCTATGTTAATAACAACATTCAAAAAGTTTCGAATGTTTGTTATAAGTAATACCTACACGTTCTGCACTAGATTTGTTTAACTATAAAGAAATTAAATGGAATTCAATACATTCACTTTTGTGTTTGTATAAATATTAGGTTCAAGCGTCAAAATATCCTGCAGAGCGTCTGCAATGCGGTTTTGCACACAGATGTACGTTTACGGAAACAATAAGGTTTGTGAATACGGCAATAGTCAAAGATTTTACTGCGGGGAAAATATCGTCACGATCACGATTATAGAGATACAGTTCGATTGCCAAGAACAATCTTCAAATCTAAGATAGAAATTGACATAAACTATTTTTATTAGGTTGAAGAAAACCTCTTTCCAAATACATTGTGTAAGTAGTACGTACTTCCAAAATTGTCACTAAAACAACATTAAATGACGTATGTAAAAGTTCATTTTCTAGCATTTTGAATATCATTGTACCCATTGTTCTGTGAGCTTTTATACAATAGAATAATTGTATAAGAGTGGGTAGCTACTGCAAATGCGGTACGTAAATATTATTTTATATGCGTATTCATATTAATAATATTGATAAAGTTATCAGCGAAAGCGTGAAGATAAGCAACTGATTTCGATATTACATGTTTTTGTAGATGCACATTTATTTAAGACCAACAACGCTAAAATTAAAAGTCATACCTACTGCCCCTTTTTGACCTGTTCACATGCAATTTTAAGCACGGTTGGATTCCTGTTTCGATGAGGAAATCTTATATATTTTTCATAATGTTATACCATTGGAGACAAGAATGAAAAACCGAAATGATTATAATCGAATCAGAAATATCGATAACAATGTTTTAATATTTTTTTTCGTACATATTTTGCGTTCTTAGGCACCTTAAATATGTTTTAAGAGAACAAGTTTCTTTAGGCCCTTCCAAGCTTTAAAACGCTGTCAACCGTTGCATATTTAAATCGCGTCGTGCACAATCGGGGCGAATGGTCCAAATCCGAATGGCCTTGATCCTCCCTGCGATATTAGCCCCTGCACGCAAGATGGTAAGGGCTGGCGGAGGGATCGCGTTACGCAATCACTTTTATACGAACTATGGAATATACACAAAACTTTTACGAATAATTCCATAGCGATTCAAAGTATTACTCTAAAGGGTAACCGATTGAGTTAGGAATAAATTAAGATTTATGATAAAATTTTAAATAAAACACTATATTTACACAATTTTTATGCGGAACAATGGCTGAATATATTGATTAGCTATTAAGTTTTAATGTGCTGTGATGGAACAGAAAACTTATTAGTATTCCCGATAATGTTTTTGCAAGTTTTATATCATCGGTACGCACTTATCCGTTGAAAACTGGAATCACGTATACCCGTGATCGAGGTTGTTAAAATGTATCCGAGTTAACGTTATGGGCCAAACTTTGCCAATAAATAAATAAATAGGAAATTCTAATTTGCATATCGACTAGGAAGCATTATAAGAAAATGATACGAGAAACGAAAATAGGTGCCAATTCTGCCGAAAATTAGTGGTTTATTATGCCTAAAATGTGCATTCTTGGCAGTCGGGATGGAATTAGTAGTTTAAAAATTTCAGGTTTATCAGGGTGCAGTGTTCTCCGCGCTCGAGATCCCACTACCCAAGCCCAGTCAAATGTGTCATGTAGTCCCTTAGTAGTATCTAATAATAATGACAAATCTATTATATTATATGCTATCTGCACATCTAAAAACATGGATGACTTTTTTAACTGGTAATAAACCTGTCTATTTCCTAGCGATATGATGTCTAGAGTATGTATAATTAATCAGTACACAGGACTATGATAACGGCACTTCGCCTCAGAGGTTTTTTTCGTATCGGCTAGAACTAACCTGTTTTTTTGCTAGTCCCGTTAGCCGTCAATAAAATTTGCTTACGTGTAGGTATTTAGAAACGGTCCAATTAGTTGCAATTGAGCAAAATAATCTGTATAGCCTCTAAATACAAATTCATATAAATGATGATTTATTTCTAGCTGTAGGTAAGGTACTTACAATTTAAGTACTTGGTTTCTGTAATTATGAACTGCGTAAATCGAAACGTGTGTATGTTCAGCAGACTAAAAAAAATCGGGTTAAAAATTAAACTGATGATATCTTGTTTCACTTTTTGGGCCTGTTTGTTAGTCTACGAGACTGACGGTCAATTTCACGTACTTTCCGTACGAAATGAAATATGAATTGAATAAAACTTACTGAAAAATGGGTAAAACAGGCTCAAGTAGGAGAACTAAGCATTCGAATGCAACAAAACAGTAAATCAATAATGATTCATTGTTAAAAAAAAAACACGATAGCAAATAGCATCGTCGAATTCGCGAGCAAAATACCTTTCGGTTAGACGGAAAAAATTCAATGCCAATATGAAAAGAAGGGGACGGTGTTTTTTTTTCATTGGCGTATGCGGTATGAGCCGCGCTTCGTTGGCTGTTGTCACATTGTTTATGTGCGAAATGCAACAAAACGAGTTTGCAGGGTAAGATAATCACATTGTGTCAACGGACTAATAACTCCTTCACCTTACTGTAATAACAAAGCTATAAATAATTCGCAATAACATGGGCAGTCCAACTTGTAAAGGGCGTGTTTACTTTAAGTATGCACAAATAATTGGTAACAACGTTTAGTTCTTCAGGGCATTTCTGTTGTCAATTTATTATCTATAGGGCCTATATAGTACTCTAGTACAATACAAGTGTAAAATTTCTTCATGAATCTAAAGTTAAAAGTCAGAAAACATTTATTTCAACCAAACCATGTTCATGTACTTTTGAATCTGTGCCTGTTCTAAAATGAAGAACACCTACTGTTACTGTTAAAAAAAATAACATCTAGAACAATTTTTTTTAAAAAATCTTTAATAGTAAGTTCATGTGAGTGTCTGAGTGTATTGATACAATAATTTTTATTATTCATTGTGGAAGGTAGATTTGAAAAAAATGTTTGAAATAAATAAATTAGTATTTTCAGGGCATATTTCGTGTTTTATGTTTTTGCTTTTAACTGACACATACTTATTTTGACATCAGTATTTCATATTGATAGAATGTAATTGTTTTTCATTCAGTTAAAAATAAAACCAAATAAATAAAGGCTTTTCTATGAACTTACATTGTTGTACTTATTGTTAAACACCCTTATCTCTAACTACTTAGAATTAATTATTTATTGCAATAGAGAATAGTAACACTTGTTGTTCAACATAGGTAGCAACTAGGCATTTTTATAACAGCAAAAACTTTCTGGGAGTTCTAAACTGGGTACTTATTTTCATTCATTTCGCAAGTAAAACTTATTGGACATTGCAAATTAATATTATTTAAATTATTTCCTCCTATGTTGCTAGTTATTGCATTCACATTACGGATTTAGTATTAACTTGATAATGTATGAACATTCATGGCATACATATTTTTATTACAAAGCCAGAGCCAAACAGTAAATACCACCAATTATTTTACAACTATGTTTACTTGCATTTAGTAATTTTGTTTATTATACTCATATACTAAAATTGCTGATTATTTATCTGAATTTAGATGTAACTTTGGTCATTTATCAAGCAGTAATTACAAAGTTATTACATATATTTTAACACTTAAGTATTTAATTTTAATAATAAATAAATTGTTTTTAATAAATAAAATATCGACAGTATGGTGTAAATAACCACAGCAGTTCACTGCACTCATTCATTTTTATAGCTATGCTCTTGAAATTTGCATACAAAGCCAGATACTGCAAGAAAATTATGGCAGACTTTCAACTTGTATACTTCAAAATTCAGAATAAATTCTGGTTTGTTAATCACTTATTTGTTCCAAGCAGCAAATATATAACAAGGGAAGGACGAACAAAATAACATAAGGCTATTGACAAGTTGTCTAATATAATATGAGATGCATTGGCTGCAGTTAAGGTTAGGTTGGCCGAGCCCATAACACATTCTGTCATTATAGTCTTTCTTCTTAAACTCTACTGGATTTTGCACCGAGAAGAAGTAAGCTAGGTAATTTCTATAATTTCAATTACAGAAAATTCATACCAATTTATATTAAGTATTATTTTTTTCCTACACTTCTAACTTTATTTAGTTTTACGTCAATTACTTAAGTAATTTATCATTAGTATTATTCAAAGTTTTGCAAAATAACAAACCAGACAGAGACCTTTCTGTCTAACTAGATTCTTATTCTACAAAGTTACAAATTAGACAAGGCCAGAGTAAAAGAAATTAATCAACCTCAATAAACAATGTAGCATTGTAAATAAACAGATTTTTAATCACATTCCCTCATAATAACATCATTAAATCAATCAAAACGAACACAAATTACATGGTTTAAAAAAATATGATATCTATGATAAGATAACATGATAAATATGAAAAATAATTACCGGGAAGTAGGTACAGCTTTTGTACATACCCATACATAATATTATGAGCAAATAAGTTGGATGCAACATTGCAAAACACAAGTGCAAGCCTTCTTCTTAATGAAATTATCATAGACAACCTAATAAGATATACTTAGAAGATGCAACTCCTTTGACATTACAGCCGGATATGAACCTCATTGGTTTTGATTTTATTGTGTAGGTCAAAATTAAGTTTAGGGTTCAATAATACTAGACCTGCTCAACAGACTAATTCACCTGTGACCTACTTAAAACCTGAAAGATTTGTTTACAGCATGCAGTGAATACAGAGATGTGACAGCTGCATAAGGTGGAACTAACCCCAATTAATAACTAAACCCACAAAGTGTCAACAATATCCTACAAAAACCTGAAGAAATCAGGGTCAATGTTTTGTAAACTGCAGAAAGAGATCTTGTTGACGTAAGTTGACGCACCAATTAAGGTGTCGGAAAAAAGTATATTTTAAGGATTGTGTCGAGCACTTACCGTCAGGGTTGGAGCCATCATCCGGGTTTTCATCGGTCGGTTTCTCCCTCAAAGAAGACAATAGGTTCACAGCTGACATAGCTCGCAAATCCTCCACTTAATTTCTCAGTCTTCTTGCAATATATTACTTTTTCTAAAATTCTATAACAACTTTACAATATATACAAAATTGTTCAGGAAATTAATCTATCACCTATGTATTGTTTATATCACAGACTTTTCGTTTTTCAACAATACGGATCAAAACGTCCACGCACGAAAATACTATCAATATTTATAAGACTCTAGATATAATAGACTTATTTACACATTAAAAACTAACGTTTATCATCTAATTTTTAACAAATACGCTCTAGCGGTCACAAGATACTCATAACTAAAAGATTTTATCAGTTTTCGATGCAAAAATATATAAAACGTCCGCCATATGCCTTTTGAAACGTATATAACACGACCATGTTCAATTTGCACAACTGCAATGCGTTATTGAGTGAAATTTGGAATCCGTAAATTGTTCGTATAATATCCAGTTGCCATTGTTTAGTTTTTTTTTTGTAAAACGGCGTTCTTTGTGGTATGCATAATAATCATGCAGGTGCTGAAATTATGTCAATTTAACTCATTTGTGATTATCTAAATAGAATTCATATTCGAAAGTTGTTATATAACATAAATCATGTGTTAGAATTTGCTGTTATTGTTTTGAAAGTTTAATTTTGTAGTTGGCAATTTTGGGTGCTTTTCAGAAGAAAATAGTAGAAATAATGGATAAGTTCTCTCACGAATTTCCTATAACGTTAATTTTTATTAGGGTAGGTAGCATGATCCATTTTTAACATATAAAACATATTTAATTTTGAATGGAAGTAAAATTCTTTAATTTGCTTTTATTTCTGAACGGCGTGTTTGGTTTTGAAACGTTTAGGACTTAAAATAATGTATTTATTGATTTAAAGAGTTGATTTCCAAGAAACTGACTATTTTATATTAAATGAAACAAATTAAATTCAAAGACGTATACTAAGTTTGAGTGAAGCTCAGTCTAAACAATAGCTTTTATATATAATTTTTAAAACAACAATTCTCTTAATTTTTTGAAGACTCCACAGCTACCTGGTTTCTGAACGATACTTGTCATGGTGCGACTTCGAATCGGCATGCATTGGTTCGAAGTTTTGATAATTTTCTAATTTTTGTTAAAATGTCTCTAAAGTGGACTGGAGGTCAAAGTGAGTCCGGTATATTAAGAAAGAGTGAGTTCAAGGAGAAGAAAGAAGACCTTTTCGTGTTCGGCTACTCGTGCAAATTGTTCAGGGACGATGATAAAGCCCTTCACATTGACCAAGGCAAACACCTCATTCCGTGGATGGGGGATGAAACGTTGAAAATCGACAGGTTCGACCAGTTTTTTACTATAAGACTGCTAACTGTGGCGCTATAAACCTACAAAAGATAGTTATTTATCAGAAAAAATTAAATTTTCGGAAGATCTTTAAGTATTTCGCAGAGGATGTTTGTTCGAAGTCCGATGTGTGTGAAGATCGAGCGTCAGGCGCCTCAGGTGCTCGTGGCGTCGCGTAATGTTATGGTGACAGCCGCCGGTGGTATGTATAACCTACAACGGTACACTTGAGTATGTATACCTACTATGTTAAAGAGACAGGTGTTGATTCTGTATGATGATTGTTCCCAGTCACTTGTTAAGCAAAATATTCCTGTAGGTCCAATATATGCTAGATTTATATGCAGTGAAGGGAATTTTAGGGTTTTTCACTTTATGTTAGGATATCATTTTCTCATCATATGTATTATATTCAAATGTGATGTCACTTTGTTTTGATATGGCTTATTACTAACATGATTTAGGATTTTCCTTAATATTACAGAACTTGCATAGCGTGTTTGTTTAAGCTTATAAATACAAAAATATACCAAAGTGTGTGTATTTAAGATAAGCTAATTAGTCTCGAAATCTTTAATTCTGCTGACATATTGTTATGAAGAAAATACATTCATTTCAGAGTTAAGTTAAGAATATTTTGTGTACTGAAAAATGGTTTCGCAACCAACAGTTTTGGCTTATAGTGTACCGTTTCTAACATGCTATTAATATGGGATAATATCTGAACAGGTATGATGCACGGGGAGCCCTGCACGACCTGACCAGGCTTGAAGCCCCGCCGGGAGGTTACGACTGGCGAGTGGAACTTACTAGGGCAGAGCTGGATGTGGAACAACTGTGTGATGAGGAGAGATATCGGGCACTGCACACTGACGAAGATGAAGAGGAAATGTATAAAGGTATTGTACCTAACATCACTACTACTACTACTCGCAATTTTGTTAACCGAAATTATGACATTTAAACCATAAAGTTTTATTTAAAAAGTCTACCGATATAGATAAATTATAGTTTCTGTATTTGTTAGCTTCAAATTCAACTCTATTCTAACACTTTAAGGTTGTTATTAAAGAAATAATTCACTTTACCTTGAATGAATCTAATGCATTCTACTCTATGTTTATTGACTCTTTCATAGGTCAACAGATTGTTTCTAAGTTGTTGAATGTGTTTTAATTTTTTATATGTTCTTTGAACTATGTCACCAAATAAAATTTGTAAATTTATGCCTTAAATAAATAAATTGAAGGTCTATTATCCAATGCAAGATAGACTTGATTTCCATTCAATTAGTTTGTAATCTAACAAGAAGAAGACCAAGAAGGTTGAATTTCATCTCATAAATGTTAGTGGTAGTTCTGATTGTCAGCTGATGATAGGAAAAGAAGTGCAGATAGATACTATTCAGTGTGATCAAATGTAGTTCTTTATAGTTTTAAGATTTGTTTTATAGTAAACATATAACATTTTAACCCACATACCATTTGAATAAAATAAAACTTTTAATAAAATACAGGTGAAATACCTAATGGTAACTGATCAGCTTTGATCATAAACACCATATGAATCTCAAAGCCTTTTAAAATGGAGTACTCATTCTGTTTTGCAGATTTGTCTGTACGCTAATTTATTAAAAACTCTTATTCTTTCAGAGGAAGAGCTAAAGCGCCTGCATGCAGCTGGTTACGGCCAGGTGGGGTTCAATTATGATGCCCCTGCGGAACCAGAGCCTCCGCCACAACCTGCAGAAGTGGATGAGGAACCATTCATCCCCACACCTGCATTCAGGGCCCTACTGCCTATTGACACAGTGTTTGTGAGTTTATAATTTATTTTGTTTTCTGGTTAATTATACCTGTTTTTCCTTTAGTAAGATAGGTTGTATGGCGTGTATTCATTTTGCCTTTATCTTGATAAAGAATACAAAAAAATATTATAGGAATAGAGAAAACTAAAGATTCCTCTCATAAAAAGTAATGCTTTTTTAATTCCTATTTTAAACCTTTCTTTAATTCTATTTTACTAGATAGACATTAGACCCACACTAAGAGAGATCAGCTTATTCTTGAGAGCCATGTTCTAACACAGTAACGTAAGGGCATTTGTTGAATAAATTTATTTTTAAAGATTATAATATATGTTTTTTATAAGCTAAGGAGTGATGCCAGAGCCTCAAAAAAACATGATTTTTCTTATGTTTCAGAGATTGCTTATGACTTCATTTCTTGCTATAAAAATTAAGTAATCTGATTAACTATAGCATTTTAATTGACATGAATAACATAACTTTAATTTCTAATGATGAATGAAAACAAGTTTCCTATAAACAATTTACTTTTTTTCTTTCAGCCTGAGACCTTAAAACAGAATGCTATAATAGAGAAAACGGCGAAGTTCATAGCATCTCAAGGCGCTCAAATGGAGATTCTCATCAAGGCGAAACAGGGCGACAATCCACAGTTCAATTTCCTGAACCGAGACTCGAGTCTGCATCCATACTATACAGCGCTTATTGGACTTGTCAAGGCTGAGAAGTGGCCAGAAAAGAAAGTTGAAGTTGTCGAAGGTAACTTTAACATTATTATGTTGGTAGAACGCAATCTAAATCTAAACATTCCACCGTGTGCTCCTCTGATTGGTTGGTCAAGTTGGAGCAAGTTTGCCTCCAATTCCATAAAAAAAAGTCAATCAAAGTGCTGAATTCATAAATGTTTTCATTGCTGTAACTCGTAGTAAGCTCGCAATAGGCACTCTTTTGCTAGTGGCTTACATGATTGACTAGCTAATCTCGCGCGGTTGCTGTTTGGATCCATTTCATCGGAGTGTGATATTTAATAGCCTATAGCGCTCAGGGATATTGTAGCTATCTATCAGTGAAAGTATTTTGGAAACTGACCAGCGGTTCCAAAGATTACGCCCTACATACAAACTTACAAATTATACCTCTTTATAATATTAGTATAGACTAGTTACGCCCGTCCGGTTTCTTCCTTCGTTCGGCTCCTATTGGGTGTCGTATTCTGTAGCGTGCCTTGAGAAATGGACTTCAAACACAAAAAGCATTATTGAATTCGAACCAGTAGTTTCTTAGATTAGTGCATTCAAACAATCTCTTGAATTTAATAAATTGAAATTAAATATAATATTAGTATTATTTTTTTTTTTTTTATAGACAAACCTCCTGAAAATGAAGAGTATCTGCACCCGAGCTTGGCGTCAACTGTGATTGAATCTGTAAGTACATTCTAAATTTTATATTTCAAATCATATTAAATAACAAATGTTTACATTTATCACTAGATATACAACATATGATTTTTGAAATGATACAAGATATTAATACTTACTGCATTTAAACTATTCAACAAAACGGGAGAAAAAGTGTTGAGAAAATAAATTCAATTATATGCCATGACATTTTCTTCATGTATAGCGTCTAAACAATTTTGAGTAGTACATATAACTTCGGAAATACATACATTGGTACAGTTCAGGTTTCAGTCAGGTTAGGAAGCGGACGCCTTAAATAATAATGAACTTGCACGGTTCTCTCACATTATGTTATTTCATATTGTCTGGACTTGAAAAGAGACTGACCTCTGAGTTTGTTTCGGAATTTCTTCTCAGAGTAGTCAGATAGGAAATGCCGGCTTCATCTAGTTTTTCACATATAATTTGACGTGTAAAAGTGCCGTTTTATGGCCTATTTGCAAAAATAAATTCATTGTTTCATTGTTTCATAAACTCTGCCAGCACATTGACATTTGTTCATTTGCATTGCATGAAAATACAAAGTGCAATTCATATCTACTTTTCACAAACTATCTTCAATGTTCTCAGGCACCAGCAATCCCGAGCATCCACTACAAGCCATCAGCTGACTGTGACTACACCATGCTGATCAGCAAGATGCGAGGAGAAGATGAAATGGATGTTGACGGCGAGCCCCGTGGTGACGTGCCTCCTCCGGGAACTGAACCGCCGCGACACCGGACGCCGGGCGCTGAAATATATAGGGCACCTGTCATGTACACCAAAGGACCCGATGGTAATCATGGTGAGTGGAATTAATGAACGATAATTATTTAATGAAATATATGAGTTATACTCACTGGCTGGGAGAGCCAACTTCGCACGATTGGGTCAGTTCAACCATGCACACTAATATGGCATCATTACTTAACAACAGTAACATAATAAAGTGAGTAAGGTTAGAGATCCAAAACTAATCCCAGAAGGTAGGCAACATACTTATAACTCCTCTGTTGTTACGGGTGTCAATGGGCGGCAATGATTGCTTACCATCAGGTAATTTGTATGCTTGTTTGCCGTCAAATAAAAAACACCTGGTCTTAGCAAACATAATATAAAAAGAATTATTGGAATCAGTCAAGCCGTTCACGCGTGATGCCCATGATCAAGCCAAATTGTAATTCAATGCCTGTAGATTTTACAATTAAATATGTGTAAGGTCATATTTGTCCAATCCACTTAGGTTTCATAAGGTGACCATTGACTTGACCTCGGCATTCTGCTTCCCGCAATTAATTCACCGTGAGAAGTGGAATTACCAATTTGGTAGTTCCTCTCGTCAAATATAAAAGAAATCCCTTGATTTATTTCGTTGCGCGATGCAAGACAGTTGCTTTCGTCCCGGGTCACGATTATTGAACTGTAGATCCTTGCTCGCAAGACTTACAGCTTTATACAGTGTTACTCAAATGAATATAAACCTGTTTTGTTTGTGTTGAAACAGTGCCTAAATATTCTTATTTCCTCCACAGTGGATCCAACAGCCCCAATGCCGTCACAATACCAGCAGTACGCAGCCTACTACCAGCAGTATCAAGCACAGGAACAACAGAAGCAAGTGAAGAAGCCCCCTCCACCTCCCTCGCTCAAGTCCACCGGTCTCAGCTTGATGAAGAACTATAATACAGATTCGGATAGCGATGTGTCAGGTAAGGATATCGATACCGTTACGGATACAGATATGAATTTTTTTCGGATTATCCGTTAGTGTCGGATAATTTCGGTTACAGTTATTTAAATTTAAAGGAATTTCAAATATACAATACAGACATAACGTGTTTCAATTAGGCTCCATCTCTATCTCTATGATTCGGTTATGGTTAAGGATACTTTTTATATCGGATATCCGATAGTTTCGGTAACGGTTACGGAGCTCCCTGACATCCTTGGTGTCAGGTGTTGGAGTTTTTTATTCTTTGCTAAGAGAGGTTACGAAATAAACATAGCAAAAAATATAAATTCATTAAGCCGTGGGTCTGTGGGTCGACGACGAGCAGCCCGATAAGTACCAGAGCCGAGCGTACGACATGCGTCCTTAAGAGGCAGTAGTAGTAGTAGTATGTTAAGCTAGAGTTGCGTATACAATCGCATTTATGTACCACGGTCTTGGTCTGGTGCTGGAGGAAGAACGGGGTGGGTTTTTGGTATCCATTTAACATTTTTTTATTTAATTTCTTCTAGATTTCGACGACAGTTCATCAACGGACAGCAGAGACAAAGTACCAATCGTCACACCGCCGGATGACGTGCAAATTGTTATTGACAAGATGGCTTCCTACGTCGCGCGTAATGGCGACGAATTCGCAGACATAGTTCGCGCGAAGAACGACCCTCGATTCACTTTCCTGGACCCTGAGAATGTATACCATGCGTACTATAAACGGCTGATGCAGCAAAAGAGAGGAATCGATGTCAACGGGAAAGAGAAAAAGAAAAGGACTGCTGGTTAGTTGCAACTTTTTTAACTATTCTTTTTTATATTGTAAGGGCAGCAATGAGCTGACGGATTTTCTGATGGTAAGTAATTCCCGTAGATGGACAATCGCAACACCAGAGGATTAAGAGCGTGGTTGGATTTTTTAGGGTTTGGAAACTATACTGTTTCACGCCGGTTTTGTGTGAGGCCGTGGTATTACGGTCGAGCCGACCCATTCGTGACGAAGCATGGCTCTGACACTTTACCCTAGCATTATGTTATTATATCTACTATAAAGAAAGACACTTGTCCAATATTATAAACTAAGTATACAGTATAAGTAAACAATCATTGGACATTACATTTTTGAGAATTAATGTGATTGGATAAATATAGCCTCACTCCATATTAGCACAATTTGTTGAGCAGAAAATCTGTTACCACTATTATACTAACTTTGACTACAAAGATCATTCTTAATTTATCTACCTGATGGTTTATTTTGGTAATTAGATGTAGGTACTACTAGAAAGGGTGTGAGTTAACATATTTTTTCTAGTATTAAAAACTATTGATAGATACTTAAGCCAATACAGATATGAGTACTGTAACAAATCGCTTTGATGATGTAAATAAATTAACAAAAAATCCAATAAAATATGCCATTACAATTTTTTTTCCAGCACCAGTATCATTCTCCATTAAGAAATTGAAGGAACCAGATCCAATCTTACCAAAACCTGCGTTACCTTACGAATCCAGTTCGGACGATGATTCAGAGAAGCCAGCTGAAAAACAACCAGCTCAGGAGGAATTCAAGGAACCACCTAAAGTATACCCACCAACGGTACCAGCAAACAACATCCCACCGGTAGTCATGTATAAAATAGATCCCCAGTACAATGAATTACCTCTAATGAGACCTTACGTAGAACCAGCGAAACCGTTAAAACCACCTCCTAACCCGCCGATGTTAGAATACAATGAAGTACCAAAACAAGAAGAGATTGTGGCCATGCCTGAAGCACCCCCACCCCCAACCTTTGAAGAAGTTAAAGAAATTCCAACCGTACCCATGAAAGAAGTGCCGACTGTCGAAAAAGTGGAGATAGTCATTGAAAAGGAGAAAGAAGTTCCTCATGTAGATGTTTCACAGAAAAAAGAGATTCCTCTTGTTAAAGATAGTTCTCAGAATAGAGACAGTCCGTATACAAGAGAAAGCCCTTTTCGCAAAGAAAGTCCACCAAAGAGAGACAGTCCTTACGCTAGAGAAAGCCCTTACAGAAGAGAAAGTTCAATCAAAAGAGAGAGTCCTTACAAAAGAGGAAGTCCTTTAGCTAGAGACAGTCCCTATTCTAGAGACAGTCCGCATAAGAGAGAAGGTTCCCATAAACGGGACAGTCCTCATGTCAGAGATAGAGACAGAGATAGCTCGCATAAAAGAGAGAAGAAGAAACATAAGGACCGTAGGAAGGAACATCGATCGAAGTCTGAAAGCAGGGAATCTAGAAGGAATGAAAGACGGAGTGCTGAGAGGGAAAGAAAAAGAGAAAAGGATAGAGTTAAAGAGAGTGAGAGTAAGAGAAGTAAATATAGTAAAGAGGAGTTGGAGAATGAGATCATATCATTGGTTGATAATTCTGATGACTTGATTGACTTGACGGGAGATCAGTCCGATTCTAAAGGTGAGTTAAATTTTTATCAGTAGTTCATTTTAAATCGTTGCTTCACTCTTGACTTTACTCCTGTGTCGTGGGTGCGTTTACAAATACACAATTTCACAAACACATTAATACGCCCGAACCGGCGGTATCGCCAATCGTGCATTCAAAGCCATTGTTGATTAATAGCAAAAAATTATGTGTATGTAATTTGACTAGCATTAGCAGTTATCTTTAGTATTTCTGTTCAATAAAAATAATAATATTATTTTTATTGAACAGTCGTGGAATTTATAAAATGCTAACGATTTTATGCCATATAGAGTGTGCATTCCTGGCTACTTCTTCGGAGATCCAATATAAAGCTTAAAATTACGTTAAGCAAACCATACCAGATACCATAATATTGCTACGTTGGGACCCACGCGTGCATCCGTATCGCCGTTTTCGCATTTCACTACATAGTATAAAACAAAGTCGCTTTCTCTGTCCTGTTGTCTGTTTAAAATTACGCAACGTTTTTGATGCTGTTTTTTCAGTAGATAGAGAGATTGAAGAGGAACGTTTATATGTATAATAACATTCATTAAATAGTGGCGAAATGAGTCGGGATTGCACCCGTGTGAAGCTTAGGCAGGTCGCTGGTATCGTTATAAACGATCTTATGGGCAGTCGGATTTATTTTGTGAGTCATCTCGCCTAAATATTAATTCCTTATAATGTTGTACAGTGGAAGGTGAGACGGAAGCAGAGCGCGCGAAGCAGTTGGAGCGTCGGCGGCGCGCGGCCGAGTTCCTGAAGAAGGTCGGCGTCGACCCCGCCGCCGCCGCGCTGCCTACATCCTCACTCGCCAGCGCTATGGTAACTATAACACTTTATTTTATTATATTTTCCTGTTACTGTAAAAGTTTATAAAGATCCTTTCTTGATACGTAAATTGTGAATTTACCTATAATATATGTGGAACTGGTTACTCTCTCGCGGTTTTACTTGCTGCTCGGCTCCTTTTCAGCGCGATTTTTTTGTAGCTTATAGCACTCAGAAACATTGTTAGTAGCTATCTATCAGTGAAATAAGCTATCTATCGATTCCAAAGATGACCTCCTACATACAAAATAACAAATTACAAATTTTATCCCTTTTTAGTATAAATAACAATTACAGTTGTCCCGATTAATATGTTTTGCTACTTATTCTAATGGATTACTTATTATAAATGGTAATTGAATAAAAGGTTTCATACATCTATATGACACATTTATTTTCATTATCATACCAAAAATGTAATTTTAATTATTTTTATTACCTTGGAAATGATTGCATCTTCATCTCTCAATATTAAATAAAAACGATTATTATAATATTCATATAAATAAACTTAACTCCTAAACACCAACAGGTGGATACCTTGGAGTCTATTCGGAAGAAGAAAGCGGAAGAAGAAGAGAAGAGACGGAGGCGAGACAAGAGAAGACATCGTGACAGACGAGGTTAGATTTATACATATAATAAACTAGCTACTCTCGCTCGGTTTCACCCGCTGCTCAGCTCCTATAGATCGTAGCGTGATGTTGTATAGCCTGTAGCACTCAGGAATATTGTAGCTTTCTATCAATTAAAGAATTTTGGAAATCCGACCAGCGGTTCCAAAGATTACCCCCAGATATACAAACTTACAAACATACAAACTTACAAATTTTACCTCTTTATAATATTAGTATAGATTAACTTTTATCCCGCGCCTTTACTCGACTAAATTAGCCTACTTACGTGTATTTTAATCATAAAAGGATTATTTGAGGATAAAGTGAAAGGATGTAACAGAGTTATTTTAATATTTTAAGTTATTAGTTATTGTTTCAGACATTTTTGTTACCACACAGTAATGTTTATTCAAATTTTTATGATTTAGGTTATTCCATGTAAGTAAATTTATCAATTGTATTGTTCGTAGTAGTTTTATTCAATTGGGTAGTTTCCAGGTCAAAAATAAATTATTTCGACATTTCAATACAATTAAATATTTAAGAATAACTATACTTTCATTAATTGATCGATCGATACACAAAATTTAGATATTTTTTTTAGCAAATTTTTAGGAAATAAGTAGACTATTTGACCTAAAAATACTATGACGTCATAACCCAGTATTTCATAGAAAAGTATAGTTTTTGACATTTGAATAAAAGTATTGAATTTGACTTCTTGGAATCTACCGTATTATATTCTTCTAAGGTCTCATGGTCAGAAAATAACTGATTTATTATTTTCAGATTACGAAGACGAGTCTGAGCGGTCACACAGGAAGAGCAAACGCCGAAAGTATAAGTAAGTATATTATATACATATTTAAACAAGCGGTCGTCCGCGTGGATGTTTATTTTACACTTTCTCAAGATTTTTTTAATTTTCTCTAAGTACAATCTTTTTTGGAGTTCCAAGAATAATTTAAGACCAAAATTAGCCAAATCACATAACATTACAACAAAAAATGGCATTGATTTTTATATATTTGTTAATTATTAAGTTAAAATTTAAATAATAATCATAGTAACAGAATATTTTGCTTCTTGAAAAAACATTGCAACATACTAGATGTGTTTATGTGTTAAATAAAATACATGGTAAATACATAATTTTAAATACGCGTCACACTCAAAAGAAGTCAGCATTATCATCATCATCAGCTCTTAAGTGCCCACTGCTGAGTAAAGGCCTCTTCTCACACGGAGAAAGTTGGAGCATTAATCACCACGCTTGCTTAAAGCGAATTAGCGATTTCAAACTTGTAAAAAAGAAGAAAAAACGGATAAATATTTCTTTCTTTTACAGGTCGTCAGATGACAACGATGAGTCTGACTATGATGGGTGAGTCCTTAATAATGTTCTTTTTAAACGAAGATCCATTTTAAAATGTGTTTAATTAAAGCATTTATATTAATAATCGTTTTTGCCGTTTACTGTATACCTGGGATAAAAAGTATTTTAAGTTTTGCCCATACTATTCAGTAGTATTCGCTTTGAAGACAATCATACATATAAATCCTCAAACATGTATTATTATATTACTAGAGTCGCTCCCAAGCTTCGCACAGGTGCGACGCCGATACTAAAAAAAATCTCCTTTAAAAAAATCCGCATCAAAATCCGTGTACTGGGTAGTTTTCAATAATTAAGCATACATAGGGATATAGGGACGGAGAATGCGACTTTGTTTTATACTAGTGATTAGTATTATTAGTAGGTATTGATTACTCAAAAAAGTCTAATTCCAAAACGAATTAACCTATAAAATATCCTAATCTTCCGCAGTTCAAAAAAGAAGAAACGAAAGAAGGACAGAAAGCACAGTTCTAAAGGTAAGCGCAAGCGCAGGCGGGACGACACAGAAGAAATAGAACAGCCAATCACAGTCAACATAGACTTGACAAGCACTCTCAAAGAACTTCGCACTTCTTCTCCAACCAAAGAACTTGTACTACAAGACTTAGAAGAAACACAGAACTTTGTAAGACCAGATTCTTCAGACGATGAACTAGATAAAGAAAGAAGGAGAAAGAAAGAAAGGCAGTACAGCGAAGGAGAGTGGTCGAGTGACTCCGAAGGAGATTCCAAATCAAGTGCTAGTAAGATTGATGATTGAAGGGATCAGAGGGTCTACCATGACATGTTATATTGTGAACTTTTTGGGCGAGAAAGAGGGATGGCGCTATAAAAGGTGTATAGCACCATCCCTCTTTCTCGCCCGGAAGCTTCTCGCTTTAACACTTCATAATAGGCCTACAGTAACGAATTATGTATTACGATTCCCGTTAGACATATGAAATTAATGAGTTTTTACGGCTTATTTGTGTTACTTAAGCACAACGTCTTTCGAACAATTTTGCTCATAATCTTAAGCCCTTGGCGTGACTTGAAACTGGTCGAGTTATCTCGTCAAAGAGAGACATGAGTGAGTCGTACAATATAATTTCTTACCTTCATTTAAATCAAGTCTGTTTTACAATAACAAAGGAAACTATAGTTCAACAAATTTCAATGTTGTAAGTTCTCCTAATAAAATTGTATGGTAGTACAGGTAAATCGTGTTTTAAAAAGTAATTTTATGTTCTTGTGTATAAAGATGAATTTAAATACCACTAGTTAGGTTTTAATTGAAATTATGTACCTATATTGTGTTCTTTTTCCAATATTAATTAAAATGGGGGCTACCGATTTTTTCTTCCCTTATCATCTCGTCTATTAGAACAATAAAGGATAGGGTAGTTTCTGTAAAAATAAAGTAAATATATAAAAATTGAATTTGTCTAGTTAGAAACTACCGAATTGTGATTGTGTTGTATCACATTCTATTGGACTTGACTATCTGACCTCATTATAAATTACTGCCATCTGTCGAGCAAAAATAAAGGTTTAGGCAACGTTTTTAAAAGTAGAATTATTGTTTTCCATCTTTTTCCTTGATCCCTTTGTGGTCGTGAGTTTCTATGGAAAACTTAATGTTAGCATGAATTGCAATAAATAAAATAAATAAATCCGTAGTTGGAAATTATAACAAAATATACACTATATCTACGATTAAATATACAATTTTATAACATTTATTTTTAATATTACATAGATAATGTTAAAATAAATATATTAAAGTAATATCATTCATTCTTCACTCTTTCATTCTCCATTCGTTCGTTCGTTCATAGTATAAACAGCCTTTATCCAAACAGGTCTAACAATAATTTCATAAATGGTACTTGAAGTAATATTAGAATAATAATAATAATTATCTATGTGTATCAAAATTCAAAAAGTTAGTAGAGTTCTTAAACGTATGTTTGACTCCTAAAGATACTTTAAACATTCGGATCAAAATATTATAATATGTATACTATTCTTCTCGTATTCTGAGTGTTAGAGAAATATAGTATTTATAACTAAAAACTAGCGAAAACGTGGAATTTTGTAACTGCAATAATGAAACTAAAGTGTATTGTAATAAATTATATTTACATGGCATTACACTATGTTTTAAATGTCATTTTTAACTTTTTAACTAGTAATCGTTAATATTATTGAATTGTGTGTGAACCTCACCTTTCTATCCAGAAAGGGAAAAAAAATATGAACAAAAAAGATATTAAATTGTTTAATTATAGAATCGAGGTTTTACATTGTTTGTGTTATTCCCTTGAATACTAGTCAAAAACCTACATAAATATTTTGTCTTACATCACTAACATTTATCAGAAACCTAATATATGACGGGCCACCTTTCTGATGTGTAATATTCGTTTATTTGTCGACAACACCCCTATACAGACTGTAACGCTCAAATGGTGCTTCTATATTCAATACTCCTTCTTAAAAGGCTGGCCGCGCGTGGACTCCTATGGTGCCACAGGAGTGTATGGGTGACGCCAAACACTTCTCCCTCAATAACTTTTATTCAACCAATAATGTTATCAAAATATGTATACCATTGTGCTCTTAATCTGTGTTAATTTAATTTGTAATTGAATGAAATAAAATTTGTAAATGTAAACCTTATATCAAGTGAATAGATTGTCTTATTGCATTCTTAATACACAATACATACAAATATAATTCTTAATATGTACCAATATCGAAAATTTTTGTCGGTCAAATGTATACATATTTTTGCTATTGTCATGTCTTTAGTCCTATTACAATTATGACCGTAAACTACACTAGCGCCAACTGATTAATACAAAAACTTACGTCCTACAACGTTCTTTATTTATAGCTTTTGAAGAAAGAACTCACATCAATACTAACTATTATTAATAAACTGTTTAGAAAACATTTAGAGTTCTCACTTGATAGATGATTTTTCAACATACAAAACCCCAAGCGGATAAGCTGCTTAGTGGGTGACTTGCAATCTTGTTAATACGTCAATACAAAGGATTTCTGTACTTAGATAAAATGTTTCAAATATTAACACACATTGACACTATCGTTTCCGCGTCGTTGGTCAATTCGAATTACAATTTTTAGTTACATACCCCCCCTGTTTGATGTTCTGGTAATATTTTTCTAGCATTTTCTGGCTCTTCTACTCATAGAATTACTTTATAGGTATTTGGAAATGTAGATAGTATAAAGTCAGAACTAATAGCAATTTCTTCTTGTTGCTTTTTATTCTATTATTAAATTTTAATTCAAGTCCAATTTTAGTTCCAGCCATTCACCCACATAGTGCAATAATTCATGTGTAGATAAAATATGTTTATTATATATTGTAACTTTTTCCATTATTATTCCAATCGTTACTGTGTTCTATAACTACGTATGTTGTCGGAATGTTTTAGTAATTAAGATTATTATTTATTAATTTAGGTACTTTTAAAGACATGCTCCGGATGTAAGCTTTGTGCAACGTTATGTACAATAGCAATATGATTTTTAGGTAAATAAATAAATAAATATAGTTTCCTATCCATGGTTGTTTTATTTATACTAAATCACCTCTACAGTCGGGACTGGCTTCCTATCAACACTATTCCTTTAGCACAGGCATTTTTAAGCTATTGGTCGGCTAACGAGCAAACGGATTACCATTGATACTCGTAATCGTCGTCGAGCCGACCCATTCGTGCCGTAGCTTGGCTCTCCCACACTTATCTCAATGAAGTTATACGATTTTTCTCAGGGTGTTAACCCTGAGTGCGATGGCGAAAAATCTTATTGTATCAAGAAAAGCGTACGTCTTGGTGGGTCGAACGTGTGAGATAAGGTAGGCACTCCGTTGTGTATTAAGAGGTTTCCTATAAGGTTTTGTTGCAATGACCATCAAATATAATCCCTGGGAAAACCACTGTCAAAAATCACTAGATATCTGCGCCGTAAATTACCTTCAGAAGTTCCATACAAACACCTACGCATTCTGCCAATAATCTTGTTGTTTATGCAATTCATAGTGAACCATATTCTTATTGAGATAAAGTTCAATTTGTATAATAAAAACACGACCATTTGCAATGACGATGTCTGTTTCCGATAAAATGAAAAACTGTCAATCAAGAATGTCCATAACTCACCTTGGTCTATTATTATTGCACTATGAACCTTATGTTCAAATGTCGGAGGTTTATATTCGTTTGAATGACTATCGGATAAGATGAAAGGGCTCGATAATTTCGTCTCTCCCATATTAGCGTGTCAATCAAAAAGAAACTTGCTGATAAATCGCTGTTTATTATACCTACTTGAGATTTTATCTATGATCGCAATAAACAAAAAATAAATATTAGGCCTGTTTCGCCACTGGGATACTTAAACTATTATTGAACTTAAAAATATACATATATTGAATCGATTTTCTTAATACATATTTGTCAATTTGTATTAACTCGAGTGTCGTAGACGGGAACGGGACGTCGTAGGGTGGCCGACCGGCGGCTACCGTAGGTCGCGGCCTGCGGACGAAATACCTACTCGGGTATCTTGTCGTCCGACGAGCAGCAGGCCTCGGGACGAAGGTGCCGTGGTGGAGTCCTGCGGTTGGTGTGACGTCCGCAGTGGGTGACGAGGCCCGTCCGACAATCTGGTGGGCCAATACCCGTCGGGGGGATGCGACGAATGCTTTGGCGATGCCCGCTCCTCCGATATATGGGTAAATAGAGAAACACCGGGATGATTTTTAGTCAGTACCTAAGAGTCTGACAGTACCCTTCGCCCTTCCCTGAGGGGGGTAGGTCTCCATGAGGATTTACCAACCCGATACAAAAAAGGGGGGACGGGACTTACTAAATTTTGAAGACATGGTTATAGATATACAAAAATGCTATATTATAGGTATATTTCTCTCCACGAAAGAAGAAAGAAGACTTATCGAACATTCTACGAATTCAAAATTTTACTCGTGACTTTTGTTTTAGTGTTTGAGCGTGACACCAACACAACCATCCCCAAAAGGCAACGCACTCGTAACTCCTTTGGTGTTGCGGGCGTCCATGGGCGGCGCCGATTGCTTACCATCAGGTAATCCGTCTGCTCGTTTGCCGACTTATACCATAAAAAAAAATTCCGATGGATTGGGTGGTATGATTGCTGTTAGGCTGTTAGTGTCCTAAATAGGGCGATCGAGAGTGGCCGACCGTCCTGAGTGCCTGTGTCCTGATGAATCGCCCCGCCTGATCGCTGCTTAAGAGTTTCACACTCCCTATCGCCTCACCCAGGGTCAAAGAAGTCATTTAATTATTTTCTTTCTTCAAAAATAAGGTACCTATAGGTATCCATCAGTTAATGATGATACGAAAGGACCGAAATTCCTTTACGGGCTCCCGTGTAATAAAAAAAGTTTGGTAGTTATTTACAATACCTAATGCTAAGCATACGTAAAGTGGCGCATGCCTACAATTAATTTGGCTTAATAAACTACAAAATAGACATACGACCAACTCTGTTTGTTAATACACTGTTTAGATTAATATAAAATGAATTTATCTCAGTCGCTTCACGTTTATGGCACGATCATTATGTTTATAGTAATTTACACATCACATGTTTTTATACCAAGTAGGCATTTGATAATAAATTTATTATTGAGGAGAAAATTATTTTGCCAAGAGCTAGCTCACAGAGCTAGATCACCGGTGACCTACAGTAGCGGAGGATTTGTCTTCAATAGGGTGTTTCGAAGCCTTATTATTTTTTTCTTCTTCTTCTTCTATCTATTTTAGAAAAATATTGGACACTAACAGATTTTTAGTACCCACTATTTAGCGGCGGGACGCGCCGGACTAGACAGTGTTCCGGTGTTTTCATGGTTGTATCTACTGTAAATCCTGGCTTGCAGGAGTTGCAGCGAAGGAGGTTGCAGCGGGCTTGCCCCAAAAAAGGTCCAAGTATTAGGATAGGAATAAAATTTAAGAACTCCAACTTCCCTTCTACCATGAACCCAACATAAGGTATAACAACTATAAGGTACGGGTGAACCTACTTATTTAGATACGTGAGTGTTACCTAACTAAACGCCGAGGGCCTTATCATCTTTTAATGGATGCTTCTGGTTTAGCAAAGAACGGTGCTGCGGTCCTAGCTGAATCCACGGGAAAGTTGTAAGTAGTACTACCTAAAATTAGTAGTACCCTGTAGTTACCTACTTTACAATTCTCTGGAGGATTATTATAAAAGAACACTTCTGGTCATGTCAGTGCGAGCCGGCGCACTGCTACACCGAAAAAGATTTTTTGTTTGGTGTGACAACTTTTGTTGCAACGTTGCTAATTCGAACCATTAATATTTAATATCTTTTATATTATTATAACATCATTTTCATCTATCATTTGCGTCTTTTCATCTGATGTACCTAAGTGAGTTTTAGCCAGTACAGAAGAATGTTTACATGATTTATTTTATAGAATATTCAATATTTTTTAGCTAACGGAACTACATAAGTAACACATGATATATCTAGTACTTAGCATTCGTTGATACGCATACACCAAAAGGTCGTAATCATAATTCTATCAGCAATGACAAAAACAAGTACAGTCAGGTGTTACAACTTGTAGTCTATTAAAGAATTACTATCTTAATATCCATAAGCCCTGTTTATCTGATAGTACCACCTACTCAAGATGGTCTTAAGCCACTATAAAACGCCTATGCAGATCTACACGAGTTTCAAACCCTTGCATATCAAGCAAGAGTTAACGTGTAAAGAAATAAGAAAATGGCTTCCGAGGTAATTCATTTTGATATTGCTTTTGTTTTTCTAATCAGACACGGAGAAGCTGAGAAAGGTAGACTTTTATTTTCTAGGAGTTTTCTAGGAGTCTAGGAGAAAGTAAGAAAACGTGTAAAAGGAAATATGTGACAGTTTTTAGATTTTTTTCTGAGAGATGAAAAGTGTGATTAGGAAAATAGATGTATTCTTCCAGGAGTACAGCACATGCCTGATAGATTATTAGTCCAGACTCCGTTCAGCGAAGAATGTCAGTGTGTAGTGCAGATGTGCCATTTTTTTTATACCTAAATGTACGAAGATTCCCAATCCAACTTTTCTCGTACCTAAAAATATGAAGTTACCTGATCTGTTCTGTCAATAGAGAATCGAGATTCGCTTTTTACCATCACACTGCATGAGGATGCACGGACCCCTTGTCCGTGTATCCATTTCCTCATTAGTGTGGATCGTGGCTTTGCATTAAAAGTTGTGGAAAGATTTTCTTCCGAATAGTTGCTCTCCACTTGTTCCTAACTTTGGTCTCATTAAAATCACCTTGTAGGCTAGTTTCCAACTACAACCCGGTTGTTCGAATCTGATCCGTTCATGTGGTTGGGCTGCGTCCTTTTGGTCTTTCACTGTTAAAGTAACCATAAGTTGCTCCAGATTGTGTCCTTCTTTTCTAGCGATGTGATTGACGAACTCAACCATTCTCCGCAAGCAGAATGAGACAGTACAAACAGGTCACATACGCACCTTTTTACTTTAACAAAAGAAGTTAATTAGTATCTTTTAAATCTACAGCAAAAGGGAGATGTCTCCATGATCGATCCATCGCAGTTATTGCGTCCAGAGCCGGTGTTCAATGACAAGCCAATAGAAGCGTTCCGTGACTACACCGTGGATGACAACGATCCAATCAGGGAGCGCGTGCGCAGGACCTACTATGACATGCACACTAATGTTACCGTCGAACTTGTTAAACGTGAGTACCGGCCTAAAATAGCAACTGAAAAACGGGGTGAATAGATACACGAAAGGGGTGAATAGATGTTGGCGAATTTTCTTAGTATCTATTCACCCCTCTTTTGCGTTTATTTACCACTCGAATTCTATTCACCCCGTTTTACCGTTAGGTACTAATATTATTGAAATGTCGTAAGAGTTCATAACATCACTTCACTTCATTAGCCCAATTCAATTGGTAATTTCATAGTGGCCCAGAGGTTAAGATAACCGCTTGTTTTTTCAACTTTTCCCGAGTTATATGTAAGTACTTTTAAAAGTTTATTTGTTTAGATACCACTGGCAAAATGACAAAGGAAAACAATGAAATGAAATCCGGACTTATTATTTCTAATAACTTTTTGGAATCGCCAAACCGCCTTCAGCAGCGTATTGAGCACTTAAAGTTATTATCATGACCACTTATAGTATGATGATCATCCTATAAGTGGTCATGCTAAGCTAAGGCCTATTCTCACACAGAGAAGGTTTGAACATTAATCACCACGCTTACTCAATAACTTGAGTTGAAACTTATTATCAAAATTATAAGTCCAGGTTTCCTCCCAATGTTTTTTACCTTTACCATTTATCAGTTGTGTTTAAATAGTGAAATACGTGTATATTTAACTAAGTAGTTTACCTAGAAAAAGAGGTTTCGATAAACAACCACATGGCACTATTAGGTAACAAGCAGTCCAAACTATTAGTCTTGAATAAAATTATTTGGTACATATTGTAATGTTTCGGAATTAATTCGAATCCAAGGTAAAAAACAATTTATAGCTTGGTAACGAAGTTTCGCTACGTATAATCTCAGAATACAGCTGTATTCTGAGCGTATAATATAGAAATAGCCCATTTTTAAAACGGTAGAACGCGAGTACCCATATGTATTAGCGAATCTAATATTTCTATAAAATAATTCTCCTACAACAGAGAAGAGAGAGAAATGGTTAAAATTCAACACGTTCAAGAGTACCATCAAGGATGCTCTGATCAAGTTGAATGAGCTGGTGGATGAATCAGACCCCGACACCAGTCTTCCGAACATAGTGCACGCCTTCCAGACTGCTGAGAGGATCCGGATAGACCATCCTGATGATGACTGGTTCCATCTTACTGGACTCATCCATGATTTGGGAAAGGTAAGGAACCATGGAACTATGGTTTAGCTTATTCAGCTTAGGTTTTGGGTAGCAATATTACTTGTAAAGTATATTTTACTTGGTTTCGTTAGGACTTATGTAAGAAAATACGCGAAATGAAAAATAAACTTTTTTGTGGGAAAAATAATCATATTTCAGACTTTTCTCGCCTAGGGTCGGGCGGGAGTAGTCAGACTCTTACTGACTAAAATCCCCCCGTTCCTTCCCCTGCTATAGGCTGACGCCGGGGTGCCTCATTACGCTTGCCCCGCAACCAAGGCTGGATAACTACCAATTGTATTGAGATTTTAGTTAAAACAGTTTGCATTTGAACAGTTAGGTAATAAATTTTTGTTTTAATAAAAAACAATTTAAATTATTTAGAAAATATATTTAATTAAGCATTTGAACGCTCACAGTTTTGGATTATTTTTGATTAGATTCTGATATTCATTTGAATATAAAACTAATAAAGAAAACATGAAGAGTTTGGTTGCTGTAATCTACGGAACTACTTATTGGTTCGAATTGAACTTTTCTTTATGTGCTGGATAGTCCATTCATTGAGGAAGGCTTATAGGCTATAAAACATCACGCTACGAACAACAGGAGTCGAGCAGCGGGCAAAACCCGTGGAAATAGTTAGTAATACTATAAACTGGACTAATCTAAAGATAACCTTTTTTACGACTTTAACCTTTCATTAGCCGATTCATTGATACAGGCGACCTCTGCTGGAATTTTTTGCGACCCAGTCCACTGATAGCTGGAAAATTGATTGAAATTATAGAAATTAATGATTAAAACTTAGGAGTTGGTAGATACGGCATAGGAACGTCACTAATCCATGTTTATACAAATATTAACGTATGTTGTTTTTACCTTAAATAGCCGTTGTTATCAACGTATGTATACTTAAAATTGAACCCGGAGTAAACAACAACCAGAATGCGAAAATATAGCTCTTTTTTTTAAAAGAAAACATTGCCCTACAATAGGATTTTCTCCTGTGTCAAGGATTAGCTTACAAACATACAAATTCACATACACCCAGAACCGGAACAACAATTTGTGGATCACTCAGTGTGGAGTTGTTCCGTGCGAGAATCGAAACCGCGACACGTTGTGCGGCAGCCAGTTGCTCAGCCACCGCGCCAAATGCACAGTGCGGTTATTAGGTCTCTTACACCAACAGCTTCTGACACTAAAGAAATCCCAAAAAAAAACCACTTTTTTCTAGGTGATGGCTTTCTACGGTGAGCCTCAATGGTGTGTGGTTGGAGACACATTCCCCGTGGGCTGCAAGTGGGCCAAGTCTATTGTGTACGGACCTGAGAGCTTCAAGGACAACCCTGACACTTACAACCCCAAATACAAGTAAGTATAAGCTGATCATGTCCATTGGCAACTAGCCAAAACTATTGCTATCCGAAGCCAAGACTCGTAATGGAAATGGGTCTGACTTAGCGGTAAGTCTAAAAGAAATAGCGAATCTTAACACTTTCACTGTTGCCGTGACTGATATGTGATTCTTTGGAAATGGAAGTGGCTAATTTTGTTTCCACCGGTGCTAAGCAGCGGAATAAGTTAAGGTTCTCCTTAAAAGAAAATTAAGATGGCCCTTAAAGTACATGGATATTCTCGTTCTCGACCTCTTTCTTTCATGAGACTGTAGTAGACCATATCTTTTAGACGTTGAAGAATCTAATTTTTGAGATAGAATGGCAAACGAGCAGACCGTCTACCTGACGGTAAGCAATTGGCGCCATCGTGTACATCCGCAATACCAGAAGAGTTACGAGTGCTTTGCCAGCCCTTTGGGGATTGGTGTTTTGGAGATATAGGGATTAGGTGGGGAATAGGTGTGGGAAGGATGCTTCCAGTGACTTCACTCACACTGCGAAACACAACGCTGTGGATGTTTTACACTGGTTTTTTGTAAGGCGTGGTATCACTCCGTTCGAACCGACCCTTTCGTACCGAAGCGTTAGTGTCTCCCAGACTTGAACTGTTCAACGTATTAACACGCACATTCTAATCTCCAGCACTGAATACGGAATGTACGAGCCCCACTGCGGTCTGGACAACTTGCTGATATCCTGGAGCCACGACGAGTACATGTACCAGTTCCTCAAACACAACAAGAGCAAGATCCCTGAGAAGGGACTGTACATGATCAGGTATAACATGCACATTTCAGAGGGTTTACAGTTCAACCACCAGTTTATGTTGTCTTATACAATAAAATTAGGGTTGCCATCATCTATATGAGATTAACATTTTTGCAAAATACGGAGTTTTTACATATATTGTCCTGGTTAACAGATTTTAAAGATCTCCATTGATACAAATGCAGAATTCGTTCAATGTAATCATAATTTAAATACTTAACATTTTTTTGTAGAAGGTATATTTAACTGCACTCACTGAGCGTATATCACATATAAGCCCACATATAGCATATATAGGAGTTTGAGGAGCAATAAAAAAAAAGACTTTTACTTATTTTGTTGATGATATTGTTTTTGTTTTTAAACACGTTGCTCCACACTTGGTTTTTCTCACACCAAGCCTCGGAACAATAATTTGTGGATCACATAAAGAGTTGTTCCGGAATCGAAACCGCAACACGTTGGATGGCAGTCGGTTGCCCAGCGACCGCGCCAGCTGTGCAGTCATTTATAAAATCATTGAAAAAATTCATTAATGTTAGGTTATAAATAAGTATTTACCGGTAGGTACCACTCATTGTACCCATGGCATGCGGGCGGGGACTACCGCCATCTTACCAACGAGAAGGATGAACAGATCCTACAGTGGGTGCTGGAGTTCAAGTGAGTATCTTTTAATTCACACTCCATTATAGATACGATATTAAGTGCTTTCAATATCCGCTTTTGTGGTTATATCGTTTACTTACAATACCGTCAACGTATCTTGGCGAGTCTGAAGTTAGCCGATTAGCTGCGCAGTACACAATTTTGTGCCTAAAAGATCCATTGCGCAGACAAACGGTTAACTTCAGACTCGCCAAGATATGTCGGCCGTACTGTAAGTAGAAGTTTCAATTTTTTATGTCGCTATCTACAAAAGTCTTAAACGTCAACCTTTTTTGCCTTTTCGCATAGTATTTTTGTCACGATCGTAATTCGCCAATTGTCTTTGATTACCAGCAAATATGACCTGTATACCAAGAGCACTAAGGTCCCCGACATCGAAGCCCTCTGGCCCTACTACGAGAAACTGATCGACAAGTACATTCCTGGAGTCTGCGAGTGGTAGACTAGAAGACTATTATCAGCATTAGAGACAAAATAACACTGAACATAGACCCTGTATATCTCCATCTTACTCTAACACGAAATGTTGATGACATTATTATTCTAATGTTCTAAATTTTATTTTAAATTTCCGATAACCGTTTCGTTTTAAGACTTTAATGTGTATACATAATTATACACATCACAAATAACAGTTTTGTTTATTTATTTTCAAATTAGGTATTGACATTCTTTTTTCGAATTTTCAAAATCGACAGCTATGGATATTGTACAGTATTTTGCGTTGTGATGTCATGATTATTGGCTATATAAATACATTATATTTATAGTATATCGTAAAATCAATGTATTAAAATGAACTTACTTATTTATTAATATTTTATTGCACTGGACGTTGAAATAATTCATTTTGACTTAATCGAGTATCCAGTTGTCCATTATTTTGTTAAGTCATAGTCATATTCAAAATAAAAATTGTTATCGCCGAATGTTATGTAACCATGTAAATATTTTATATCTTTAATATGACTACAAAGTTATCTTCTTAGTACCTAATTAATAAAAAACTAATTATGTATGTGTACTTATGTGTTTTATTGTTACTCTATAATAAAACTAGTGACCAGCCTCGGCTTAGCACTGGTGCAACACTAATAAAAAGATTGAAAAGAAAGAAAGAAAAACCATTTATTTGACACACAAATGACGCAAGAAACAAATACACACAAACATAGCAATTTATGGATAAAACAAACAATGAACATAAAAAAAACGAAAAGCGCGGCAATTGATTGCGTCACTCATGCATGAAAAGGGGCAATAATACTCAATTTCTCCAATATTTAATGGAGGTTATAATACAAATAAATCTTCTTCAATTACTTTTACGGTGAAAAACCGCACCAAAATTCGTTGGGTAGTTTTAAAGATTCAAGCATACATATGGGAACAGTGAAAGCGGCTTTGTTTTAAACTACGTAGTGATAAAGATTTCTTTTTTCCAACTACCCTTCTCTGCGTCGCGGAGTTGGGCTTAAAAAGGTTGACGCAGAGAATAGGCAATATGGTGTTATGCAGTTTTGAGGTTGGATTCCCATATTAAATCTTTAATTGTATCATCCAATAAATATGCATAAAGAGTCTGAGGGTCTGTATTTGAGTATATAACCTTCAGCATTGGATCAAGCAAAAATGTTACGAAATTTTTAGAGGTCCGAGGCACCAAGTAAAACCTTTGTTTCTCCGTGTTCCTTGATGAGTTCAGGCACTATAATATATGGAGCCTGTAGAGCTCGGAGCAAAAGAAAAAAATAAGGCCTAAGTACAATATTTGCCCCAAAGAGCCAATAGACCACGAAAGACCGCAGGTGTTGCAGGTCAAGAGCAATACATATCTAACGTGGCCCCAACTTGGAGAGGAACGGGTCCAACGGGTTGGTTTTTAGTAGTCAGTAAGATTCCGACACTCCCTTTCGCCTGGGTGCAGGAAAGTCAAGATACCTGCATTATTATTGCACTTTTAATTGAGGAGGGAAAATTGTCATAACTGGCTCAGGGTATGGCGAGAAGGAGTGTCTATTTGCTCATTGAGGCAGGGCGGAAGAGGCAGTTGAATGATTCTCCCTATTCAATTTATTTATTTATTTAATAAAGGTACACCAACAGCTTCTGTATATAGCAAATTAAATAAAACAATGAAATATTAGGTTTTGGCCTTATACAGTCGCCAATTACAGGTAACCAGCATTCTTAAAAATAAAGTGATAACCTAGTAGAGTAAGAACGAAACTATCTATTACAATAACATAATTAGAATTATATAAAAAATATTATAACAATATTAGAATTGTAATATAATTAAACAATGAAATGGAACATGAAATTAGAAAATAAGTAGGTAGGTATACAGAAATGCAAGGAATGAGATCAGTAGGAAATACTTAATTCTACTTAAACTTACATTACATACTAACAGAAACATAACTGATTAAGTGGTGAGGTTCACTTATATTCAATAAAAGAACCTAAGTAGGTATTCTATTTTTATTTATATAACACTCACAATTGCCCATAATATGAGTGTCGTTCTATTTTTATACAAAATGATCGACTTCCTCGTTTATTTCTCTAACATGTAGATTAAGGTCAACTTGCGCAGGGGCGTCCTCACGTGATCGTAACAATTGCAGCGTCTCGTGATTCTGATTTGTTACGATCAATAAAAAAATGTCACTGTAACTAGAAATACAACGTATGCATGCATGCACATAACTCCGAAACAGCTGCACCTTTCATGATAGGTTCGTGTCAAACAGAATGTCTTCTGAGGATGTCCATTTGATCGTGATCAAAAGTGTGTTTATAAGTACTCTAATGACGAATTGGCGGTCAACTTTAGGCAATCGAAACAAAACGAGACCGCCATTACCATAGCGTTAATTAAATCCTTTACTCTTTTGTTCAGGGTAGAAAATTTTTCAATTCAATAAGGCAATTTATCCCATCCCGTCCTGGGTGAGGCAAGAGTGAGTGTCAGTCTCTTGCTGACTAAAAACCACCCTTATTCCTTCTCCTGCTCCGAGCCGCAGCCAAAGACCTTAGCTTCGCACCATTAACATTAAGATATTCCATATTATTACAATTTTAATATTCAGATGAGAAGTTGGCTTCAGCTTCTCATGCATGAAGGTACAAACGAGGGTGTGGAACCTTGCAAGTACCAATGTGACTTATTCTAAGTTACTTTGTAATTGTATTTAGACACCACTTTATATACCTATTATGGTGAAGGAAAACATCATAAGGAGACCTTTTTTTTTGTCATCAAAATCATCAAACGACTTCTCCCACCCAGGGTATATATATTTTTAAGTGTGGGAGAGCCATGCTTCGGCACGAATGTGTCGGCTCGACCTGAGTGATACCACTGCCTCACAGAAAACCGGCGTGAAACAATTACAGCGTTGTGTTTCGCCGTGTGAGTGAGGTGGAGGCCCAATCCTTCCCCTTCCCGGACCCTTCCCCAATCCCTAAATCTCCAAATCCCTAATCCCTAAATGGTCGGCAACGCACTCGTAACTCCTCCGTTGCGGGTGTCCATGGGCGGCGCTGATTGCTTACCATCAGGTAATCCGTCTGCTCGTTTGCCGACTTATTACATAAAAAAAAGGCGAGAGATAGAGTGTTAGACTCTTACTGACTAAAAACCCCCGTTCCTTCTCTTGCTCTGGGCCTAGGCCGCGGTGACTCATTGCGTTTGACCCGCAACCTCGGCTGAACATCAGCCCTGTTGGGCCCCGTCTGTGGTGGTCTTTTGGCTCTTTGAGGCGCGCGCGGAACGCTATGCGCCGTACGCTCGGGTCTGGTTCTAGTCGGGCGGCGAGCTACCCTTACTCGCCGTCTGCAGACCCGCGCTTACGGTTTCCGGAGATCATCTCTCGATCGTAAGGAGAGAGACTTGAACTTATAATTTCTAATTATAAGATGGAAATCACCAATCCGCCTCGAGCAAGCGTGGTTATTAATGCTCAAACCTTCTCTGTGTAAGAAGTGGCCTTTGATCAGCAGTGGGCACTTATAGGCTGATTATGATAACTCAGATATAAGTACCAACTACCTATAATAATAATAGTAAAAGATAATCTATGGTCAAAATAGAACGCAAATTGTCAAATTGCGTCTTACAGTTTACACACAGACAGACACTTTACTGTCAATATCATAACAATAACTAAAGTGCAGGAAATTATTGTAAAGTTTTCGCTAACAAAACTGCTAAAAGCCTGCTTTTTCAACATCCATTGACGACTTTGTCTGACGTATTGAAGATTGGGAAGGAATGAAACCCGCAATGAATGTCGTGCGTTGCGATATTGTAGTCTAAGTTGTGGACACGTGTATGACACAAATACTAAGGTCTTGTTCTAAATCAATTGCCTTTTGTAGCCGACTTAGGAAAAGGAGGTTATGGTTTTGATAATAATGTGTAAAGTAAATCATGATTTCACTTCATTCAAAATCTGAAATTAATTACTTGAGTCAACGAAAAAAACAGAGAGTGTATTAAAAAAAATGCGGGTAGCACGCATATTTTGAGTTATTTTTTTCTAACTAAGTAAGAAGTTTGTCTTTTTGTTTGGGTTGGCCACTATTCTCTATTTTTTACTTAATCTAAATACGCACAGTTTTTATTAAATTAAATTTTCCTCAAAAAACCAAAAAGGTTTTCTATGTTTTTAATTCCGCCATTATTCTACAACACGCTACAAAAAAAAAACAATTTAAATACCGAACGAAAATTTCGGAGTTTGAAATCGCAGCACATTACTCTTCTACCTATTTTTACAGTTCCTAGAAAACTTAGTGGAAAAGGAATCTCACTCTAATGTTTCATTGGCTAGGTAATACCTAATTACTCGAAACGCAACAAATTTACCAAATGAAAACAAAGAAAAAACAAATCAAAAACAATCACCATCAATAAACAATTAACCACAGCGTCATGGCTGGATAAGTGATATTTTCGCGCGTTTTTTATCTAATTACGTTAAGAGTTTGATAACCTAATACGACCTGTTGACCCGTTCCGATATCAATCAACATTTAAATTGTTCAACTGATCGTTAAGCATTAGTGTTCATCTGTCTCCCGCCAAAACATGAAACCGAAACCAGTAAGTTCATTTTATAATTAATATTTATTCTATTTTTAAAATTTACGAAAATATAGTATCAAAATTTTTAGGTTAGGTGTCTAAATTATTGTGTCAAAATATAGTTCAAATATTGTTGTTGTTGTCTATGTGTATTTTTTTTTAAATAGCGAATTGTTAGTTCGTTATGTAGGTAGAGATTTGAAAATATCACATCGATCTTGTATGTTTCAATCACAGAAGAATACCAACAATAAAAAAGTTTTGTCATTTTAAAAATACGGATGTAGGTAACTGTAAATTTTTGACAATTTTATAAATTTTATACTTATCTTGTGTTAATATTTTCGCGAACCATTTCGGTATTAGATATTTATTCAGTCAAATTTCGTACCTTTATTTATAATGAAAAATATTATCTACCTTAGTATAGATAAAACCACCGTGGCAACAGTCGGATGTTTCATTCGTAAAATGATTTGGTTGATGCCTATGTTATATTACTAATTTAAAAACATAAATAAAGTCTACAGCAATTAAGTATCTCTAGTAGATACTTAGGTTACCAGGTATAGGTTGACGAAATCAATTAGTTCTATTAATTTAATTACAGGTCATTAGTGCCGTTCCAATAGATAAATAACTAAACCTTAAACCTTTTGTAGATAAATAATATAATTATTGCTACCGACCTCCAATGCGACCACTAAGGTTAAACATTAATAGGAAGTTATTTTCTTAATCTTACAACTCCACTTAAAAGACAATTTTATGTACTTAGGTATAAGTACTGAAACAATTCCAAATATAATTTTAAAACTTGTCTTTGAAATAATTTTGATGATGATAAATGAACGTCGACTTACATTATTTAGTCTGTCATGTTTTTAAAATAAAATTATTTTGTACCTACTTTTTGTTTGTTGAGTACAAAAAAACAATTATTGAGGTTTTTCTAGGTAGGTCGTAGGTTCACCTACTCGTGTGAAGTATACATACCTACCTACTATAAAGATACATTTTTTATATTGTTAGGTTAATATTAGTGTCCATATCTTAAAATTATTTGTTTTCTAAATGATACTTACATGAGTATAAAAGGTATTTCGTAGTTTTACAATTAATTAATTGGCAAATAGATAGATATTTATAACAAAATCTGGGTCACGGCAATATTAGCTAGGCAACCAATAAAATTAATTATGTAGCTACATAAAATAGCAATAAGTAGGTATTATGAAGATTTCGCTAAACTTGAAAAGCAACGTGTGGTATAAAATAAAAGGTCTATCGAACATAACTTCTAATGTTTCTTTGAAAATGACATGAAAGCTAAACATCCTAATAATATCCTACTATACTATCCCAATATTATAAATATTATAAATGAGATTGTTGTGAGAACGTGAGGATGTGTGTTTGTAATTCTTTCACGCAAAAACGCCTGGACCAATTTAGTTGAAATTTGGTGTATAGATACGCGATACCTGGGAATAATACATAGACTGTATTTTATCAACATAAGACGCGGGCAGAGCCGCGTTTGGAAACTACCTATGTTTATTTTTTCCTCCATCTGTAAGACTGTCTTTGAAAAAAACCATAAAAAACTAAAGACTTAAACAAAATGTTGGTCTGTCTTAACATAGGCTAAACGACCTACATCTAAATAGCAACATCGTTTGTATTCATATTAACAATTGACGTTACACAAAAAAGTAATAAAGAAAAAAAACAAAACGATCATCATAAAATAGCAAAAAAATACATTGCAAAAAATTGAGTCCATGTATAAACGGCTTAGGTTTACAACTCTGAAAGGAGGAGGGAAGCCAATCATTACACTGCATGCTCCCAAACAGAGCACATCTTACAACTTACTGTTAAAAACACCACGTGCGAAATATTGTCCATAAAAAGGTCCCAAATAAAATGAAGATTCTACTTGTCCAGGATTCTCCGGTCTCCATGATCGATCCCTCACTCCTGTTGAGGCCTGAGAAGGTCTACGACGGGAAACCAGTGGACGCGTTCAGGAATTACGACATTGATGAAAGTGATCCGATCAAAGAACGCGTCAGAAGGACTTATTATGAGATGCATACTAAACAAACCGTGGATTTTGTTAAGGGTAAGTTGCTAGTTTATATTAACATGTTTTATTACCTACTTGTTTTATTAATTATTATGTTTTCCGCTTATTTACGTAATAATTTGACGATATACTCGACTAGTTTCAAGCCATGCTAGAGGCCCATATTCATGAGCAGCATTCCGCGAGTAAGCCGAAAACATAATAATAAATTTAGAATGTCTCACGAAAGTTATAATAAAAATACTTGTTGTATGTTTGTTTTTAATGTTACAAGTGGAACTACGGAATAATTGCAAGTAGTCTTTGTATGTTTGCCTATTAAATTCAACTACTAATTTCATAGTTTAACACGAAGTTAAAATAAATTTTGTTTACGAATTATTATTATAATAAAAAAATTATATCGAATACAACATAATCGATATCTCTCATTTTTTAAACAGAGTAAAGTTACCGTTTTTTATCATCATCATCATTAGCGTATTAGCGCCCAGTGACCCAGTGCTTAATAGCCAGGCTTTTTTTCACACGGGGAAAGTATGAGCTTTATAAATTAAAGCTCTGTGGATTACCAGTTTACCACTTCTTTGATTTTTTTTAATTCAAGCCGGATTAGTGTTTTCAACGTACCTATAATTAGAATTATTATGTCCATTTTTCCTACCGATGTTTTTCTTTACCTTCAGTGTTGTCTTAATACACTTAGAGAGTGCATACAACTTAGGATAATTGCCAGGTTTTAACCCGCACGCTCGTGTATGAGGAGCGGGAGCCTTAACCACGGGGCTTCGACGACCGTGTTATTATTTTTATACATATTATTATAGGAATAAATAATCTAGCGGCATTTGTCCCGGATAATAGGATTCGTTCTTGTCTATAGCATAATGTTAGGTTTTACTCATTTTCTTTTCCTTCGAATTCAAAGTCAAATCATTTATATCAATTTCAAATAGACCATAGTAGGCACTTTTAAACGTAAAACAAAAAATAAATAAATATTAAATGGTTCAACTTTATGTGTATCTGCCAGTCTGTCCTCTTGTGAAGCTATTTGCTCGTTCCAAACTGTAGATTCCTATGGAGAATAACTCCATGGTTACTATTTTAATAAAACTATTTATTAACTACCTAGGTCGTATGGACGACTGGTTGAAATTCAACCACTTCAAGATGTCAGTGAAGGATGCCCTCATCAAGTTGAACGAGCTGGTGGACGAGTCAGACCCTGACACCGACCTCCCAAACATTGTGCACGCCTTCCAAACTGCTGAGAGGATCCGGGAGGAGCACCCTGACGAGGACTGGTTCCATCTTATTGGACTGATCCATGACCTTGGAAAGGTAGGGGTTAATTTTTCATCTCTTTTACTCGCTTTTATTAAGTTAACTGGGTTGGTTAATAGAAAAGTAGTGTTTTTGCTTTTAAATCGTTATTTAATGGCAGAATAGAAGAACAATAGGTACGCGAACGCCCGCGTTCGCTTGAGGTTTGAATAATAAAATTGCTCTTAAAACAGTTGTGGTTCCAGGAGTAATTGCGATAATGTACCGGCTTGAAGCTTGGAAGGAATGGGGTGGTTTTTTGTCACTAAGAGTGATACTACCTCTCGCCTCACAGATGGCGGGGGATTTAATGATAATTTTCCCTCTTTAAAACAAAAGTGCTTCAAACGCCGAAACATATCGTTACTCTTATTTTGAAACACAAAAAGTAATAGAACTTATCATATAATCGCATAATAATAAATAATGGCTGCTCGTTTGGCACGGTGGCTGGCCAAATGAAAAACTCTGCGTAATTCATAAATTGTTGTGCTGGGTCTGGATGTGGTGTCTATGTTTGTAAACGGACCCATGATGCAGGAGAAAATTCCAGCATTAGGGCATTTTTTTTAAAAAGCCATCAAATAATTTCGTCATTGTCCAGGTGATGGCATTCTACGGTGAGCCTCAATGGTGTGTGGTGGGAGACACATTCCCTGTGGGCTGCAAGTGGGGGAAATCTATCGTTTATGGAGACGACAGCTTCAAGGACAACCCTGATACCTACAATCCTAAGTACAAGTAAGTAAATGATTATCGTGATGATATTATGATAAGTAGTGCTATGTCATTGTTTTAGAAGATGTGCGTTTTTGTTCTAATAATTCAACATTCTATAATAATAGGTCTTTACCTATGAAATTGCCGTTCTGCAGTATTGGCCATTTCAAATCAAAATAGTTTTTGTTAGGCTAAAGCTAATTAATTTTGTTTTAAAAACATGGGATTCTTTTTCCAAAAGTAGTCATTTGTTTATTTTAGTGTTACATTTTCATCGCATTTTAAATCTAAAAAATCGTTTAAATTTTTTCATGCAAAACGGCAATTTCATAAGTAGACCTATTATTATTTTAGGTTTCGTTAGCCAGTATTTAAGACACAATAGAAATTACAATGTGTCTGGCTTATGCATACAGATACGACGGCATACCACGGGCAAAAATGTAAAGCTGAATATCAATACGTAGTTAAATCTCAGGAACTTCCTGGTGGTTCCAATTGAAAAATACAATTGAAATATTGGTTGTCCATTTTTTAACAATTTCTTTTTGTATGTTGTTAATCTATTTATCAAGAAAGACGATATACGATATGTTGAACCTACAATACGAACGATATACAGAGACGCTATTAATATAGAATTCCAAGTATAGAGACGGATGAAACCGGTGGCAAAAGTTAGTTACATTTATAACATAAGTATATTTTTTTTCAAGGAGTAACGATGGTGTTTCTTTCTTGTTCTTCTCCATTCGATTTTACACTTTGGAACGATCACCTTGCTTTACTGACGAACAGACTGACACACTATAATAATGGGTCTCACCGCCTGACCAGACTAGACCAGAGCGTACGATGCGTAGCGTTCCACGCGCGCCTCAAGAGCCAGTAGACTACTTCAGATGAGGCCCCTATAGGGCTGATGTTCAGACGAGGTTGCGGGGTAAGCGCAATGAGGCACCGCGGCCTTGATCTAAAGCAGGAGAAGGAACAGGGTGGGGAGGTAGGGAGGGGCAAGAGGGAGAGAGGAGGAAAGGGGGGGGGGGTTAGTGAGTAAAAGTCTGACACTCCCTCCCGCCCCACCGTGGGCGAAAGAAGTCACTTTATGATTTTCCTCTGACAAAAAAGACTAATAATATCACATTTTGTCGTTTCAAAAGTACTACTGTTTATAGTTTAGTTTTAAAAAATGATTTGAACTTTAAATATAATAGCTATAAATATTAATTTAGTAATGATATTGCAGCACTGAATGCGGTATGTACGAGCCAAACTGCGGTCTGGAGAACCTGATGATCTCGTGGGGACACGACGAGTACCTGTACCGGGTGCTGGTGCATAACAAGTCCAAGTTCCCCAAGGAAGGACTCTTCATGATCAGGTTAGTGACCTACCTCTTAGTAAGAAATTAACCATCAAACTCCCAAGCGAACGCCGACGTTTGCATAGCTATATCACGATTCAAAGGTTAAGTCGAAGTTGGATATGAAGAAAAGAAGAAGTTTTTGAGTGTGAGAGACCTATGCTTCGGCACGAAAGGGTCGGCTCGATCCGAGGGATACCTCATGATAGCCTCATTGAAAACCGGCGTAAGACAACAGCGTTGTGTTTCGCCGTGTGAATGAGGTTACCGGATGCCGAAGAGGGATCACTGTTGGTTACTTCAAATAAAAAACTTGAGTTGAATATAATGTGTATTTACTTTAGATTTTCTGTCCATCAGATACCATTCTCTGTACCCTTGGCACGCGGGCGGAGACTACAAACACCTCATGAAGGAGGGAGACGAGGAGATCATGAAGCATGTCCTGGAGTTCAAGTAAGAGAAATTCTGAATGCTCTTTTTGTAGATATAAACACTGCCCTACACTAGGATTTTCTCCTGTGTCGAGGGTGCGTTTACAAACATACAATTTCACATATAAGTCTGAGACTAGGTAAGTGTTTCGTGGTGGCCCGTAGGTTAAGGAGCCCGCTTCTCAGGCATGAGGGTTGGGTTCGCAACCTGGCAAGTACCAATGTGACTTTTTCCGAGTTATATGTACTTTCTATGATTATTTAGACACCACTGACATACGGTGAAGGTAAACATCGTGAGGAAACCTGGACTTGTAATTTCTAATTATAAGTTTGAAATCGCCAACTCGCATTGAGCAAGCGTGGTGATTAATGCTCTAACCTTCTCCGTATGTGAATAGGCCTTTGCTCAGCAGTGGGCACTTATAGGCTGATGATGAAGTGTTTCGGGAACCGAACGATCGACACGTAACACAGCAGCCTAACATTATTTTAAACTTTGGTTTCTAACATTATTTAGAAACTACTGACATACTGTGAAGGAAAACATCGTGAGAAAAATTGGACTTGTATTTGGCAATTATAAGTTTGAAATCGCAAATCCGCCTTGAGCAAGGGTGGTCATTAAGAGGAAACCTTCTCCATGTGAGAAGAGGCCTTTGCTCAGCAGTGAGCCCTTATAGGCTGATATGAATGTTCTTTGTAATCTGAAACCAAAAATTTTCCGGCCATTTTCGAAATTGTTTCAAACTAGCTTCCGCTAGCGGCTTTGCCCGCGTGGTATGTTGATAAAAAATAGACTATGTTCTATTCCGGAGTATACAGTACGGCTGACGTATCTTGGCGAGTCTGAAGTTAGCCGTTTGTCTGCGCAATGGATCTTTTAGGAACAAAATTGTGTACTGCGCAGCTAATCGGCTAACTTCAGACTCGCCAAGATACGTTGGCGGTATTGTATCCTATGCCTGTGCCAAATTTCGTACAGATCCGTCCAGCCGTTTTGGCGTGATTGAGTAACAAACATCCAAACATCGTAACTTTAGCATTTATAATATTTGTAAGACTTGTAAGATTATGAGTAATGTTTTTTATTTGTTCTTGCAGTAAATATGACTTGTACACCAAGAGTGCAGCTATCCCTGACATTGAAGCCCTATGGCCATACTACGAAAAACTGATTGAAAAGTACATCCCAGGTGTTTTGGAGTGGTAGACGAAAATATACTTTAAATCAACTGACACTAGGAGCAAAATTGAGTTTTATTTACTAAATACATATTGGTGAATTGTTGGTTTCTTTTCAAATGATCCAGATTAATAAAATGACAATAGTATACTAATCAAAATATATATTTAGTTACTTTATATGTATCTCAAACTGAATCAGTTATCGTGACTGATTCTAAGCACAGACTTAGGTACCTACTAAACTGTTTTTTCCTATATTTTGAATACAATTTTTTTCTTGAACTTTATACTGTTCCATCCTAAACACCCCACTGTGTATAAAAGTTTCTTTTTTCCCTAACTACGTGACTTAAACAGGAATAATTAACTACATCTTAGAAAAGAACCTCTAAAACTAGATCTAAGTTTTATTGTTAACTATATTTTAAGCTAGCCTAACCAAAGATAATATATACTTATAATATTAATTGTTATTGTAATTATAATATACGGCTTATTCACTGCTCAGGGCGCTCGATTACTGGTTATGGATATATATGGATTATGAGCCCCGTTCGTAGCTTGAAATTATTCGAGCAAATCTCTTGAAGACTTACGTGAGATTGTCGTATGTTCTAATTAATTTAATACATCTCATGATAGTTATTATTCTATAAAATTGTACATAAAAATTGTTATTAATAAAAATTGGCCAATTATTTGATAACGCTGTATGATATTGTAAATAATAAAATTGTTTTTATTTTAATCATTGTTTTATTAACCTTGATCTTTTAAGTTTCCAGTGGTTAGTTATCTAAAGTTTATTTTTTAGTTTATCTTAAAAAGGTCGTAAAGATAAAAAGCAGATTGCAAAACCATGTGCGTCACAGAAGTAAGTTTATGAAATTTTAGAGGAAAAAATAAATGAAATGGAATAAAAACCTTTGTTTAAGACTAAACGAAGACTACACATAAACATTTTTATGATAAAAAAAAGGTTTCAAATAAATCTTATAAATTTATTGTCTGTCACAGGTAAAATGTAGTTCTTACTTACAAGTTTATAACAATTGGCCCTTGAATGATTCTTCACATCATTTGAACAAAAATAATGATGTCACTATCCTCAACCCAAAATTAACGATTCTGCAGATAAACGTAAATAATGATTTTTTTTTATTTAATCGCACCACTGCGTATAAAAGCAATCGACTATAAATCTTAAAAGATATTGAGTATCTAATAATGATGGTTAACAACCCGGGAGGAAAATGATTGGTTAAATAAAAGTTCACGTTTTAGGAGAATCACCCACATACATTTTATTCCAATTGCTACTTCCATCAAGTGCCTTTGGGTGAGACAGTCCGTTCTGTAACAAATAGTTTCAGGATGCTTCTGCGAGTGTTACGCAGGCGCTGCAGAAAGGAAGCCGCTTTCTTACGCATAATGATGTCAAACTCATTGTAGATATGTACCTCCGCGAGCATCCCTGACGCATCTTCATCATCACCATCAGCCTGATTTCGTTCACTGCTGGACGTAGGCCTCCCCAATTGCACGGCACGCCACTGAGCTCGATGTTCAGCTCTTGTCATCCAACCACTGCTAGCCATCGTTAGTCAGCGGATATCGTCAGTCCACCTCGCTGGAGGGCGCCCTACACTACGTTTGCATAGATGTGGTCTCCAGTCTAGAGCTCGTCTACTTCAATAGTCATCGGTTCTTCTATAGATGGGACCTGCCCACTGCCACTTTCGACTTCACTCGTCAAGAGTGAGGAGAGAGTGGAGGAGAAGAAACGGGGATTCTTAGCCATAAGAGTCTGACACTCTCTCTCGCCCTGCTCTGGGCGGGAGAAGGCATTTGATGATTTTCATTCACACAAAAAAAGGGTTCCATTTCGTTAGTTGTGGGACACTGATGACCTTCGGTGGAGACGTATTAATATTAGAACGTTATAAACGCAGAAGGAGGCTGCAGAAAGGGAGATCATGATTCTCTTTCCTATCTGTAGCAGTCACAATGGCATTGGGAGCAAAAGCCTGAGTGAGTCCAGTGACGGTGGACCTGGGTACGTCTCTGTCATCCCATCAAACGGACCCGAGGCCTGTTTGAATGACAGGCTTGAGGCAAGGTGTCTACGCGTTACCTTAAGCGAGACATAGGGGACATCCACACGTCGCGTCGTTCCCCGTGCGTCTAGAGGAGGCGACACCAAGGTTTTTAACCAGTTAGAGTCTGATAGTTCCATTCGTCTCCACAGGCGATGAAAAACTATATTGAGCCCATATTTTTTTTTTTATGTAGGTAATAGGTCGGCAAACGAGCAGACGGATTACCTGATGGTAAGCAATCAGCGCCGCCCATGGACACTCGCAACGGCGGAGTTACGAGTGCGTTGCCGGATTTGGAGATTTAGGGATTGAGGAGGGATTGGGGAAGGGGAAGGATTGGGTCTCCGGTAACCTCACTCACACGGCGAAACACAACGCAGTGGTTATTTTACGCCGGTTTTCTGTGAGGCCGTGGTATCACTCCGGTCGAGCCGAGCCATTCGTGCCGAAGCAGGGCTCTCCCACACTGAATTGGATATGGATATGGATTTATGTTGGGGAAAATACCAGTGTTAATCTTGGTTCTGGATTCTGGTTGATTTGTAAACGCACCCCGGTACAGGTGAAAGTAAGGAAAAGTAAAGCAAGCATAAATGTTTAAGGTGTTCCTACGCCTCCATAGAGATCTATTAGATAAGAATAAAACACAAAAGTTATAATAAATCAGGAACTTTATTTAAAAGCTATATTTACAAAAATACAATTATCTCAAAATATGTAATAGGTAATTAAACTACTAAGCATCAACAACCGAGTCAGAAATGTAACAGCGACGTTACTTAAATTATATCTAAAGAACTGACCCATTTTATGTGGCACCAAGTGTATTGCAAAAATATTAATAACACAATTTTGACGAAGGAAAAGTCACTAAATTCGTCTTGAGAATAGTAAAACACATTATGCAATTCATTTGTCGAAAACTTCTAAGTACGAGAAAAGGATTTCTACACCCCGTGCCACGAAATACGGGCCAGCTTATTACAAAGTAGTTTAAAAACTAATATCAACTGTGTCTGATCATACACACACGGACGAAACAGCCTCAAATAAATATTTAATATGGGTATTATAATAATATACCTTAATACATCGTACGTATATTATATATAAAAAGAACTACAATGTGTGTATGACAACACTAGAATATTTAGATGTGGCAACACATGCACAAGTATATAAAACATTCATCCAAACAATAGTACAACCTCACAAAATCAAATGCTGAAAATAATTTACTTATAAAAAATATCTCGATTTATAATGATTACTGGATTTATTAAAGATTCCAAATTCCAAATGAGAACTGCAAGTTTTTTTGCTCGCTAGATGGCGCTCTATTTGACAGCTACAATGGACAGAGAGACCTCAATCTACATAAGAACTACCTACCATCTGGTGCTCAAGAACTTGGTAACCTATAGAAAAGTTCAATGAGTTCTTTCTACCCAATGTTTGGACTAGATATCATAGTAAATCCAGAAACAATTCAATCACAATATCATTCAAAAAACAAATCAGAAAAGCGGGTTAAACAAATCAAACAATAGTGATTGAGAATGCGTCCAACGCTTAACGTCCATTGGTTATTTTCCCGCGTCCGCAAAATTGTTACATTGTGGTATTACAATAATAAGTTACATAAATACACGATTAGTAAATATGGATATTGGTGATAATTATTTGATGGCGATCGTGTAGTAGTAGGAAGCCAGTTAAGAAACTTTTCTAAAAACAAGACGGAAATGCATTCAAATCTGACACCTGTCAAAGTTGACAATAAATTACGCAATTCAAACTTCATTCTATTTGTCGTGTCGTGACCAAGATCTTTTTAAAAAGGATGTTTTAAGATTTCAATACTTTTAATAATCTTCCTAGATTCAAGTAAAAACGGGACTCTTATTCATTAGCAGCTTACGCATTGCAGCGACGCCATAAAGAAAGAGTCCCGCTGTGACTTGAATCTAGCAGAGCTCTGCTCAGTTGATTCACGTAAGTATAATTTTCAATAATTTTTACTGAAGTTGCTATTGAAAAAACATTTTCCTATTTACCAATACGAAAAAAAACCATACATTTATTTAGAAATATCCATAAGGTGAGCTTCATGCAATATAGACTGCATTTTAATTCAATTCCAATATTAATGTTATTTAGTTCTACTAAAAGGCGAGATTATTTTACGAAGATTAAAGTTACATTGGTCGAAAGCCTAAACGTATAATGTTAGAATATAACAGTAACACATAAAATACCGTCAACGTATCTTGGCGAGTCTGAAGTTAGCCGATTAGCTGCGCAGTACACAATTTTGTTCCTAAAAGTTCCATTGCGCAGACAAACGGCTAACTTCAGATTCGCCAAGATACGTCGGCCGTACTGTATATTAGTAAAATGCCATTTTATATATGATTTTTCAGATTAAGGGCTAAATTTTCAATAGTCAGATAAATGTTATCTGAGGAATAAAACTGTTGCTGTCACTGTCTTATACAAACATTTTGACGCGACAGTATCATAATTATTCCTTAGGTAACTTTTATCTAAACATTGAAAAATCTGCCCTTATTGGAGCAGAAATACATTTAAGACAAAGATGCGATTTAATATTTTAAATATAATTGTCTACTTTTTAAATATGTGGCTTTTTGGTTAAAATAGTGGGCTTACTATAAAAGCCATAAATTATGCATTTAATAATTATTTTTATTTGAGTTTCGTTTCAAAAATACCAATTTTTATTTTAAACAGCATTTTATAATAATGAGACCAATTTATCTGTTTATTAAGATTATACAAAATCCATTTTCGCGACTATTTGAAATAGAAAAGGCATTTTTGGCTCCACTTTCTTAAGTCTTTCTTTAATACATCAAATTGCAAGGCCTATCTATGATACCGACAAAATACGACTGTAAATTTTTAAACCTTTTAGTAAATTTTTAACTTTATTACAAGAGTATACAGTTGAAAGTCTTTTAAAGAAATTTTAAGCTTAAAGACTTATGTTGCAATCGCTATAAAGGCTTCAGCCTTGGTATACCTACTTGAATATTAATTTTAGTCTATAAAGTATCAAAAAACTGGATTGTTATTGCTAAAGATTAGGGTATAAGTAAATACGGTATTCATCACAAACTACTATTTTTATGTATTTAAGCTTTGACAAAACTACGATATTTTCTGTTATTTTTAAAGATCAAACCATTGAATAAGTATAGGACATTAATATAAAATTGACCAAAACTTGGCAATTTTCCTTTTCCTAATATTGGGCAGAAAATGCCAGAAATTTTACCATGTAGATATTTAAGCTTACATTAACCGCTGTACTCAGAGTTATCTAATGGTAACTTAGCTAATTCTCTTTAACTGTTTTCGAAAAAAAATCGCCAATTAAGAATAGGTAGAGTAATCATTAATTGACTTTGAGTCGAACTAAAGACGGTTATACGGTTAAAGGCTTATTTTTCAACGGTTAGATAAAAGTTGTCTGGGGAATAATTATGATGCTGTCGCGTCAGAATGTTTGTATAAGACAGAGACAGAAACAATGTTATTCGACAAATAAAATGTATCTGTCTATTGAAAAGTCAGCTCTAAATAATGTAATTTAGCTATCTGCACGTATTCTCCACTAAGATGGTTCCATCCTAACATTATCGTATCAGTCTTTATAATGGAAAGACGGCTACAACCCGTAAGGCCAAAACAAGGCATTGTAGTACTTTTATCACACACTTTTTAGCTTATCGTAATGCCATACGATATTGAACTCTTTTACAACAGTTAAAATACTTTTATAAGGTACTCGTGTAATTATAAGGTTTACCTAAGTGTCAGTGTTGGTAACATATTAGGACTTCATTGCTCACAACCGCTCGTTTATTTTTATGAGCTCTGTGTATGGCTTGAAGCCAATCGAGTACCTTCGAAAAAGAACAACGCATTCTAATTATTTAACTATGTTCCACGATTGAATAATATTGAAAAAAACTCATGTTGTTTAATGGTTTCTTTCAATACACAATAGAATATCGACATTTGTTTGAATGCGAACGAAATAAGACCTTATGATTTGAAAATTAAAGTTCAATATCGCAGACAATCACATAAATGCTAGCTTTCTACTAAGGTTTAGTTGCTACCTTACTATCCCTTTTTCAATACAGTCCAAAAATATGAGTTTTCTTTAGGAATGTAATTACAACCTATATTTCGATAGAGTTATAGCCTGCACTACAGCCGGCTATTGAGTAGCCTATAAGGTCTATATACGTAGACTTTTCACTAAAGTTTTCTACAACAGCTACTTGCATTGTTCTAATTTTGTTCCAAGTTTTTTTAGCATAAAAAATATGTAACGCATTTTTTTTCTTTAATAGTTAAGGCTACTTTACAAAGGCGTTAATATTCGTTCGATCTTGGTAATTACATCTTCATTTTTTATTTAATTGCATTATAATTTTAAAGCGAGATACAAATATATATTTTCCTCTCTACAAGAAATATAGAATATATTTTGTTAAATGCGCAAACAGTAAGGCAGTTGCGCAAATTTTTGCGCAAGCTTTAGCGCTAAAAGGGCCGTCGTATAAATTGGAATAAGTTTTAATATCATAATACTACGACGTTGTAAATTGTTCTCTATGTAATTGTTATAAGGTTTACGTTTCAAAATGTTTGTAAATGCTGGTGACGTACGCCATAACTTGTTGCCAGTCCGGTCTCTCTTGTTGGATCATATCTTGAATGTTCTGTGAAAGAGAAAAAAAGATAAGTTTTATGAACATTATGATATATTTGTATACTACTATTCGTAAAAATCTTTTATTAGACAAATTTACAATGTCTGAATAGCCACTATCTTTAGTCAGAATTTTAATTCGATTCCTGGTTTGACATGAGCTACTGTCATTTTGTGAAATAATGATACCACATATAACGGTGTAGTGATGCACACAAAAATCGATAAACAATCAGTGAATCAGTTTCAGGAAGGCATTCAAAAAATTACGGCTACCGAATGGTCTAAATGCGTATCCCATGTTGTCAATGAAGAGGAAAAATTAGTAAGCTAGATGTGTTAATTGACAATAAATATCACAGACACAATTCATAATAAATGTTACAGAAAGTAACAGCGATAGCGATAGCGATGACGGCAACAATTTATAAAATGTCTGTTTTATTTGTCATGTTCCTTCATAATCACATTTTTTATTTATTTCACACACAATTATTATAAAAGAAAAGTCTCGGATCGTTAATTAATTGTCAAAAAGAAAAATTTAATTTCCTGATAAACTTAGTTAACGAGAGTAAATTTATAAACGAGAGGAATCGATTCAGAAATATTCGATTTTCATATCGAACAATTTCGCAACGTCACTATTTAGTACTTGTCATAAGCAACACTGAAATTGTCAAATCTGGGATACAATTAAAATTCCGAGTATAGTCGATAAATAGATTTACTTGTAGAATAGAATATAGGTAGGATAGTATCACATGGGTAAGTTTATCAGGTACTTATGTATATATGAAACAGATTATTTTCGAGGGGGTTATAATCATCAATTTACTTCTACGCGGAACATTGTCCGTACATATTGTATATACCAAGCCTATAGAAACGCAACAAAATAAACTGCGAAAAAGTTCCATTAACAAAAAAAACTGCGATTAGCGGCATCCTTTATGATAAAGCAAATATATATAAAAGAATAAAGGTACAAACCAGTGTGGTGGGTATCCCGACGGACTCTGCAGCAGCGAATGCTACGGAGAAGTTGGTCCTCTTGTCGTGTGGGGACAGTGTGGAGTAGCAGATACGACTGTCGCCCAGGTACGAGTGTAGTAACGCACACAGAGCCATACCGTCGTTCCACGAAGAACTGGAAGGTAAAACGAAATAGCTATTAATGTTTGCGTTGACTTAAAAAAGGTATTAAATACACAATAGAACCACCGAAAAATGCTTTGATCTCCTACTTCAAATGTTCGAACACCAAAAGTAGTAAATTACCACCAAATCTGAACGAGGTAACTAATGCGTAAGATTATAAATGTTATCTACGCTCAAGCGGGAAAATAGCTAACAACGCGTTGTGGTCATAATAAAACATCCACCTAGGTTGGCGAGTCAGGGCAGCTCGCCGCCCGACCAGAACCAGGCCCGAGCGTACGACGCGTAGCGTTCCGCGCGCGCCTCAAAGAGCCAATAGACCACCACAGACGGGGAACTATAGGACTGATGTTCGGCCGGGGTTGCGGGGTAAGCGCAATGAGGCACCGCGACCTCGGCCCAGAGCAGGAGAAGGAACGGGGAAGTTTTTTAATCAGTAAGAGTCTGACACTCCGTCCCGCCTGGCCCTAGGCGGGAGAAGTCACTTGATGATTTTCCCCTCACAAAAATAAAAAACCTAGCGAAATTCGTATTATGGTTCTAATAAAAACGTACGAAAATGTATAAAAATGCAACTTACCTAAAATTGGTAATATCAATATTGTTGTATCCCATGGTCTTCTGCTGGCACCATTTCAGTAGAGCGTTGCGTTTCGACCCGCCATTCTTTACTTGAAGCGCATTCAGGGGATCTTTTCGTTCGCCTGTGATTTTTTGGAGACATATTGTTTAGAGGACATTTTGAATTATAAAGATTATGAAAAATCTTCTAGATACCTGTCAGATGTTGAATTATCGGAGTCTAAGTGGGGGAAAAGTAATTTATTTTTGTGTAGAATGTTAATGGACATTGTGTGATGGTTGGTTTTGCGAACATTTATCATGCACACACATAGAAGCTAAGCTGTTGGACTTACCTTGTTCATGTTGGATACAAAATGGACTGTATTATAAAGAGCCATTATTATTGTATTTATTTTCGTATGAATTCATACTAAGACTTCGATTAACGATGATGTTGAACTTAACTTTACAAATATGAATTTGATTCGGTTAATATTTTGGCGTATCAACGAAATCAAGATTTCAATTTGTAATCTGTATAGACTATCCAATGTTTTGAATGCTAAAGCATCCTAGTATAAGACTTACCAATTTCCAAATACTTTTTTCATCTAATACTCATGTAACTCTACCAGCAACCACTAAAGCATTTTTTTCTGCTACCAGTAATTAAAGGTCTAAGAATGTTGATTTGGTCACTTGAATGTAGGTAGTAGTTCCGCTTAGCTTCACAGCATAATATATTTACTGATTTTTACTGTCAACCCTTTATAAATTTGAAAGGTCTTCAAAACGGATCTCAAAACATTAAACACTATAAATAAAAAAACATTTTGCGCAAAATTGGAGCATAGTTAAATAATGGGGACTAATTAATGTTGTTTCGCTCATCAGGCAGCACTAAACTATGGAGGGTGGTTGGAAGAAGAACTATCTTATACATGTTATATTTGAAAAAGTGCCAGCTAGCTGCACGCAAAAATAACAGTATAAAATCCTTAGAGTGATGATAGCTGCAGTAAAGGGTATAGAATGAATGTAGCAGATGGTGAACATTCAAGTTTAGCCGAAGAATAAAATTTATCTACGTTGCAGAAACGACAGGATGTCACTGTAGCTGTCAAAACTTGAAAGTTGAATAAAGTGACGCATTGCTTATTGCATATTAGTCGAAAAGTGAAAGGTCCACACATGGGCTACCTGGTATCTAAAAAAACATTAGCCCTAATTGGAGTCCTAAAACTGACGCTTCTTCTAATGCAATTCGGACTAATACAAACTCATGACCAAATCCACAAGAGACTTAGATATGTCAAAAATATTCTAAGATCAGAGTAAGAGACTCACATATATCTCCATAGCTGTTCCGCCGCACGAAGGACTCCATGGCTTTCTGCTGCAGTGACTGGAGGGCGCGCTGCTCATCAGGGATGTTGGATTGCGCTGCGCCAGCCTCTGCCCAGCCCCGTTAGGCACAACGTCAACGCAAGCACGCAACGACGGTATTGTGATACGTATAGGAACTTTATGTAAACTACTTTACTGCTTGTAATTAATGCTAATTAATTAATGTTTCTAAATCTGTTATTTGTTAGCACTCTAGTTTCTTTATTTGTATCGTGGGTGCGTTTAGAAATAGATTTGAAAAACTATGAACGTTTATTCTTGTGCTTTTTTCTAGTTGAAGGTAGATTAGAAAGAATTTTTATGTTGGAATGAGTGAGAGAAGTAGTAAATAAAGATCAAGAATTCAAGAAAAAATACAGTGATAAATTAATGTGGAAATAAGTTGCCAACTTTTTGTTATCATACCTTATTTTTAAAACGGCAACTTTCCGTTGTTATTGGACCGTAATCAGTCATAGATAATCATAGAAACTTTTTATCACAAAACCGTCGATGGTAGTACATGATAGAAATATCCACACAGTCAGCCAGTGTGGACATTTCCGAGTAGACACAAACAATGCAGAGTGGCACCACCCCCAATGAGTGAACTCCACACAAGAACCGACTCCGTTAGAACAAGGGGAAAAATGGCGGGAACTTTATGTCAAATGTCAAACCTCCATCTTGCTTTTGGAGTCATTGTTAAAATTTAAAAATAATTGTTCCTTTATCTAACGCAATAAGCAAATAGATTTTCTTTTAAAGATTTTATAAAGCATAGAAATAAAAACAACGTAGATTCAAGCTATACAAAGGAAACGATAAAGACAGGTCATTGTATTAGACAAAGGAAAACTTGAAAATAGCAAAAAGTTTGAATAACTAATAAAACTTATTTTCTTAAATAAACGGGTGTAGAAATAAAAGTCTAGTGGCATGCATAATGTAATGAACTAAGAGTTTTTAATAAAATAAATTAGTAAGGTCGCACACAACACATATCGTTAATATAGGCAAGGGTTGGGCTATGCGCCGCGTTCATGCTGCCATGCTGGAAAAAATAAGCGACTTTCATGCGATTATATGTAGCCGGGAACCGAATTTACGTTACAATTAAAGTTTAGTATTCATTAATTATGTATTTTGGAAATAAATGGAATAAATATCGTCATAATAAACTAATACATTAAGCTAAAATTCGATAATTATTACGTAGGTACTTAACACTTTCAAATTGTACTCTACTCTATATCGTCGATATTGTTACTTCCATGCATGTACCCCATATACATATATTGGACCTATTTGTTCTAACAATTCTCTACAAATATATCGCTATTTGTGATAACGCACCTACTACTATTTTGTATGTAACACAACCTTTGAAAGGCAAACAGCTAATTTCAAACTTTACAATTTATTTAAGCCATAAAAATATATTAACAGGCCAAAGTAGATTGACATCCAAGCACAGATTATTGACTCGACTTGTTACCCCTGAATAAGGCAGAGGGTATCTCCACGGCAGCAAATATGTAAAAATCTTCGGAAATATTGAAGACTAACTAGCTCGCGGTTTCACAGGGGATAGTGTAGGTTCCTAATGGATCAATTAGTTTCGGAGCTTATTAAATACAAATCTTTCCTCTTTATAATATAAGTATAGTAGTATAGAAATAGATGCGTTACCACTATCAAAATTAAAATAGGTATTCTACGTTTACCATAACACCTTTATAAAAGCGCTTACCGTTGACGATGGGTGACGGTCTAGCGCCCCTTGCTGCGGGCGGTTTACTTGAGAAGGTGGTTCCAGACATGCCATTTGTAGGCGCTGTGGAGTCTGCTATGCCGTTCTTTATAGATGTTGACGTCGTCGTTGTTACACCTACTGTCGTTTGCTGGTGAGAGGAGATTGAAGATGATGTTAATACTTATATAGAAGACTAGCAGCCCCAGCCACGCGTTGCTGTGGCTAAGGTAAATAATATTGTCTGACTATAAATTGAGATGTAAGCTATCCTATCTTTCAAGTTGGATCAAAATGCACACGGAATGCAAATCTAATTAAAAATCGGTTTAGTAGTTTAGGAGTCCTTTGCGGACAAACACGTGACACGAAATTTTTCATATGAAGATTGAGTGCATGGTGAATCGCGTGTTTTATTTTATCATTCAATCAATTGTCAATGATGAAGCAGGGCAACAAAGAAAGCGAAGAAGTTAGTTGCTTACTTCTTGATAGTGACAAAAATGACAAGACAAGGATCCTTTGAGAGGGGAAGTAAAACAGGGTTTTCGTACATTCATTTTATGATTTTTCGCATGTTTTTGAAACACCGAATTAATAAAGACGTATGTATTTCTTTTTCTTGGTTTGTGCCTATTTAATTTAAACGTACAGGTACTACTAACTTACCTGTGGCCATTCTCCTACAGGAGTGGTTGCAGGCGACTGCTTGGCTGCCTTTGCCGCATTTTCTATACTCTCAATAAGAGATTTGACTGATAATCTGGAGTCTTGGCGACTTACGCCTGAAATCAAATAATGTTATATATATACCACGGCTTCACAGAATATCGGCGTGAACAAACCAAAGTGTTGTATTTCGCCGTGTGAGTGAGGTTAACAGAGGACTCCCCAATCCCTAAATCTCCGAAACCCTAATCCTCAAAAGCTCGGCGACGCTGTCGTAACTCCTTTGGTATTGCGGGTATCCACTGGGCGACGCAGATTGCTTACCACCAGGTAATCCGACTGCTCCTTTGTCGGGCTATCACATGAAAAACCAAAGAATTTATACTATATCATGGATGTTCAATAAACGAGAAAGTTGGTTTTCTGCCTCATACCAATTTTCATATTGTACTAACAATGGTGCCGAATTTATGCTATCACATCTTCATGCTATCACGTCTTCGGATCCTACCTTTAGTCCTTCTATGCGAAGCAGCAGTGGCCATGATGTCTTGCAGCGACGCGCTCGTCAACAGCGGCGGTGGAGGGGGCGTCTCCTCAGTGCGTGGCGGTATAGCTGAAGTCAATAATATCGTTGAAATACTAGCTTTATATTTAGGATCTGACATTGGGATTATTTGAACTTAATTTTTTTATTTTGTATATTGTATAATTTTCTTCAAATAATAAAGCTTTTAGGTACTATTTATAGACGCTACACGGAATATGTTATTTTAAGAAAATACTTTTACTGGGGAGCGATAAGGGTGTATGTCCTTTGAAAATTTAAGATGGTACAGGGCAATCCAACACCGAATCCAAAGATCCCCAGTGCTGTAATATAAACAAACTAAAAAACCATGCGTACGTTGTGAAAAATATCTCCAACGCTCATGCAATTCTGTACCTTACACCTGACGTAAATATTTTGAAGCATCATCGTGACAGCAAAATTGAATCACATTAATATTGTGTTTATAATTCAAATTCGCAATTTGATTACAATGAAGTGAAAGAACATGGAAACAAGCTAAGCTTCTGAAGGCTACTTGTACACCATTGAAAATGTTTACACTCTCTGACAAGGCTGCATTTGTTAATAAACCCTTTGGCCCCTTTCTAATACAACTATTTGCCCAGCGATCAGAAGCTTACACAAAAAGATATGGTACACAAGCCGCCACCATGTCACCACCACCAAATGGTACACACACGAACATCATGTTTCCATACATTGATATAGTTATTTACATTCAATTCACACTCGGACGTTTAGATTTCTGGTCACAAAAGCGCTGACTTACGTAGAGGTCTGCGAGGCGGGGGATCTTTTAATGATCTTATCGGGTGCGACAACCGTTTGTGCTCCAACGTCCTCCAGTATGGCTTATCCCTTGGCAAGGAACCAGTGTTTGGTTCTATGCTCGTAGAAGTAGGATGCTGCAGGGAAAGTTTCCTCGGACCAACTTCTTTTGGTGTATCCGATGGAGGCGGTATTTTCTCCAAACTTTGCACTATTTCCACAATAGATCCAGGTTTTATTTGTAAATCTTTCGCGCTTGGCGCTTTCGATAATGATATTATTGATTTGGTTACTCTCGCCATTTCTTTCGTATCTTCTTTATTATCTAAAAAATCTAACGACTTTGATTTTGCAAATCTATCGTCTTTTCTAGGTTTTTTGATACGTCTAGGCACTTTTAGCACCTCTTCTCTGGTAACTGAAGCGAACTCATCTGTTAACGACTGGTTTTTATTTGATATCTTTTCGTCATCGGCTATATTTTTATCTTTGGCAATTGTATCAGAGATCACTGGTCCTATTTCTTCATAAACATTTTCCTGTTCAGAATATCTCCTTTCTTGAGGTTTAAATGAATTGCTAGGAGGAACATCTGCATCTTCTTTCTTTATTTCTACAGGTTTCGGTACAATAGTTGGTGTTGAATTTATAATAAATGGGACACTCTCAACAGGTTGGTAATATTTATTGTCTATCAACCACTGCGGGCTCTTTGATAACTTGCCAACTGTAGCTTTAACTTCTGTAGGGTTTGTGGAAGCTTTTGTTACAGCACCGACAGTTTTTGGTGGCTCTAGAGGAACTATGGGAGTTTTAGAAAAAGTATTAGGCGCCTTCGAGACTTCTAGAGGTTTGTTTATACTTTTACTATCTGTCAAATTTTCGTTTGATCCAAAAGTTTTCCAAGAGAGGAAAGGCAATTGTTTCGCTTTAGTATGTTTTTGATAGATACCTTTTCTCTTAGTGCTATCCTCAGAGCACTTATCTTCAAGGATTTGACTTTCATTTTTTCTGTCATTTGCAACCTGATCAATATCGCTGTAGTAAAGAGTACCCTTTTTGGTTTCTTGTTTGGGCTCTGTTGAACCTTCCTTAGGAGCTAAAGGTTTAAAATATACTGGTTGTATTAGCACTGGGCTTATAATAATAGGTGCTGCCGGTGCTACATTTCCATTACCTATTTTAAGAGGTGCTAAGAAAGTTTTAAATGTGGGACCAGGCCTATTATTAGAGCTATTAATATTTGAAACTGCGTCTATCTTTGGTGCATCATCGCCTAAGTCTGCAGTATTTATTTTTAGGTGATAACTAACATTATCATCTATTGGAACTTCAGATTTAGGTGCAGCAGGAACATTATCATCAACAGTTTCAGGAGAAGGATTATTTTCGTCTTTCAGACTTGATGTATTTACATCACTGGTAACTAAATTGTTATTTTCTTTGGTGTCTTCAACATTTGGTTCCGAGTCAACATCGCTTATTAAAACTTTAGGAACATTGGACAAAGATATTTTTGTAGTATTATTCTCTGTTTCATCTTTGGTTACGGAGACAACTTCAGAAGTAGTTTGTTTTTCATCACCTATAAGACTGTCAGAACTTGCCGCTTTTTTCATTCGGTTATTTCCAATTATTCTTTCTATTGCAGCCTTGAAAGTAAGCTTTAATTCTTCATTGACCATTTGCAGTTGTTTTTCAACATTATCATCAATGGGTACATCTCTTAAGATCTTTTTTGGCTCGATTAAATCTACGGGTTGTTTTTTAATATCATCGGGGTATGGAAACGGGAGAATTTCCTCAGCTTTAACTACAACTAAATCTTTACTTACTTCAGTATTGTTAGCCTCTTTTATTGCATCAATTTTATTGTTATTTTTTTCTACTGGAGGAAGGAAGACACTATCAGTACTTTCCGAAAATAGAGAAATGTCACTGTCAGTGTTAACAGTTAGTAGATCTACACTAGTAGCCTCATTTAAAGCTTCTTGATACTCTTCGTTAGTATTTAAACTATCCAAACTGTAGGACTTTGGTTTACCATTAAAAGTTCCCGATAGGTTTTTACTAAAAATAGTGCGCACTTTGGGTTTAGGTACGTAACTAGAATCTGATTTAACTAACCTAAAACTAGAATTCAGATCGATTAAGTTCTCCACAAGATCAGGTTCAGCTGGAGCACTGTTATCCGTGACATCGGATTGGTCGATAGCATTTTGTCTTTTTAACTCCTTATCTTTCAAAGGAGGTAAGACAGCTTCGGCTAACACTTTACTCGGATATTCTTCTGTCGAAGATTTTGGACTATCGTCATCATTCGTCTCATCCACTGTGACGTTTTCAATTTCTATTTTGAAATTATCTTTCAAGAGATCATTCGTATCGCTGTTCGTTTCGGGAGGGTTGGTGGATCTGAAGAAAGCCTGTTCTATTAAGCTTGGGTCTTTGGCTGGAGGGTCAGTGACGCTGTGCACTCTCGATAGGTATCTAGTTCTTATACTTTTGAACACATCTTTAGATGGACTTAAGTCGTCGCTCGATGGAGACTCGCATTTATCAGATTCCTTTGTATCTAATATATTGTCATCTGAGTATATGCTATCCATAGATTCGGATCTGTCAATACCTGTGTTGGTACATCAAATTGTGATTAGACATTGTTTAACATACATTTGATGGTCGATCACTGTTAGTTAATGAATGCTTATAAAGTTAAGCTTTACACAGAATTAGCGCATGGTTATGCATGTTAATTCTGCTGAAATTACTGAAAGGATTTTAATGTTTCGACTGTTTTGTTTATTTACATGCAAAATTGGAGAATAAAGCTTGAATATTTTTCTTTAGTAATGTTTGGTTTCGTATTATTATCGGGATTGTCTTGAAATCTGTTTAAGCGTTTGTAAGATATAAAGCAAAGTCTAGATATTCATTCAGCAAACTCCGAACTACTCTCAAATCTACCTTTCATTCACATGCGAAGCTCTCAATAAATCTCAATATTGCAAAAATTTAAAAAAATCTATTTTGGTGCAATAACACAAAACTAGAGTATCAAACGTTCAAGTGAAATCTACAAAACATTTTTTAAATCACATAGATTATTTACAAAAGAGAAGAAATATATTTTAACACTATTGAATACAGACTTTCAAGAAATGCTCATAGGCTTCTGTTCGTACATAGAACACCAATTTATAACTAGAAGTGTATCATACAAAGCCAAAATATAATTTATAAATTCAAACGCATTCACAGCAAAACCATACTCTTTCTCTTTCTATCTATATCACCTACCTTTTAGAGAATGCATCTGGTCTTCCAAGAGTCGTATCCTGTCCCTTGCGACTTTGTTCTCGGAGACTAATCGTTCTAACTCCCTTTGAGCTTCAGTTTTGAAGTCATTTGCGACCCGTACTGTCATAAGAAGGTCACTCTGGAATTGTTTCCATTCTGCTTCCTGTGAAGAGAATTATATTGTAAGAACCATCCAAAAGGCTATAAAACCCTGTATTAACGCTGCGGTAAACGCAAAGGTGCGCTTTTTCTTACAAAATTTATTTCGCGGTTTCGATTCCTGCACGGAACAACTCTTTGTGTGATCCACAAATTGTTGTTCCGAGGGTGATGTCTATGTGAAATTGTATGTTTGTAATAAACCTAAGACACGTGAGAAAATCCTAGTGTCAGGCAACGTATTTAAAAGAAAACAAAACAAAAACAATGTCTGTCATTGATTATGAGTTCCGGTCGTAGCTTGAAATAAGTCGAGAACTACCAAACAGTTACGTGACTATACTGATATACTTATTCTTATGAACATCTTTACTACTTTACAATCAAAATTAACTCAATAAAGAAAATCATCATTCAACTTACATCTCTCTCCCGATCCCTAGTTAGCTGCGCGTTCCTGGCGCGAGCATCCTGTAGCTGCCTCTCCAAGTCCGCGACCCTGGCTAGAGCCTCGCCCGCTCTACTCATCAGTGCCAGCTTCTCGTCTGATGCTACCTGCACCTGTACAATGTGTAAGATGTTCCTTAATTCATTAAACCCCAAGCGACCACCTTATTTCGCGCCTAGTTGTCTCGAATTACCACGGTTAAAAGGTTAAATTCGTTTGTATTTTTTTTATGGGGTAGCCTTGCAACCGATCTTGGATCTCCTGATACTAAGAAATTGGCGCCATTAGAGGAGTTCTAATTGTGTTGCCTATTGGGGGGATTAGATATTTGAGAATGAGAGTTGGGGCATGACGATTATGAAGCCACATTATTCCGGTAGAACCGATTCATTCGTGCCGAAGCATTGCATTACAAACCACTCCACCACCCATATTGTTCAAAACCTTCAGACGGACTGAGCTTGATACTTGTTCCGGTAGCAATATAACTTACAGACCAATCCAGACCTCTGGATAGAGTCAGTGATTAGGAATTAGGGAAACAGGGTCGCCAACTTATTTCTCAAGATAAAGCTATACATTTTTTTTTGCTATCTGCAATATAACAATCATGTCATCACTGGATTATTCAAGATCGATCAAGAGCGTTTGTATTACTAATTTTCGCTGCTTTGTTTGTTATTTCTTTACCTGTATCTGTAGTTCCTCGGCGTTGTCTTGTAAAGTTTTCATCTCCCCCTGCATGGCAGTCTTCTCTTGGCGCAGCTGCTCTATCTGGAACTCCAGCTCGGATATTGTTGACTTCGCATTGTTTCGCGATACCTGTAATATCATTATTATACTTAATTTTTTTTTGAGAAATATTTATATTTTCCACTTTACTTAGTGGGAACATTTGATGTTTTTTAACGGTTTATTGGTTTAATACAATGATATCCTTGAGCACACATATCATATTTGTCTTCCATTGGGTTAGGTAATAGTGGTAGACACAATGAAATGCGTTTTTGCGTGCGTGAAATTTTACGATTTTGGTGCATCGTTCTAGCTCCATTAACCTTTACTCGTAGAACGGGTAACAGATCAGTTTTAAGACAAGATAGTAGTCATGTTCTTAAGTCTTTTCAAATACACTAGTAGTAAGGGTAACACATCAATTTTAAGATATGGTAACGCTCACGTTCAAGTCTCTAGGGTCATAAAAGCGGTCGAGACATTTCGTCTAACAGTACAGGTGTGAATAATCCGTCAAACAAAATAAATCTAATGAATAAGTATGTGTAGAGGGTGTCAGTCTACCAACATACCAGTGCATCATCATGCATCTTCCTGGCGTCGGAGTGTGCGCGGTCGAGCTGTCGCTGCGCATGCGCAAGTCGCTCGGCGAGTGCGAGCGCGCGCGCGGCGGCGGCGTCAGCGTCGCGTCGCGCGGCCGCCGCCGCCGCCTCCGCCTCCGCCGCGCCCTCCGCCGCGCCCGCACGCTCCTCCAACTGATGCACCAATAAATATTGCATAGTACGACTTCTACACTATTCTACAGGGTGGCATTTTGAGGGACATAATCCAAAGAGCCGATTATGGCGCTCAATTACAACAACTATAAAGTGTGGGAGAGCCAAGCTTCGAGTGATAACACGGCCTCACAGAAAACCGGCGTGAAACAACCACAGTGTTGTGTTTCGCCGTGTGAGTGAGGTTACCGGAGGCCCAATCTTTCCCCATCCCTGATCCCTCCACAATCCCTTAAAAACTTTTTCCTCGGTACCAATATCCAAATATCAAAAATAAAATTTCTTTATACAAATCGCAACAGCTAATTGATTATTTTCGATGGAGAAGTATTATAAACTTAATGGACAATTGAACAGATCTCTTGTAAAATATTCGTACTAATGTTATTATTTTTTAAATGCCGTCGCAGTGCCACGCATTCAAAGCTAAACAGAAAGACGAAACAAATATAATAACCAACTTGTCTTCTATAAAAGAGGTAGAGGGAGAAAGGTAATTGAGTAGTATCCGACTAGTCAAATTCAATACTTTTATCCAAATATCAATAACGATACTTTTACATGAAATTTGCACAAAAAACTGAGTTATGACGTCATAGTTTTGTTGCGTCAAATAGCTTACTTATTTCTTAATAATTAGCTAAAATATATCGATGAATAAAAGTACGTATAGTTATTTTTCAATATGTTATTGTATTGAAACGTCAATTTAATTTGTTTTTGAGCTAGGAAACTACAATATCTCGAAGCGACTGACCTTAGCTTTGGCAGCATCGAGTAGGTCAGTGAGCGTGGCGATCTGATGTTGCCTGGTGGCGGCCAGCTCCTGCGCCGAGTCTGCCTCCAGCTCGCACCGGGACCGCTCCGACTCCGCGCGCTCCACGCTGCCTTCCAGAACACTAAAAGTAATAATAATAAATCAATTAATCATATTATCCAATTAAATCAAATTATTTATGATAGGTGGAACAGAAATTAGGGAAACCTATGTGGACTTGTGGACCCTGTTGAGCACGGCAAAATATATGGAGGAGAGAGGAGGTCGTTATATTCATACTTGTACTTATATGACTCGTCTGTTCATAATAATATACCTAAGTAAACAACTATGTAGAACTTTTATTTTTTATTTATTGTCAATGTATTTAGTTTCAGTACATTTTCAAACAAGGTAACGAACGAACATTAAATCAATTACCACACGAACGATAAGATAATATTAATTAAGTCATATTATCGTCAATCATTTGAATAAAACTAAAATTAATCAATTTGATGAGTATCTAGAAACAAGCGATACTATACTAATTATTAAAATGCTACACGTTTGTGAAATCAAGATGAAATAGATAGAGCCAAATGATAATAATTGGTTATCACTTAGAAATAACTTTGCGAGATCTACAATTTTTCATTTAAGATGTTTTATGTACTTTGATCGTTGTATTTTGACAAATAAAGGTTTATTATTATTTTTATAAATACGGGTCCGCAGGACTACACAAATTCCATTAAGAACAGTTCCGGTTAATTTAGAACTATTGCGGGTTGCTGTGGACTGTAATAGAAATAGAGATAAGAAACAACCACTTCTCTCCCTGTAGCACTCGGGGTATTGGTAGCTCGGGGGATCGCTCATTCTCATCAATCGTCATCTCGCACCTTGGGGCGAAGGTTTAAGGGCTATACAGGGTGTAAAAAGACACAAAACTTAACGAAGCCAAAAGCCACGTATTCTACCCATTGTTTGGATCATTTTTTTCTTTATGACCATAGCTGGGACTCTATGGGTTCTCGAGATATTGAAGGTCAAAGATGCATTTTTTTTTGCGCAATCGAATTCTAAGTATTATTACAAAACTTTTTTCCAAACAAAAACATTACCTGTATTTTCGATTTTTCTAAATAAATTACGCATTTGAAGTTACGAACAGTAATGTACGTAATAAATAAATGCAGACCCGCACAAAAAACATCGTGCATCTCAGTAGAATTTTTATTTTACAGAATTGTTTTGTTGTTGCGAAGTAAAACGTCGACCTACGTACTTATCACAGCGTTTTAATGCTAAGCTGTGAACCTACGCACACAATGACACGAAGCCCGTTTGCTTTACATTGCGCGCATTAAAATAATATATTTTTTTAAATAAAAGTTATTTCCCAGTGATAATTTTAGCGTAAAGCTACTTAGTTAGAACTGCAGTATGCGTAGTTAACGGCTTCGTTAAGTGTCTTTACACCTGTATAGTGTAGGTACTTAGATAATATATAAATTTTGCATAGACAGTAAGCCATAGCGGGTAGAAACACAAATCTGTGTATCCTCAGTTCGGAATAAACCGTGTTATGAACTAATTGTTTCGTTATGACCTTCCCCCCTCCCCTACTCCTGCACACCAGAACATGACAGTTAGAACCGAGAGAAATGAAAAATCTAATATGAAATTGAACTGCCAGGTGTGATTTCTTTTCTGTTGAGTGTTTTATTAATGTCATTGAGCTCTTAGCACTGTGATAGTAACAATCAACATACCGTATCCTCTCAGCAAGAGTCTCATTTTCTTTGGTCTTCTCTTCTAGAGCTGCCTTCGTTTGGTTCAGTTCTGCTTCTAATTGTTCTTGCTTTGTTATCAAAAGCCTGCGTTCTTCTTGAGATAACTGCAAACAGCAACGGAATATATTATTAACACTAAAATATATTATTATTACCTACTTCACTTCCATTCACGGGATTACAAAAAAGAAAGGGTCCCGGACCTTTGGAAGGCGTACGAGGGGCCAAAGTCAACTTGTAGAAGTCCTTTGAACAACTTTAATATTAGTGAAATGGGACATCAGTCGGATGCAGGACTATTATGCAATACGGTAGAAAATACATGTTTTTACAATTTTACAAGAAGTATTTCTTGTTACAAAGAAAACCAGAACATTTGCAATCTTACCAAAACATTTTGAAACATGTTAACTTTTATTGACAAACACATAATCCAAATGCTACAGGATTTTTACAAAATGGCTAAATAAACTAACAGTGTTACGAGCTTGTTTTTAAAACGTCGTGATAAAATACAGGCCCTTGATTATTTTGGTCATGGTAAAATACAGGCCCTTGATGTATTATAATGCTATAACCGTTTACGGTAAGCCCTTAGGACAGTTTAAGTCGTCATTGAGCTTGATAAATACCAATTGAAGTATGCGTTTAAAATTTCCTCTACAAGAATAATATTTTTTTCTATAGAATGCTTACCTTAAGTACAGCGAAGAGTTGCTGGTCGGTGTCTCCAGACACTAACGTCTCTGGTTCCACACCCTCACGCATTAGAAGCTCTTGCAACGTGTCCACCTGAACAAACGTATTCATTTCAATTATTGTAATATAATTATCACGTAGGTATAACAAGTCGATTAATAAAAAAATTATTATTAAAAAAACAAAATACCCGACTGCACACTAAAAAAAGAGTAAAACAAGCCCCACAATACAAATTTACTGAATATAATTTATAAATGTTGATGGAAAGCATCGCAGGCGGGGACCAACAGAGGCTTATTTATAGTCATTTCTGTTGTGCACCATTTAGCAGAATTTTCGTTGGTGGCGGTCAAGGTGGTCCCCGCCTGCGATGCTTTCCATCAACATTTATAAATTATATTCAGTAAATTTGTATTGTGGGGCTTGTTTTACTCTTTTTTTAGTGTGCAGTCGGGTATTTTGTTTTTTTAATAATAATTTTTTTATTTAATACTTTTTCCCGTGGGAATTTTGAGAAAAAACGTATCCTATATTAATTACTCCCGTGATTGAAATGAATCTAATGATACCGCATACATATTTTTTTAAAGGGAAATTTAGAAAAAATATTATTATGTCTTTATCCCGTGGGACTTTTAGGATAAAATGTATCCTATGACACTCCCGTAATCAAGACAAATCTAACGATACCTCATACATCAAAATCCATCAAGCCGTTTAGGCTACAGGAGGTCACAAAGGAAAAGACATACATACATACTTACATACACTCGAAAAACATTACCCTCCTCCTTCTTTGGCAGTCGGGTAAAAAATACCATTTTTGGAAATTTTTGTTACCTACTTTTTCTCGTTGAATTAAGAAAAAAATATATCGTAAAGGTACTATTTAGAATCAAACCCATTTGATTAAAACGCATAATTTTGTGAACGATAAATCCAATATACATATAACAAACGACCGTATTCGGTCGGATTCGTCGTAAGGCAATTTTTGACATTTGTTCCAGTACTCTTTTAATCGTGGTAATTCAAGACACAATAGACACTCCGGCGGCGTTCGCTTGAAGTTTGATGAATTAGATTCCTATCCAAAGCCTTTTTTGTGAGGGGAAATATCATCAAACGACTTTTCTCTCTCCCTAGGTGTCTTTTTTTTTTTTTTTTTTTTTTTTTTTTTTTTTTTTTTTTTTTCAATTAGACCACAGTAGGCACTTTTGAACGTCAAGCAAGCAAAAAAGGAAAAAAGTATATAACAAGAGCTTTAAAATTAAGCGTGTCAGTCTGTCCGTCTGTCCTCTAGTGAAGCTATTTGCTCGTTCCAAAGTGTAGATTCCTATGGAGAAGAACGAGCAAGAAACTCCATGGTTACTCTTTTTCAATCAATTTTACAATACATTTCTTTGTTACATCATTTAGTCGGTTCTGATATGTGAGAACAATGTAACACTAATGTTCAGGCAAAAAGTACGAAAAAGAAGTGAACCTCAAGGACAACATAATACACAGCCTGGAGCTGACCAGTCCCAATAGGCGGCGCCCGTTCACGAACATGACACGTACACCAGCACCGCCCAACTCAACCATATTATAGGGAATTGGGCGATCCAGTGCCCGTGCCACCGCCAATGAGACCTCTGAGTGAGCATGACAGCTCCCAGCCGACACAAGTACCTATATTCTACAAGTCTTACCTAATTATAATAGGTTACAGGGCACTCACATTTACAAAAACTTAGAAGATCATCAACAATTAACAACATAGTGTACAAATTCATAACTAAAATCAAAAATTCCTCTAAACATCCTGTGGAGTAGGACCAGCTAGCCTCCAAGCATTTTTATCTTGTATATAATCATTTAGTTTGTAGTATGCTAGTTTATATAAATGTTTCTTTATACATAATTTGAATTTGCTTTCATTTAGATTTTGAATTTCAACTGGGATTTTATTATAACATTTAACACAGAAACCCAGAAATGACTTATGCACTTTTGCCAATCTAAATAAGGGCTGACTCAATCTATTCCTATGTCTAGTATGATAATCATGTTTGTCAGATACCTTTACAAATAAGTGTAGGTTTTTCCTAACATACATAATGTTTTCATAAATAAATTGACTCGGTACGGTCAGAATGTTGATCTCGTTAAACTTTTCTCTGAGAGATTCGCGACGACCTAAGTTATATATAGCTCTGACGGCACGCTTTTGCAAGATAAAGATAGACTCAACGTCGGATGCCTGTCCCCACAACAGAATTCCATACGACATGATGCTATGAAAGTAGCTAAAGTAAACTAGTCTTGCCGTGCCTACATCGGTTAGCTGACGGATCTTCCAGACAGCGTAAGCTGCAGAGCTCAATCGTCCTGCTAGAGACCTGATGTGGGGCCCCCATTGCAACTTCTCATCTACAGTGATCCCCAGAAAAGTAGTCTCTTTTACAAATTCTAGTTTCTGATCATTTAATAATATATCATCACATACGTTACTTTTAACATTTGGTAAAATAAATCTAATGCATTTAGTCTTTTTATCATTTAGTAATAAGTTGTGTATTGTAAACCAATTTTGAACCTTCATTAAGGCATTATTAACTTCGTCATACTTGTTTGTTCGTCTATTTATTTTAAAAATGAATGAAGTGTCATCAGCGAACAATACCATATGCGGTTCATTTTGGAACAAATGGGGCAGGTCATTCACATAAACTAAAAATAGAAAAGGACCTAATATTGAGCCCTGCGGTACGCCCATAGATACGCTAGCACCCAGTGAGTTAGACTCTGTGTCAGACTCTGACTAACAACCACCCAGTTCCATATCTTTCTCAGCGGCTTCGCCCAAATGGTATGTTTATAAAAAGTAGCCTTTGTCCTATTCCGGAATGTATCCTATGCCTGTGCCAAATTTCATAAAGTTCCGACCAGCTGTTTTGGTGTGATTGAGTAACGAACATTCAAACATCGTAACTTTCGCATTAATAATATTAGTAAGAAGTAAGCTAGATTTTGTGTTACCTTAGTGCGACTATCCTCCAGTTTTTCAGTCTGGCGACACAGTGACTCCAGTAGTACTTGTTTCTCGTCAGCCAGACGCTCGTTGTCTGCGTGAGCGTCTGCTAGCTGTGTCTGTAAATCTGCCAACTCTGCTAATGTAGCTTGTAGCTCTTCGCTTGTACTGGAATAAGGTAAAAATCAGTCAGAAATTGTGTTAAGCCAAGAGCTTTATTTGGTGTTGAGGAATTATTAGGATAAAACAAAGTTATTGTTTTTATAAGTTTTGTTAAAGTTCAGTTTTGTTTTGTTTTTGTGTGTTAGCTGAAAGTTTAATTTTATTTTATTTATCTGGTATGTATATTGTTTAATAAACGTGGACACCACTATTGTATGGGGCATTATTGTAATGATGGTATATGTTTATTAAACAAACTTTTGCACACACAAATCAAATACACACGTTATTTAATAAATTCTTACAAGGAAATATGTTGATTCTTTTTAGACTCTAAGCACGTATTTCGGTTGGGATAAAAAAAATTGACCACATACGAGTAGTAAGCTTACTTTGCCATTATCTAAAACTGACAATATAGTCAATCCAATTTTCTATTGCATTTAGTTTACATTATTCAAGTCTCCAGACAAAATCGGAGGCCATTGTCATCATCAGCCCAAGACGTATACTGCTGAACTAAGGCCTTCTCCCTTAATTCCCCACGTCGAACGAAAACTCGTCACCAGCATCCATTGACTCCGAAGATGTCGTCAGTCCACACAGACGGAGGCCGGCCCACGCTACGTTTTCCGGTCCATGGTCGCTACTGGAGTACTTTCCGGGGCCATCATCGGCCTGTTGCCATTATGCGTAGGTATATTAAATTAATACTTTTTTTTGTAAAAAGAGCATTGTCCCACACTAATTGTATTTCTCCTGTGTCATGGGTAAAACAAACATACAAAATCCGCCCAGATTCGAAACAACGATTTGTGGATCACGCAGAGTTGTTCCGTGCGAGAGTTGAACCCGCGACGACACGTTGCACAGCAGCCAGTTGCCCAGCCACCCCACCAACCGTGCAGTCAAAATTATTTCTAGCTTCATTATAGTCATCGCCTGCCAATAATTCGCCCTGTAGTTCCTACCTATAATGGTGTTCTTCCATCTGCAAGATGCGGTCCTGCAGGCAGGCGACCGACACCTCGCTCAGGGAGGAGGACGAGTGCTTGTCCCATTCTGGTGTACTCGCCTCGCCGCTGTCACCTTCACCCTGGACATAAACACCAACATAAACATCCACATCCCATGGCAGTTGATTGCTGAACTGACCTCTTCCAGGTAAAAGACGGATAGAGATTCAAGGTTTATTCGAGATCGTCGTTGTTCGATCCTTGTCAACTATCTACTACTCCGCATGGTGTGTTGATAAAAGTAACCTTATCCTATTCACAGAAACAACCACAGCGTTGTGCTTCGCCGTGTGCGTAAGGTTACCGGAGGGCCAATCCTTTCCCTTCCGCAATCCCTGCCCAATCCTAAAATCTCGAAATCCCTTATCCTAAAAAGGTTGACCAACTCCTCTTTTGTTGCGGTTGTCTATGGGCAGCGCTGATTGCTTACCGTCAGGTAAGTCGTCTGCTCGTGCCGACCTACTTCATTAAAAATATTTGTCTAATTTTGGTTTTGAATTATTCGTGGAAGTCCAGAAAGGGCTTGAAAGTAGGCAAAATGAAAAAAAAACTTGGAAAAGCGGAATCGTGTAAAGTCTGCATTGGCGCAGGCGAAGCCGCCGGCGACCGTTAGTATATTATATATGTATATAAGAGTGAGTATATGTACGTACATTGGCGAGTGCGATGGAGGCGGGCGCGGAGGAGTGCATGCGTCGCGGCGCGGGCGCAAGCAGCAGCTGTCGCTTCTCGCTGTCCGACAGCGGCGAGTGCGCCACGCCGCGCAGCCGCGCGCGCAACGCTCCGTTCTCGTCCGCCAGCCGCTCCAGCGCCGCCTCGCGTTCTGCGTCCATACTCTGGACAAAATACCATCAATTAATATTAATTTTCTGTTATTTCATATACCTACGTCTACAATAGTTTAGAACAAACTGAGAAAACACTAAAATTAATCCTTAAATCATCGAAAAATCTACTCGACGTGTACACTTTCGGGAATCACGTTACAAAATTATTAGAATAGAAACGTCATAAAAACTAACATTCAGAATGCTCCAGGTCAATTCCATGCACTGAAACAATTTTAGTAACAGTATTCGATTTAATATACTTAGTACCTATATATTCTTTTCTCATAAAATATTGTAATTAGTATTGTTTTGTGTGTGATACCAAAAATATTTTTACTAGCTTTTGCCCGCGACTTTGTTCTCGTAGAATAGTGACTTTCTGCAGATTTTTATTTTATTTTATTTATTTTTTATATACAATTGCATATTTTTTTTTTATTTTTTTTTTTTATTTTATTTTAATAGGCACACAAAACAGGATACAATCAATAACATTACAGAATATCTATAAAATAAGTAAAACAGATCAAGACCGCATCCCTACACATGTGTACACTGCATCATTATTAGGCAATTATATTATGCAGGAAATGTTATAATATAAAATATTTAATAACTTAATCAAATTAATTGATATTTGAATTAGATTGATTGAATAATTGAATATTGTAATATTGAGTTATTAATTAATTTAATATAATTAATTATAAATACTATTATATATTTAATTAGAAGAATAAAAATTACAATTAGAATTTCAATTTTGACATAATTCGACTTATTTTATATTTGAATTTAAAAAATCTATGATCAAATATATCTAATTCTTTGCTATGTTCGTGAAGTAGCTCGTTGTAAAGACGACACATTCTTACAATAGGGTTGTAGTAAGAAGTATTATTTATATGAACATCTAATATGAAACTCCTGAGGTGAGGTTGGCGACTTCTAAATTTAATATTAAAATTAATTGAGGATAACAAGTCAGGGCTGTCCACTGATGAATGAAGAATCTTGTGCAGGCACAAAATGTCACTCCGTTTACGGCGTACCTCTAGTGATTGCAGATTGAACTTGTCCAGTCTTTCCTTGTATGATGTTAGCTGTCTATGAACACCCATTTTACGGCACACTATGTGAACAAATTTCTTTTGGATGCGTTCCAAATTATTTATGTGAACTGCATAGAATGGCGACCAAATAATTGAGTTATATTCTAATATGCTACGAATCAAAGTAAAATAAAGATAGAATAAGCTTTGCGGCTTACTAAAGTCCTTGGTAACTCTGCAGATGAATCCGATCAGACGTGTGCTTCTATTAATTATATGGTCAAAATGTGCATGAAATGTAAGCTTCTCGTCAAAGAGGATTCCTAAATCTTTAGCAACATGTTTACGTTCTAAGATGTGACCGTTAATATTATAGTTGTATAAAAAATTTTGGACTTTGTTACTAAAAGAAATTATAAAGCATTTTTGAATGTTTAAGTACATGCTATTGCCATTACACCAGTTCACAATTTGCTCTAAATCCAATTGAAGCTTTAAGGCATCGTTACAATTGTTAATTATAGTATATATTTTAAGGTCATCTGCGTATAATAGACATGAGCTATGCAGTCCATCTACGAGGTCGTTGATAAAAGCAATGAAGAAAAGTGGCCCTAAATGGGATCCCTGAGGAACTCCGGAAGTACAGATAATGGGATCCGATACGACACCCTTAATAGCGACAAGCTGACTCCTTCTATCTAGATAAGACCTAACCCAGCGAAGCAAATTTCCATGAATGCCGTAACTTGATAGTTTAGAACATAACAAGCTATGGTTAACCTTATCAAATGCTTTCGAAAAATCTGTGTAGATTGAGTCTACCTGCAATCTCCTTCCAAAAGCCAAGCACAAGTCATTTTTATATACTAACAAGTTGGACAAAGTAGATCGATTTCTAACAAAACCGTGCTGTCTAGGTGATAAGAGCGGACTGACGTGATGGTACAAGAAGTCATACACTACAGATTCAAATAATTTTGCCATACAAGAAAGAATACTAATTGGCCTATAATTTTCACAGCGAGACCTGTCGCCTGACTTATGTATTGGAACTATGTGAGCTATTTTCCACATATTCGGGAAAGAACCTGATTTAAGAGAATTGTTAAAAATAATAGATAAGGGCTGAGACAACTCCTTGCCACATTTTTTAATAAATAACGGAGGAATCAAGTCCGGCCCAGCACCCTTGCCAGCATCTAGTTTACCAATTTTTCGGAGAATGTCGTTCTCACTTATGCGGATGCCAGAAAGACCACTTACGCCAGCCTGTCGACACTCCAAACTGTCAGCGGTCACTCCAGACGAATCAAATACTGAGCCAAAGTATCGAGAGAACAGCTCGCAAATACCACGCTGATCAGAAGACACCAGATTACCATAAGTCATTGTTTGAGGTATAGCATTCGTGTCTTTTTTACTATTGACAAAACGCCAAAAATCCTTGATGTCATGTTCAAGAGAAGACTCCACAGACGATACAAATACGTAGTAGTCCTCGGCGATAAGTTTTTTACACCGAGACCGGAGCAAGCTGAATGTATCATAATCTCGAGGATTACCATACTTTTTGAACAATCGATGATATTTTAACTTCTCCCTCATCACTCGTCTCAGAACCGGAGAGAACCAGGCGGGATAATTACACGAATTACCTGTCGAAAGGGGTGTGTGTCGAGATATTATGCCATTGAGTGCTGTGTAAAAATTATTAACCGAGGTGTCTACGTTTGGCGCACGTAAGATTGAACTCCAGTCAGTAGCACCAAGCTCTGCTCTAAGATTTAAATAGTCACACTTATGAAAGTTAAACCGACGGTGTTTACGCGGTTTCAGATATTTAGGTGTTGAACTAGTCATATTTAAGCTGATTATAAGCGAAGGATGATGTACATCTAATCGACTAAGTGGTTCAGCACCGTACACATGTATAGAGGTTAGGGTCGATAAAATAAGGTCCAAATAGCGATTGTTTCTATTAGGGATATTATTAAATTGATGTAAATCGCAAAGATCCAGGGTCTCAGTGAGAAAAGTGGCTTTTTGGTCAAGTGGTTGGCTAGGCAATAAGTGATTAGAATTGGGACATTTTGTCCATGACAGAGATGGAGTGTTAAAGTCACCTATTAAAATAAAATCACCGAAACCGTGATTTTCAAATATAATTCTTTGACAGTTACAATAAAATCCATCAATTTGTTCCATAGGGAGATCAGGTGGTAGGTAACATACACACAAATTCAACACATCATTCGACTTGCCAGACGGATGACAAATCGATAGCCAAAGGTCCTCAACATTAGACTCCCACGAGGTCTTACGTGAATTGTGTATGTTATTTTTTATAGCAACAAGTACGCCCCCACCCTCTGTTTTAACTATTTCCGTATTGCACCGGTCACGCCTATATACTGTATATCTCGAGTCAAAAACTTCAGCGTCAAAAACACTATCATTTAGATTAGTTTCAGTAAGGCAAATTATGTCATAATTGCTATTTAGAACATTCAGATAAAATTCATTAGTCTTAGATCTAATCCTGTTTACATTTTGATAGTAAATTAACATAAAATTAGCTTAGATAAACCAAATTGTACAAACCAAATATAGAAACAAAAAGAGTATGCTAAGAATCAATACAATAAACATTTATTCTTTTCCCAAGTTACTAATGTTGTTAAGGAAGTCGACATTTTTTACAAGAATGTGACCATATCGGAGGACTTAATGCTAGAAGTATTTTCTGTCAGTCAAAAAAGTTTAAAAACTATAGTATGTCGTTTCTCAAGTTCCAAACTGTATCTGTACCAATCACACAAATAGGTTCAGTAGTTAAGGCGTGAAGAAAAGACAGACAGACAGACAGACAGTTTGGATAATTGTTCAAATAGTATCCCTAGACAAGATCACGAAAAATGTGGAGTCTCGTTTTAGCAAATATGTAGGTCCTAGAGACCCAGAGGCATAGATATTCACACATAGACAACAACAGCTAAAAGAGCTTCTAAAAAACTACTCAAAAACTTCCTACGATGGACTTGAATCTACTGGATGTTCACTCTAGCAGTACCTACCTTCAGCCTCTCCAGCTCTCCTCGAAGCCGGTCAGCTTCTGTTACCTTCTCCAGTAACTCATCAACCCTGGCCTGCAGCTGTGCTCTCTCCATCACGGTAGCTTCTAATTCTCTTCTCAGCGACTCAATTTCCCGGACTCCAGACGCTAATGATGCCTGAAAGTCATTTAAAGTTATATGAAATTGAGAACTTTATTAATACTTAGGTTTTTACTTCTTTGCATTCTTCTGTTGGTTATATGTATCTTGTTTTCAAATATTTAATAAAAGGTTGAAGTTGAGTCATGTATAACATAACTACAATTCAATACTTCACAAAAGAGAATATTATTGTCATTCCAATCAAAAGCTACTCGTCATATTTCAAGGCCTTCAGATTTATTAACGGAACAAAAGTCGTAAAACTCCAATAAATATAAAGTGTACAAGAAAGTAATCAATGTCTTAGAACATATGTAAATTTTAATAACTATTTACTTTTTGGTTATCTAAAAGAAAGTATGTCAATTGACAACGGACTTAACTATTTTTATAAAAAAATAATCAGAGAGCTAGTGACTTTTGACTCGGTCCGATCCGGCTACCGTCAGTCATACTTCCTTGTACAAATTCAAATTAATATTGATAGTTGCAAAAAGGTTGGTTATAAAAGTACAGTTACTGACCTCAGATGGTACTCTAGGCCTGAGCTCCACTTCCTGGAAGCCGGGCATGTGATCGGCATTCAGAGTGACGGGCAGACTGACGCACTCCTGCGAGCCTCGCCCGCCTACCGACCCCAGCTCCTCAGCGCTACCGTAATCATGCACCCCAACTTGCCCATCTTCATACTCCAAACCTTCTCTTAATTCAGGGTCTTCTAATACAGCATTATTATTTCCTAAATCCTTCTTCTTGTGCGCTTTATGTAACTTCTCTTTTGACCCAAAGATCTTCAATGTCTTGTCGCGAGCTGGTGCGACTTTGTGGTGCTTTGAATCGAGGCTCGAAACTGATGGAGCCCCTTTTAACGTGGACTCCTGTTTCCCCTGACTTGGCCCTCTACGGAACAATGATTTGAACTTCATCATCTTGAATTATTTATATCATTTTTCGTTTTCGTTTCACTGATCGAATAAGTTCGGTTTCATGTCGTTTATATCACTTTGTATTGGAATATAACTGTTATGATTGGAATTGGATTAGTGCACTGTTCAAGATAATAGTTAAGTCTTAACAATTCACTGCAATCGCATACCTAACAAATGAGTAAATCTTCAAGAATAAGTCAAATTCTTTATTATAAATAAACATCTAGTTATCACTCTCTATTTAAGGTTTGACTGTGTAACGGAAATCACTCGACACGTTTTTAGACTGCGAACAAAAAATATCGAATGCTCCCGCGCATCAGCGCAGTCGGCAGATGTCAGTATCTCTACAGGAAATTATCTCAACTCAAGCACGATAACAACGAAGGCGGAACGAGACTTGGAACAACCCCTTATCAAAATTACGTGTAATAGATAAACACATTAATTAATCAATAGTAGTAAAGATTACGTATGATGTGCCCACTAGTGCAAGGAGTTAATAAGACTTCATTGTACCTACACTAACAAAAAAATCCTATCGATTGTGTTTAAAACACCAGATTTATCAACTCATACAAAATTCATAAACCTGTCATAGATTACGTCTATACAAGATACGATTTTGATTTCCATACAGATTTGGCAATGAAAAATACACGGACCGTATCAGCTGTAGATCGTCCCACGCTAGTTGTAAAACCCAAGGACGATGTTGTGAGAGAAATAGATTTTAATAGAGACTATTAAAAATGAGATAATGACTACGAATACTACGATCATAAAGAAATAGTTTTCAAAACAATAAATGTTAAGAATCAAATAAATAAGAAAGGGGACATTGAGAGACATGCGCATTATACGCTGACTGAACTCATCTTAATTGCATGGCACGCACTGTTTTAATTATCAGATACCTAGCCAATGTTTAAAACATGACATGTGGAATAAGTGGCAAATGACGTGCATCAAATGTACGATGATATGCAACTATCATGTTAGCTCTAAGTCATAATATATCTGTGCAATCTGTGCACATTCGATAACAATAAATTTATCGATTGACATGTCCAATATATCATACAAAAAGAAATCCCTTACACCTGATTTGACATTCTATAAATAAAATGGAATAACACCACTGTTTATAATGACAATAATAACCGAATCAAATCAAACATAAATGAAAACATTCCTTTTCAAGTATAATGTTTAAAAAATATCAAATAATGAAGACAATAAAATTATGATATAAAATAATGTGATTATGATTCACCCTTTCGTGTCAATAACAAGGCATAAGAACCCTACATAGTATACCTAATTCAAACGCTTCGATGCGTGTACACATCTATCTATAGCCAATATAAAAGAGACTGCAGTTCCCTATAAAATACCCCGACATTTAAAACACAATTAGCCTATAGATGGTCGCCACTTATCCGATAATCCACGTTGTTCGGGACAGGACATGCACCGCGTCCCCCTATATGCAAATAGATAGGGGACCGGGTAGGGCAGCTTTTTGTTTCAGCTTACACTGCAACGGGGCCGACCAATTGCTTTTATTTGAAATCGTCACGTTTATTGTCCTTTTGTTGCTTCTCTCAAAGATTTACAATAGCATTTTTAATGTTAAAGTTGTCTCTGAATTGTTGGGTGTTGGAGAACTTGGTTAGGTTTGTTTTATTACTGTTTTTTTCTTTTTCCTTTTGGAGTACAATAGAATTGTTGTTGTTGAGAATGTTGGGCTACATTATCCCTAGTTTGTTACGAGTTCTTTCAATAGCAAAACTATAGAAAAGGTGAAGCCAGTTTTGTTATGTAGCTTAAAGATATCTGCCGAACACTGATATTTAAATAAAATGTTAAAGTTTCTAAAAATCGACGAAATTGTACCTATTCTTACCCAATTTATTATTAAACTAATTTGAGAGATGTGGAATTGCAAAGTAAATTTGACAGATGAATGGCTCATAAAACATCAAAATAAAGGGTCCTTGTCGAGTAGAAACCACCGTACCGGCAAAAAAGTCGTTAATTTCCCTCCATAGCATGTCAGATAAGTCCCTTATAATCATAGTAATTGTTATGGCTACACAAACCGCACCCATAGTCCAAACAGCGAAGCTCGGACCAAGCCCAGTGTCAATTTACTTCTAGTAATTCAATTGAAACACGGCGTAGTGTAGTTACATGTGTGTATGACTGTATGTAAATGTGTAGTTGATTTGTATGTGGACGAGGTACGCTAGCGGACGCCAACTAACCGATTTAGGAATGGTAGTGTACTTAAAGTGGGTAATACTGACGTTCAAAGGAACGTGTGCCAATAAAGGACTGTGGACAGTCTGTTTATAGATAAATGTATCAATAAGGCAAATAAACAGTTCTTGAATCCGTTATAAAAATGTTAATTAATAAATTGTTATTGATCGTGATGATATTGAAGGTGGCTATAAACTATCCATTTATAGATTCTTTTTACAATTGCTTGCAAAAAATCAATGAAAAAGTTTAATGCAGGAAACAACTTTTCTATGACTCTGTGATGATCGAAAATGACATTGAGAAAGTAGTTTACAGAGATAGGAACTAATGTAATTTGAATAGTGACTTCATCTCGACTGCAATAAATAATAGCTCCGAACACACTTAGCTCAAGCTAATAATGTGTCATTTTCTTACATATAACTAGTTATGTAGTAAGTGCGTACACATAATACGCATAGATCTCGATTAACTCATTCATACATAACATTGCATTGGTATGAAGTAGAATATGCGCTCTATGCAGTAAGAGGTCGACGCTCTCCGCATCATATTTCTGAGTAACTAGATAACACCTATAGTTATTTTACACATCTCAACAGATTGCAAGTTACATAATATTAACGTAATATGTGATACCAGATGCTAATTATGAATCACGATTTATTAGTGATCATATAAATGGAAGCAATCGATCGCGTGTGATGTAACAAACATATTTCAATGTCCAAGATTACACCGGCTTTATCTATTCTCATGAATATATTTCTAGATTTTTTAGTAATAATTCAAACGCTTAATTTATTGGATAGACTGTTACATAATCAGAGAAATCTATATTTGATTAGTGTACGAGCATTTTATTCCAATTATGGAGTCCCACAGGGCTCTGTACTGGGTCCAACTGACAAGAATGGACAATTTGTAAAGGCCATAAAGCGATTCCAACACGCTTTACAAGTAATATAGACCTTCCGATCACGGGGCAAGGTGTTGAAAAGAATGCGCTTTCTCTACCTCCAGCGAATATTAACGTGGCTATAGATCGATCACTCTAACTGCCTTATTAACCACTGTCTCTACTGGCGTCTGCTCAAGATTTATGAACGTATCGACACCTTTTATGAATATAAACGACTTCCACATTGACAATTTTCAAATCAAAATTCAGAACTCATTCGAATTGTGAAATTATGTAAGTAAACCGTTAGCTATTGAGTAGTCTAAAGAACAGTGAAGTTACAATATGTTACGCTGGACTATTTATAATAGAAATAACTGCTAGATTGACATATTTTTCGACAACACTTTTATTTATTCAAATAAGTACCATTACGAGCAATATTTCTAGCACGCAATCTGCTTATTTATGTTAATATAAAAGCAGCTTAAATGGTAGAAAGTCAAACAAATGTCTCTGAATATTGTTTGCACGTACGGTATGTTTACTGTAGACTGCGGTTATTATAACTCTTCGAACGGTGATAATGTATATGTTTGTCACCATTCTTAATTATGTCTTTATTTGGTTAAACTTATTAAGTTAGCAAGGGCATGTTTTGACTTCTGATATACATATAAGTCATATTTCAGTGAAATACTAAAATAGCATTATGTATTGAATCATTAGAATACCTACTACTTTAGTCAGAATGGTGTATAGCAACACAGCCAGAGTAAAGTGCTGTAAGGAATTTTCAAATTCTCTTAATTAAAATTCAATTTTAATTTATGCTGATGCATACATTTTCATTCAGAGCACTTCCTACTTTTTATGTGGTCAAAGAAAACTGCAGTGCAATGGTGAAGAGCCTTGCACTTCGCATTAATTAAATAACGAATAGCAAAGACCCAGGGCTGGATGAGAGTAATGTTTTTTAACGAATACAAGTAAACCCCAATTAAAAATCCTCGAAGCTAGTTATACGTATACTTGCTTACACAACAACTTCTATATTTGGAGACGATTCTGAGAAATACAAAATTGCAAATAATCGGAATTCCTTACACCGAGAGCTGGATTAACAGCTTGAGTAATGTATAAATGGCATTTCGCAACCGACAGACAAATAAAATAAAATGGACGCTTTATCGGTTGACGCCAGGTTGGACTTAATGGTCATCGTAAATTTTGCAAAAGTATTGGAGATTAGTAATACAATTGAATGAACGAAAAAAAAGTAATTGATTGGCTACAGTAAAATTAATATGTACACAAAAATAATTATATAGTCACAATTTATGGTTTTCATATGTCGTAGGTAGGTACAAAACATTTAGCGAACAATTGTAGTCAAGTCGAAATTGCAACTATTATGGCAACAATAACCAACAATGTAAATAAATAGATAGACAAACATGGAGAATGTAAATAAAATAAATTGATTCGACCGGCATTCTATATGGTGGTTTACATTAAATCACGAAGCATATAGTGAATGCCAAATGGCAAGCTTGTAGTTAAGAATTTGCAGATGGTAATAAAAATTATTCGTGTCAAAAACGATTCCGTTTTATACAAAAGAGGTTAGGTACATACATACTTCGATATTTGTAAGCATAACCTACATTTTAAAGTCACTAAAAAAGGCAAAGACAAAAAAGACTAGGCATCTAATCGTCAATTTTTTTAAGGCCTTTTATTCCAAAACGCGCTAAAAGATACAAGTTTTTATATAGAGTCTGTTGAGCAGCATTCCTTGTGAATAGGATGGCGGGTGACGGGTGAACGACCAGCCATGGCCGCCGCGGCCTAGGGAGGTCGCCACGCCAATATGGAAGCTGCCAATACCAATATAGTAAATTATAGTTATCTTGCTTCGATTAGATTCTTGTATCACTTTTACGATCAGCTCGTATTATGACTTGTTGATTATACTCTTAAAGATTACTATGCCTAACTGCAGGAAAGAAAAATACTAAATTTTTTGAAACGCCAATTACAACGTAATGGCCAGAAATTTTACTTTTAAATGGAATGAAATCTTTCCTTCTCTTACGAGATGTAGATTCTTAAAGTAAGTTTTATAAGTTCATTAGCTATAGGAACCTAAGCTAATATTTTATGAAGAATGACGTAGATAGCATAACACCTATTGTGTTAACAGTATTAGCTTTAGATTTACACGTGTAATCAAATAATCACACACACCAACGGTAAATCGTAAGTGAAGATTTTAAAATATAACATCAAGTATAGACAAATTATGTAAAATACATAGACAGGCTGTAGAAAACCTTTAGAAATAACAATTAGAGCTTACCACTAAGATATGGATGAATAAAAATCAAATATACTAAGTGATAATGATACATTACTTGAAAGAGAAATGCAATGTGTACACGGTGAAGATTGACGAGCGGTATCTGAACCACGACCCAGAAAGGTCGCTTTCTTGTATGAGAACAAGCCAGTTTATTATGGACACACTCATAAATTTTAATACCTGCATTTTCAAACGTGTTTCTAGCTTCTGAATAGATAAAATCTTAAAATGGCAGTTTTTATGTAATGCATTATGAAATGTCCTAGATTGGAGGATGTTGTGATGATCGAGTATTGTTTTATCTCAGTTCTTATCAGTTTTATAATCTTTTTGATGGGAATTTTCCATCAGAGTTACCTTCTCATATTTATTGCTTACCTCACAATGCTGTGAAACTAGTAAAGTTTTACAATTCTATCAGAGAAGAAATGAAGTTGTCAGTTATAAAGTCTCAACCGTGCCATTGAACCGAAGATCACAGAATTGTTCATTCGTCCGTATCGGAACGAAATCGTGGAACGAAATGAAGAGACGTTTCATTGGCTTCCAATCATTTTCTTCCAGGATAACTATGTTGTTGTTATCAGCACTTGTTTATAAATAAACACTAAGAACAATTTCGTGTATACTACAACCATTGATATAAATATACTATTAATATAACAAACGTGAAATTGTGTTGTAAGTATGTATGTATAGATGTTTGTTACTGGTTTCAATTGGCCTCAGAAAATAGTATAGGTACTATAGTCAGATATGGCACATGGAATTTTTAAAACTGGTACAGCGACCAAGAGCCCTGGAAAAATAGTAGGATAGAAACTGAAATGAATGCAATCATATTATCCCGTAAATATTGAATTTTTAATGAATGTAAAGTCTCGCGTTTGAGATGTAAGATACTTTCTCTCAGTAAACTTTAAAACCTGTTTGCAAATAATAACTGCATTGCCACTGCCGTCTGTTTCAGAGCATAGTTGCAGAGTCGAGTGCGCTTCATGAGAAATTTATTTCTCACTATAATAACAACTGTAGAACTATCTTTATTGGAGAAACTAATTGTATCCAATTAAAAACACTGAAGTACTCCCTCTCAGTCTTTCGTTTGTTTTAGAAATTCGTTGTAAAAAATATGAAAATATTATAGAACTAACTATCGATTTAAACGTCCCAGACAGTATTTATAGTCATACGCAGAAAGATGCAAGTAAAAAGAGACGTATTAAAACATGCACTCTGTCGGTAGACGAAGTTAATTGCTGATATAATGCACCAAGCGCTGGGAAGGGCACGTCCCCAGTAGGTGCGTCGCTAGCGGCACCGAGGCGCCGAGACATTCATTACTTGAATTGTTCTAATGAACAATAGGTACAACAGAATACGCCAAGCTAGGCAAACATCGCGACTCGATCGTTGCAAAAACTTGCGTCAATTGTAAAGATCATATTACTGGTGTTGAGTCAGCCACCCAATATTATTACATTGTAAAAGACAATGGTGCAGACGTGACGATGAGGAAACTCATGAATTAATCACTAAACCGAGACATAACAATACATAAGAATCCTTGACTGAAATCATAAATATTTGATTTGACTTCTGAAATTTAATCTCAAGGTCTCAGTCCGTTAAAGACAGACGCCATCTTGCATTACCGAGTAAAGAACTTGATACACACATACGCAACAATTGTAATGTTTACCATGAGAAAATATGCACGAATAGGTTTTATGTGACCGACACAAAGCAAATAATTACGGCATCGAAATTCACATGGTCGAGGAAGGAACAAAGTCAAAACCTTGAGTCGCAAACACTTGTGCAAATAGTTATCGGATCCACCTTATTGGTCAGCAATGACGCAGATGTAGATACTTATTGTACGAAAGTGGGAACGGCTTGGATGAATACCATTGTTAATAACATGGCCACATTCATGTGATGATTGTTTAATACACTACGTTTAACAGTACATAAAGATATAAAAAGGTTTATTTTTCCTGTAGGCACGTGTAGGATTCCAATTAATCACTAAAAAAACATTTTATGTCCAGTCTTTACCACACATCCAACGTTACCGTTGAACTTTGTATAGAGTCATTGTTTTTATCATTTTACGCTGCAAATCTTTGGCGCCTAATTTGGGCGTAGGACGACAGCATTCCATACCATATGGTGGGCCAGTGTTTATTAATGAGTCATTGAGACTCGGCACATCTTTTGAGGGCACCAGTAAATTACAAAAAATGTATTGACCAAATAGAAGATTTTTGGAGACATCATATAAGTTGAGGACTTTCAGTCATTAAGCATTAACAAAAAGTAATTATACCATAAGTAGGTACATGTAGAAATATACAAGCGAGTACTGTTCAGATATTCACAAGGTTCTCTTTGCTTCAGTTACATAAACAAGAGACATTGTATCGTTAGGTAAATAGTTTGCCCGTGTGAATAACAACGAGTTACATTTTGAGAAAGTTTTGCAATTATTTTTTCGGTCCCACGAACTTATAGCTGGATTATAAAATTAGATATGCTGAAGATGAGAAGCAATTAATTATTTACACTTTCTTCAAAACCTTAATTACCCTCTTCTTTCACTGTTGGGTTATAAAAACAATCCATTTTTGTATAGCGTATGTTTGTATGTCCGATATTATATCATCATACGTGCTATATCTTATCATCACTAATTTAGACGGCCCTGCCTGATAAACTTGAAGCTCAACAATCGTTCGAAGATTTTTAAATTTAATCATAGATACCTATTCAGATTCAATGTTTTCGAAACGAAAAGAATTATCTTCTAAATCCAAAGCAGAGAGCAATCAAAGTTTATTATGTCTGATGCATGTCTAGCTGTCAATCAACTTTCGGATTGTACTGTTCGATTATTTTAATGTTTTCTATGTCGATCGGAGTGACGAATCATTTCTTTTTAATTTATCGAATGGCGCCATTCGGATTTCATCTTTAAACTAACCACTTCTTCCTAGCTGCAATTTTTTGTTGTGTATTTTTTTCTTGTCTTCCTATCCTTCTAAGAAACTCCTCATTTTTTACCTTTAGGATTTAGCTACAAGCGAATCTGTATTTAATTCTCTAAAGATTTCAATATAACTTCCGTATCGCCTTTACGTCAGAAAACAAATGGAATGTTTCGTCTCGTCTTCTGTTCAATTGTTCATCTTTTGTTTGAAGATGATCTTCAATATCTTTATTAAGCGTAACATCAGTTGTTATTGAGAAATAAAGTTGTTCAAACACGTGGGTATGAAGACTTGCACCTACATTACATAGTTTTGTTCCACTTTTAAGAATACGTGTATCATTAATTTTGTTTCTTCTACCTATGCATATTATTTTCGGTCTGTGGGACTAATTTCACAAATACAATCACAACAGAATTATCCGTACTTGAATGTGACTTGTTTTTAAACTGTTTTTTAAACATCTGTATTTTATACTCCTCAACTGAATGAAATAAGATCTATTTAAATATAACAAAAGTTGTATAAACAGGAAATTATCCCAAATTACCCATTGGTCATTCAAGGCGCGTATAAATTGGTGATAAGTTTCTACAAGTCGGCTTGGATATATTGTTAACACATGGCACAATTTCTGCTTACTAAAATCTCGAAAGAATATCGGTTATGTAGCAAAACCAACAAAGAATGTCGTGATAATCCGCTTCGAAGGAGGTCTCGTTAACTTTTTAAAATGTCGAAGTCATTATGAACCTCTAATGAAATAAAAAAGTAACAACCTCGTATTTAAACAGTTCCCAGTAAACAGCTCAGATAATGAAAACAAAAATATTGACCTTGAAGAATAAGTCACTGATTAATTTACCTCCATAATTGTTCACCTGGTCGTCGCATAATACAAATGATAATTCAAACATTCTAGTTTAAATCATGCATAAAATATGTAATAGGAAGAGAAGCATTTATATAACGTGGATGTAACACAGTTTATGTTAATTTTATCGCTTATTTACAATCGTTATTTGCTTTAAAACAAGGTAAATAGGTAGCAACTTATTCATCATACAAAACCTATTAATTCTCAGGTAGAACTGGGCACACCGATAACTTATCCGAGTTCTCAGAACTTTTGTGGAATCCTACCCACTATCGCTTAGCCTAAATCCACTAAGAGCCTCATTAAAATACTAATTAGCCACCGGTGTAGGACAGTTCGGAAGCTGATTGTAAATCAAAACATGTTTCTAGTAAAGGGCTTTAAAGATCATAAAGTGAGAACAAATTCTAAACAGTAAAAAGAAAGTATTAGCGGTTTCTATTGAAGGTACAGCGTCTGTCAGTCATGTCATCGGTGGATCAGTGGCCGATTGTCCATTACGAGAAAGCGGGAGCAATAAGACACTCCGTTGAATAAGTTCAATTTTTGTTAGCTGTATCTATACAGCCGACGTAGACGATGATCAAAAAGCACTAATGCACAAAACTAATTCCAATCATAAATTCCACACATCACAGGAGCACAATAATAACCACCATGATCAAACTCGTAAAAAGTTCGTTTTGTTTGTCACCAACACAAAAAAAAAGTTCGATAAAAAGCACCCGGCCAGCGGGACGACATCCGTGGCCCGTCGCACCTAACAAACTTGCCTGTTGAGCTACTTGCCGTGCTCAAACAACCGGCCAGCCGTTCTTCCATTTCTTTCTATAACCCAAACAAATTAAAAACATACGCTACACTCTGAACCGACCGGTGTCGAACTATCACCCAACATTGATCATGTAGCACGACGAGGAGTACATTCCGCACGTGTGAAGAAAACAGCCATAATATCTCTTATCCTTTCTTACACTAGCAATACGAGTAGGAAGGGTTACTCTAGAGAGAGATAGATAGATATAACGACAAAAAAGATATTTAATCACGTGCATGAATCAACTAGAAACGTCAAAGTGTTTTGTTTGTAATTTTACCTTGTGTCTTTATATTAAGGTTGTTTATGGAATGTAGTTTGGTATTGATATTGGCGCGAAAATTTAAAAAGAACTTATTCGATCAGTAGTTTTTTTTCATACAAGAAATAGTTAAAATCTTACCTTACTGGTGAAGGAGGCACTCTTCTTTGAGCGACTTTGTCATTAGAATTCGCCCAAACATCGTTATTATTAATGTTTTTGGTTATTTTTAAGTTTTTATCGCTTTTCGGTCTCAGGGTAGGCGGTAGAATGCTATCGGGGAGCTTCGGTGCCGGTGGCTTTGCAGATTTTTTCACAATTTGTAGGATAACATTTGAGCTCTTTGAGTCTGTCTTTTTAGCATTCTCTTTGGTAGGTTTCGGGCCGCCTGGATCAGGGGTCGTTGGAGTAGCAGGTTTACTCCTGTGTGGTCGTTCAGGTTCGGCAGGAAGTTTATCGATTTGTAAACCTGCCGACTTGGTTCGATCTACGGGTCTTTTTAACTTTAGCTTATTAGTCGAATCCGCTAACGGTACTAAAAAGAAAATAATGTTGAGTTGATACGTTCATTATATTTGTATTTTTGAAATAATTGAAGTTTTGAACTATTATTACCTGGCCTAGGCCTGTTTCTAGTTACAGGCTTAGTCTCCGCGCTGCCTATTTTGATAGTTTTCTCGACTGAACTTGAAGACGACGGCGTTACCGCCTTGCTTCGATAGCTAAAAGTAGTCTTAAAGAAATTAGCCGTAAAATTCTTGGTGCGCGATACGTGGGCTGGTGTTGAATGTGAATGTCTGAAAAAAATACAAAAAGTAAAAACAAAAAGGATTTTCATCAGGGGACACCCGGGTTTGAACCGGGGACCTCTCGATCTGCAGTCGAATGCTCTACCACTGAGCTATATCCCCGTTGATGACAGTGACGAAAATAACGTACAATATCAACCAAACAGCGCCCTCTACAACAAAGTTTGAGTAGTTTGGTACTAACTAGTTCAACATCATGCTAAGAGATGGCGCTACCAGTCAAACTACGAAAACAGTTCGCAAGATGATCATTAGCGATACTAGGGAAGTCTTTAGCCCAAATACAAATAGATTAGGTGGTATTAAAACAATAAGATTAAAAACTCACTCAAGTTTTATGTTACTAGGCACCCCGGGCGCCTTCTGCTGCATAACCTCCTCGATCTGAAACAACAAAGCCAATATTATTTTAAAGAAAACAGATAATTTTAATAATTTACCTATAAGTATAAGTAAACCATAATCTTATATTATACAAAGATAAAAACAATAATATAGAAGATAATTCAAACAAAGACGTGAATACGTAGCATAGATACGCAAAATATATCACAAATATTTTTATTCCTTCTAGAAATACTAATCTAAAAGTAGGCATAGTTTGTGTAGCTATTTATTTTATCGGAGATTTTTATCGAAACACACACACACACACACACACACACGCAAGACGAGATATCAACGGCAGCCTTATTTTAATGAATAAATATGGAACTGAAAATCTTTCCTAAACGTCAAATAAATTCCAGTTGGAAACTCACACTTTTCCATTTCTTCATCGCAAACAATTTACGTGTGTTGATCCTTAAAATTACTTGCAACTACTGCATATTAATAATATTCTTATCGCTAAACATTCATTATCTAGCAAGATAGTTGATTGATTGGATTACCATTATAAACTTATATTCCCGCGTCCTGCGATAGTTAGAAATCGTACTTCCTTTAATCATTTTAATTAATTATATGTATATTCAAGCTCATTAATTATTGAGAAAATCTTTGCTTTTTGTGACTTGAACAAGAAATCCTTTTCAAAGAGTATGTAACCACTACGTTTAATCCTTTTGACAAAGATTGTCAGAAATTTAAAAATGTCAAGTAATGCGTCAATTATTTTTTTTTTAAGCCGGCCAGTAGTTTTAAATGTAAAATATTTTTCAAAAAAGTTTTGGTGATTTTAATATCACGATGATTAACCTTTTTTTCGATTGCATACTTTGAGAATGATTGCAAGTTTTATTTTTAACTCGTTGACCCGGCAATATTCGTACTTACTGCCTCAAATATAACTAATATTTCATGTTTTTTATTTATCATATTCTGATCTTTTTATGTAGGTATATCCAGGAATACTTATTTCAAGACCACAATAAGCCATGTCGATCCAGCCTTGTTCGAGTTACTAATGAACATCGATTTATTTTTTATATGTATATAAGATATATACACTCAATAGAACTGCATACAGACATTCCTAAAATAGTTCGCTATGTAGATACGCGTTAAGCATGTACCTAATTGAGTATTTAAAAGATAAGATACTCTTCATTACCCCAATAATTTATACATAATTAGCTGCGTATTATGTAGGTATGCACTTACCTACGCTTGGAACCATATGATAATGCGATTTTTGCCTTCCTTCTTCTAGCAATAATAAACACAACAAAAAAGAATAGACTAAATACGGTTGTTTCCAACTAGTCAAATTCAATACTTTTATCCAAATGTCAAAAACGATACTTTTCTATGAAAATTGTATGAAACATTGAATTATGACGTCATAGCATTTTTGCGTCAAATAGCTTACTTATTTTTAAAAAATTAGCTAAAAATATCTAAAACTTAGTGTATCAATCGATCGATGAATAAAAGTATAGTTATTTTTTAATAATTTATCATATTAAAACGTCGAATTAATTTATTTTTGACCTAGGAAACTACCCAATTGATCCAGGCGTTGTTGAGTAAAGCGCTTACTTAAACAGATTTTTACGATTCATTTTTATAGATACAGAGATATAGAGGATATAGATATAGTTGATTCCCACGGCTGACCTTATTGGTGATTTGCAGGCAACACCCATACTGGTATATACGTATCAACAATAATTAGCCTGTCCACGAAACACCTACTTACAGACTACTTAAATGAAACAACAATTTTCGAGGTGTGCGCGCGAATTTGCAATAAGTATGCGTATGGCGTAATTTTATTATAACGAATGCAAATTACTATTTATTATCTGTGTTTTGAACTTGACAACGGTTTTTAATTTGTGCTTTGGTGTTGAGTAAATTGATTTCTGATTGATAGTTGTAGCAGTTCTTTACCGGGGTAGACAAATTACTAAGGAGCGTATTTGTTGAATAATTTTAGTTGTTATTTACAGATCAAGAGGTTAGAAACAAGAAACGGGAAGGTTTTTAGTCAGTTAGAGTCTGACACTGCGTCTGGTCCCACTCAGGTAGGGCAAAGTCTCCCCTAAACAGCGCTTGTTTCATTACCTTCACATAAGTATTAATTTTCCTAATTTTCTTAGAATTTTAAACCATTTTTTTTTTCAAGTATCTTTTTTGAGAAAGTTTAGATACAAGCAGACGTTTATCTGATGGTAAGCAATAAACACTCGTAACGTCTAAGGATGTAAAAGTACCATACCGTGCGTAGTTGAGAAGCCTTACTTTATCAGGGTTTCCACCAAGCTAGACAAGTATGACGTCATACGATATATCATAAACAGCAGACAGACATCATCCTTCCGTCCTTGTTCCTCAACTTCTATCTCATTCCCTCCTTATTCACATCTACTGCGCAATCTCCAACATTTCGCACTTCGGATATTACATCTTTGAGTGTTGGGCTAGACTAGTGTTATTGCGACACGGTTAGGTTGTAACGTTTGTCAGTTGTCTAGATTCTAGATATAGGTACACCTATAATCGTTATTTAAGTATTACATGTACGGAAGATTATAACATTGTATTAGGTAAGGTTAGGTAAATGTATAATAGTTTCAGGTTTTAAGTAAATACCTACTTGGACGTGTAATTTTCAAATCCTACTAATATTACTAAAAACACAAAAGTTTATAAGTATGTATAAGTATAAATATTTGTTACTCTTTCAAGTAAAAACTACTGGATGGATTTTGTTGAAAATTCGCACAGAGATAGACTAAAGTCTAGAATATCAGATAGGCTACTTTTGTTCTGGGTAAGGAAGGATAAATATAAGTACTAATGGTTTATATTTCCGGCCAGAAACCAAAAGCTAGTATGAGACTGACGGCAAATTTTTATCATTCATTGAACTAATAACACTATGACTCATTAAGACTAGGTTATAAGAACACCCCTATTTTGGAGACTTTCTCTAAATGAAATAACAGACAAGGAAAACACGCTTAGTAGGTACCTACCGAAAGTTTTACCTGCGTTAGACTACAAGGCACTATTCCTTTTTCTGAAAACTGCAAATAAACTCTAAACTAAAATAATTCAATTTGAGAACGCGTGCCGTAAAACATTCTAATTGTACTTATCGTTAATACTAACTAAAGAAACGAGACTGGTAGAAAATAATGAAAATAAAGTTTTAAACAAATAGTAAAATGCTCCGCAATCTATGATCAACCGAGTCATCAAAAAATCATGGGATTCTTTTTTTTATGGGTTTGGTCGCTAAAATACAATTCTAATTTTCTGATTGTAACCAATCGGCTCCACCTATAGACACCCGCAACAACAGAGTAATGTGTAAGTGCGTCACCGACCTATAAGGGATTACTACAGATGGGGGAAGGGGGGTCTTACTACCCTATAGTAGGACTGATGTTTAGCCGGGGTTGCGGAGTAAGCGCAATGAGGCACCGCGACCTCGGCCTAAAGCAGGAGAAGGAACGGGGGGTGTTTTGCCAGTAAGAGGCTGACACTTGCTGTCGGCTCACACGGGGCGG